GCCGCATATGCTGTAAACTCCTGGCGTCTCAAATGGAATTTTGTCTTTTACGGACCGCAGATGTTGAGAGATTTTTGGACAAGTAGTAAATCTGGTTTTGACGTTATACTTCTTTAGAACTTTTGATATATTCGCGATGACTGGTGATAGTGGAGAACCCATAGCTGTTCCCGACGTTTGTTCAAAAATTTGACCATTATAAGAAAAATATGTTCCCGATAAGCATTTTTCAATTAAGGTGAGAAGGTTTGATTCCAGATTCTCGGATTTTAATATATCTGAAATGATGTCGAGAGTTTCAGGAATAGGAACTTTGCTAAAGAGGGATTCTACGTCGAAGCTAACTAGAATATCTATCTGTTTATCTAATGTAATGCTTTTTAATTGTTCAATGAAGTGAAAGGAATTAAGTACGAAACTGTTAGTTTTCCCTCTAAGGGGTTTTAATAAGGAAGCTAGATATTTTGTTAGAGAATATGTTGGAGAGCCAATGGTGCTGACAATAGGTCGAAGGGGTAATCCAATGCAAGTGCAATATATAAGCAAGTACAGAGTAAAATACGAGCCAGTTTCTGTCAAGCTCTAAAGAAGCCAACAGGATGATTGGCGAAACGTCAGCAATTTCGACTAAGCAAAAACCGACGCAGGAGGAATCCAGAAGTTTTGTAAAAAGCATTACAGTAGCCTGTGGAAGTTTCTTTGAAAAATTAACTCTTTTTTTGTCGAAATTCTAAACGAACACGTAGAATGTAAAACGCGATCGTCGAGGGAGGGCTTCCCAAAATATACCAGCAGCGCACCCCAAACAAAATAACACGCCACCAAAAATTACATCCGCTGCGACGAATTCCGCTCCGAATATTTCAGAAACATCAAACGAATTTTAAAATTTTGAACGCTAGGTGGGCGTCGTTCTTCCGACCCCGCGGGATTTAACCCCCCTGATGCGCAAGATTAGGGGTGTGTAATAATTAATTATGTTAAGCTCGCTAAAAGGACGCTCAAGATTGGAGAACGCGATGTGTTGCTTTCGAGAGAACTCGAATTCGGCGGAGTGTGTTTGCTCGTCGACGCGGAATATATGAGTTTATTCGCGAAACGCGAACGTTTTAATTGGGCCTCGAGGGTCCACGAAACGATTGAGACAATCTAGTAAGTTTAAGCGTATTAAAACTTCCTTGTTTAGATTTGTTTATCTAACTACGCAGAAAAAAAAACGTGATCGAACACGTAGATAAGATTCGCAATGCTGAGAGTTTTCTTTTATTGTACAGGGCGCCTTAGAAATACAAAAGTATTAAATTTGCTGAATTTTGGATTTGTATATTTTTAATCAAAATTTCGAAATTTAAAATTTTCGTATTTATTAAATGAAATAAAACAGATTTCTTGAAAATCATCAAATCTATTTTAAATTTCAAAACAATATGTATATTTAACATTTTATATTCAAGCTTTTAGTATTAATAATGGGTGTTTTTTTTTCGACGTATAGAACTTTAAGTTGGCATTACTGTTCAAGATGGCGACCGATTTAACAGCTGTCAAGTGATTTATTCTCAGTTTGGTTTGGCAATTCATCATGAATAGAGTCACGCCTTAACAACGCTTGCAAATAGTGCAATTTTATTTCGAAAATAATCGTTCTGTACGGAATACGTATCGCGCACTACGTCCATTTTATCGTCGACAAAATCATCCATCAGAGCAGTTAATTCGATTAACCATGGAACGTTTTCGCATCACGTTCACTCTTATTGATAACTCGCATCCCCAGAGACGCCGTACGGTGCGTACAGAAGAAGCTATTGCTGCTGTAGAGCGTAGCATTGAGGAAGACCCGAATGAGTCGATCCGCCATCGAACACAGGAATTGGATCTGTGTCTATCCACTTTACGGAAGATTTTGCGGAAGGATCTTGGTTTACGTGCTTACAAAATCCAACTCGTGCAAGAATTGAAGCCAAACGATCATCAAGTAAGGCGTAGATTCGTCGAATGGGCCCAAAACGAGATTGCCGTTGTTCCCGAATTTCATAAGCGAATTTTGTTAGCGATGAAGCGCACTTCTGGTTGAATGGCTACGTCAACAAACAAAACTGCCGAATTTGGAGCGAAGCTAATCCTCAAGTGTATGTCGAAACACTTACATCCAGAAAAACTGACTGTTTGGTGCGCTTTATGGGCTGGTGGAATCATTGGTCCGTACTTCTTCAAAAACGATGATAGCCAGAACGTTGCAGTCAATGATGATCGGTATAGAGCTATGATTACTAACTCTTTCAGTTCTCAATTGAATTACCATGATGTCCAGGAGATGTGGTTTCAACAAGACCGCCCAACATGTCACACAGCTCGTGCCACAATCGATTTATTGAAAGGCACGCTTGGTGACCGCCTAATTTCACGTTTTGGACCTGTGAACTGGCCTCCAAGATCTTGTGATTTAACACCGCTAGACCACTTTCTGTGGGGCTATGTAAAGTCGTTGGTCTATGCGGATAAGCCACAAACGCTTGACCATTTGGAAGACAACATTCGCCGTGTTATTGCCGATATACGGCCACAAATGTTGGAAAAAGTCATCGAAAATTCGACTTCCACATTGGACTACATCCGCGCCAGCCGTAGCGGTCATATGCCAGAAATCATATTTAAAATGTAATGCCACAAGATTTTCTTTCGGATAAATAAAATTCATGTTAATCGAATAATCCATCGTTGTTTTATTGCAACTTAAAGTTCTTTACATCGAAAAAAAAACACCCCTTAAAATGTGTTCTGAAAATGAAAAAAGAACAGATGACAAAATTGATTTGAAGACGACAGAGAAGTTATTGACCGTATAGTCAATCGTCATCGTGTTGCTTTTCGACGGACCGTCCCCCGTAAAACTTTAACGATTTTATTACCTATTGTTATTGGATAAAACCGTTGCCAAAAAATTTATTTTTATTTGTGTGACTAGGCAGGGGTGGACCATGTATATTTCTTTCTTTCTGATGTATTTCTTGAGTGTTGACCATTTGTGCCAGTGTTGAATAATCGTTTTTACTGTACGATTCGAAAAAGTTAATTTACGAGAAATCATTTGTCGCTTGATGCAAAACAGGTTGTGAAAAATGTGTATGAAACTTTAATCAATAGAGAACTTATTAAACAAGAAGCTTTAAAAAAAACCTTCCTACGTACAAAAGCACCAATATCGTCGATAAAGGATTTCATTAATAATGGGAGAATTGAAGAAAAGAAATAAACGTACCTAGTGATTTTCAATCTCACCGTATAGACAATAGTGATCAGAACCTAATAATAAGGAAAATATATTGTCCTTACAAAAGCGAAGTTGTTCCTACCTTAGATAAACTGAAAAAGAAGCTAGAAGAATATGAAACCAATATAAATAAGGAAGAAAGTATAAATAAGAAATAAGCCGTGTCGCCCTCCATAGAGTTGTTTGTAAAATGGGATTTAAGTACCGCAAAATAGACAAAAGGCAAGTAGTAATGGAATCACCCAGATAAGGGATTTAGTTACTTTCAAGAAATTAAAAGATTAGAGAGATTAGACAACAGATCCATAATTTATCTTGGTGAAACATGGCGCGAAACACACGACACTATATCCGAAGGATGGGTTCATTCTACTCAAAACTGTCAGACGAAAGCACCTTCAAATAAAGGCAAAGGGTCAGAAGAACTGCTTCATCATGAGGATACAATGCCGATCTTTTTGAAAATTAGTTTCAAAACAATCTTTTAAAAAATATTCCAAATAACAGTGTTATTGTCATGGATAACGCAAGCTACCACAACCGTCTGCAACGCAAAGCACCAGCCCATCAAATTCAAAAACTGAAATGAACAAAAAAAATTTTTGGATGTCATAAATTCAAATTCAATTAAAAAGCAGCATGTATGCAATATTTGAACTGAATAGGCTGGGAATACAGTTCTACAGTCGTCCTCCGTATCATTGTATGTTTAACCCCATAGAGCATTTTTGGAACCAAATAAGTAGAAACCTTTGAAAGTCCGTTCCTAACGTTCTGTCCTTTAGTACCTACCGGATCCTAGTTTTATTGCCGTCGGCAGGTAACTTCCATGATTGCGGGCAAAAGCCAGTACGATGAAGATTCATACAAACTTTACGTCCTAAAACTGGTACGCAAAAGCTTTTATAAAAGGAAACTAACCGCTATTAGTGATATAATTGTATGTTATGTAGGAGATAACAGTTGTTTTAACCGAAGATTCTGTTTATTCAATGGACTGAATGGCGTAAAACAGTTTTTGTTTTAGAAATTAAACATTTATGACGGTAACGTTCAAAATTATGAAAAGAGAATTTCGAGGCGTTAACAAAGTAATAAATTGAAATAAATAAATGCATAAAAGGATTTCAATCACCGTGATGTGATGCATTTTACAACTTCACTGCGGAGCTTTCCAAAGGTTAATAGAGTTTAAGTTTAAAAAAAATAATGGAGCAATTAATAGGACGACAAAGAATAGAGTTAAATTGGAAAGTATATAACATCTAAATCCCTGTCCCTTTATTTGTATACAAAATGCTTCTGATTCGTTAGGATTGCTTATTGATTCTTATATTTCTTATTGATTATTCTGAAGATAGGCCAGTTTTATGGTTGAGATGGGAAAGATAATGTAGATTTGACAATAACAACTTGGATTGAGAATTTTATAATTTCTCCAACCATTTACTTGTTTATTTATGTTATTAGGTTCGGTCTGATTTTAATAAAAATATTGTCATTTTTCTACAGCTGCCATAAGTTTCATATTTAAAAAAAAATTAATTGTGGTCACTGAATTTTTCCAAAATTGCTCTCTTCATTTATTGGCTTAGAATTGGATGTTCCAGAATTGTTTTAAAATGGCGATGTTAGACGATAGTAGAACTCGGAGTCGAGAGATTTTAACGGCCTTGTAGGATTATTTTGCGCGACGAAATATGAAACCGATCAATTTTCGTTGCAGTATTTGGTAACCGCTGAAAGTCTTCGCGCGTTCGAAGAAGCCAAACGCTCCAAATTGCCGCAGATCGTTCATACCGGCGAGAATGACGAAAACATAAAGCGAGCGATCGAGAGGAACACTTTGCGTCGCTCTTTGATTAGATACGAACCCCGAAGCAAGAAGCAAGCTTATAAGACTGATAATTCGCTAGTTGAGAGAATAAAGCAACTCACTTGCGACGTTGACGACAATGTTAATCACATTGGTAAGCTATTTCCTACCTTACGGTTTCGTTTAATATTGTGCATTGCATCTCAAAGTATATCATGTTGCCTTTTGAGTGACCCTACCCCAATAAACCTTTAACTGGACCCAATTTCAAAGTCGGTTTTTCCAGAAACACCCTGTAGAATGCAATAGCGGTGGCAGCTGGTTGTCACCTGGAATCACATTGGAGCATGATATTAAAAATACGCTGTCTTAAAACGAACGCTTAAAAAGAACATAAAGATTTAAAAAATAATATCTAGTGAGGCCTTGTGCAATGGCACGAAAGCGCAATTTGCAGATCAATTGAAGGCTGTCAATGGCTGTTCTGTGATTACGTGAGGGCCCTTGCAGATTTCATATTTGTTGAAAACGCCGCCTTTAATGCGCACAGATATATCGAACATATTCTCCAAAGTGCTGTTGTTACCTACTCTCATTTTATCGTTTTATGGTTCGGCCAACTTGCAGTCTCGATCTTAATTCAATTGAGCATCTATTACTACGCATTAGTAGTAGTCTTAGTCTTAAAATACTTTTATTTTTTAAATCCTTATGTTTTTTTTTAACTTATGGTTTGATGTTCGTTTGTTGTGCTTTCACAGCTTAGCATGTTCGTTTTGAAATAGTGTATCTTCGAACAAGGATAATCTCTATTAAAAATACAAAAAATTCTTAAATTAAAAAACATCAAATCACATCAGTTATTCACGGTACACGGTTTTTGTTTTAACAGTATTATCTTTATATCATTTTAAGACTCTGTCAATGGTGACCAACACGAAATACTTTGAGACAAACTTTACCGGGTATTTGCTACTCGGTAGTACATTATAGGTATGAAGTGAAGCCCTCAAATCCAATGAATTTGATATTGCACGTTACATAACGGCCATAATACCTCTGAAATAAGTTTTCAGTTACTTAAATTCAGAACTTTATTGATTAATATTTCGACATTGGCATTCGGTCGTCAGTGTATGATCAAATTAAAGTAAGGACGAGAGAAGAGCAACAACCTTGTCCTTCTCCACACAAATTTATTGTAAAATTCTTCTTTTATAAAAAGACAAAGACCAAAGGTCAATACTAGTAATAGTAAATGTTTCGAGCACTTAATTGCTCATTCTCAGCTAACTCCTAAAATAACGCATTTGGAGTGTCAAAAGAGTAACTAACCAAGCGGTAAACCGGAGTCCCAAGGGTTAAACTCACTTACAAAAAAAATAAAAACAGCATTCCACACTGAGCAGAAGTCTCGAACTAATATGGCGTAAAAAACAACGCTGAAGACTTTTATAGGATCTTGAGGTAGAAATAAGTGGTGGAAAGGCAATAATTGCTGGTTGAAAATTTTAATATTAAATTTTTGGAAATTTATTTGTTTTTAATTACACTAAGTTTAGGTGATTTCATTATAATTTGATGGGCAACAATACCCCCCCAAAATTAATATGTAGGATGACAAAGTTGCTCTTTTATCGCTTCAGTTTACTGAAATTTTGAATAAAAACGTTTACAACTAAGAAACTATAGACTAATTCAATTATTGTAGCGGGGTTTCCATTAAAAATAAAAAATCCACCCAAAAAAAGATATAATGCTTAATCTGTTTAGCTCTAACTATGTAACTATCTCAGCTTTGTAATCATATTATTTGAAATAACGTCGACGCTGTCAGTTTTACCTAAAATCGGACGAACCGTAGATTTTCAAATGCCACGTATAATACAAAATCATTCGATAGAGCACCAGCCGTCTGAATCGTCCACCGAGACGTCGGAAGACGTCCCGGATAGTAGCAGATCCAGTCCACCCGGCGAAGAATCGAGGAATTCCCCGGACGTAAGCACTCTAGTCAACAAAAGTCTCGACAAAAGTTTTTCGCCGTCGTCTTCGTCCACGTCTTCCTCCAACTCGTCTTCGATGTCTTCCGCCTCGAATTATCACCATTTGCGCAAACTTGGTGGTGACATGGGAATGTTGCCCGACGGCAAGCATCGCTTGGATACTATTCCGGATATACAAAATAATTACAGGAGGGATGCGAAACCGCTGCCCGATATTGGTGAGTAAATTGTTTTACGATTTCGATGTCGTTTACTGAACCCGTACAGTCTCATATTTAGTGTAAATGATAATTTTGGCTATAATTTTCGAAAATTGTGCCGAAGTGTATATTTTAAAATCTTCGTTTTATAAAAATACTAAATATTTTTCGGTCCCATTGAAAATTTTGTTAGAAAACGTGAAATGGAAATATTTGACAACAAAAAAGATTGAAAGAAAGAAATATCTTTCGTCAATCCAAAAATTGTCTTTATTATTATCATTGTAGTTGGTTAGGCTTTTCCATGTTTTTATTTTTTCTATTTATTAGTTGGTCATCTCGGAATGGTTTATCTCAAAAAGTTGATTGTTGTTTTTTTTTTAAAGCATTGTTTGCGGTAAGTGTTATTCAAAAATTTCAGATATAGTAAAATCGAATCTTATCATTAGAAAACACAGAGACTACCAAAATGGTTGTGAAAAATAGTTTTATTAACTTACGTAGTACTTTGATGGCCATATCACATTATTGTTACAAAAATTATATTACAGTAGGTGTAAAAAAATGCCATTATATTGATTAATTCGGTAATTAATAATAGACTAAACTTTATCTTATTAGTAACAATATTAAACAGTTCAATATTTTACTGTCTAAAATAATTTGTTGAGGAACAAAAGGAAAGCCAGCCAGTCCCCAGGAAGCAGTAGCGGAATCAGTGGGAGTCAGTTTAAGGACTGTACAGGGAAAATGTAATTGTCGGTGCTACTTCGACCTCTAGTACTCATTCTCGATCCCACCAGTCCTTGTCCTTACATATCTTTCGCAATAAGATTTCACCCCAGCTCATATTAATTCTATTGCGTTAAACTGGCAACGATATAGCCGATTGTTCAAATAAACTTCCACAGGCTACTGTAATACTATTTAAAAATCTTCTGGATTCCTCTTGCGTCGGTTGTTTATGAATAAAAGTTGCTGACGTTTCGCCAATCATCCTGTTGGCTTCTTCAGACCTTAACTAAACTGTTTGAAGTACGATGTTTACGTCATATTCTATCTACGGCCCATATTCTTTTTTAATTTAATTAATTAATTAATTTAATTTTTTCAATTCTAGGCAGTTTGTTGCAACTTCCGGAGTGCCCCAGGGTTCCAATCTTGGGCCATTATTGTTTTCAATATTCCTAAACTATCTATCGGACAAAATTTCCTGTGACTTTCTACTCTTTGCAGACGACTTGAAAATATATAAATCTATTTCTTCCTATGAAGACTGTGTATTGATTCAGGATCAGCTATCAAACATTTCCGATTGGTGCGTACAAAACAAGCTCACTCTTAACGTTTCTAAGTGTAAAGTATGTGCATACACAAGAAATCTTCAAACCTCGTTATTTTTTTATAAACTAAATAACATTACCTTGTCCAGATGTAATTCTATAAAAGATTTGGGCGTTATCTTCCATTCGCAGCTTTCATTTTCGGAACACCTCGACTTCATAGTTGGATCTGCCCTTGAGGTTCTTGGTTTCATTATTTGTAACTGCTCAGCGTTTTATAATGTTCTTTCTCTAAAGATAGTGTATCATTCGTTGGTTAGGTCCAAGCTCGAGTATGCGTCGGTAGTATGGGCACCTATTTACTCAACTTATATTCGGTCACTTGAGTATGTTCAAAGGAGATTTATAAAGTTTCTTGCTTTTAGAGTGGATGGTTTCTATTCAGGGAGGGGTATTGATGGTGGTATTTTGCGGGGCAGGTTTAATATTCAAGCCTTGGATTGGAGGCGGTTTACGGCCAGTGTAATATTTTTACATAAGTTATTGCATAGTAATGTTGACTCGATGAGTTTACTTGCGCAAATTGATTTTCGTGTTCCGCGGGCTAATGCAAGAAACATTCTTACGTCCAGCTTAGGGATTCCCCGAACAAATTTATTACGTAGGTCCCCACTGTATCAGATGTGCTCGCATTTCAACTTACTTAGTAAATATTGTGATATTTTTAATGATAGTTTACCAAAACTGATTAGAATTTGCAACCAGCACTATATCACTAACGGTTAAAGTCCATATGTAGGTAGTTACAGTTTAAGTAGTTCGTGCTATCTTGTTCTCGTATTAATATTATTTTTCGTATATGTTCACACCTTTTGTTAGTTGTTTTCTATGCTGCTTCTTTTGTTTAGTTTTGACTTTATAAAATTAATTGTTTTATGTATTTTTGTTATTGTCCTGTAATTGGTAACTTCTGTTGGGCAATAAAATCTATTATTATTATTATTATTATTATTATTAATTGGATTTTGCTACCGAAAAGATTTCTGATTTTAACATGTTTGATAAAGGATTTAGTTTCTATTTTTCAAGTTATTCATAAATATCATTTTTTTGTGCCAAGGCAAAGTAGATTGTTTATTTAAAATTTTTGAATGAGACTGTGAGTCTAATAAACGAAGCATCTGAATTTGGTGTCAGTTTTCCATTGCCATTTTTCAAATATTTCGTAGTTCATATAATAGTCAAAATATTTTCGTGTTGCCGGGAATAAATCCTGTTATAACCAGCATGCAAAATATTAAACAGTTTTTCCTCAAAAATTCCGCTGTTCTGTTGTGACTTTTTACATACTTATCTTTCCAAGATAACCACCACCAACCACTCACTTCCTACAAAAATCTTTGGTTACAGTCCTTTTTATCGCGAAAACCTAACATTCTGATTAATATTTATAATTCTTCAAGTCCAAAACCCAAAACATTTTTTTTTAATTTCTTTTAAATCTGGGAGAGGTACATTGGTTTTGGATCCATATAAACCGTGAATCACACCCTTTGGCTTTATTCATTTACTCTTTTGATATTGCATTTCATGCACCATTTTATGCGCAACCGTAAGACTAATTTCCAATACTTTCGCCACTACTCCACCACTATGTCTTTCATTTTCAAAATATTTTTTGTTTTGCAATGCAAAAGCTTGAAATTTGCTTTTTGTTATTCATATTGCCGTAATTAAAATTTTTTTAAACCCGCTTATTGGCTTATCTTTTTTTTTCATTTCAAGATTATATTTATCTTACGAATTTTATATGGTACGAATAAACACGATCAAAGAGGATCAAACGTCTGTTTTTGATAAATCGTAAGACCTTCGACAATATAAATATTTTTCCATTACTGAAAAGTACTTGACTTGACTTGAAAATTTTAAAATATTGATATACGCAAAATGTTTCTTTGAAGATGGACTCATTGTACCGAAACACCAGTAATAATAAAATTCCTGTTAAGACTCTTATTAAATCATAGATCAGGTTGCTATCCTCGAGTTTAACTGATGTGTATACCAATTTGCCTCTCCATCAATTGCCCCTTATAAAAAACGCCAATAACATTTCTCCTTTATTTTGCTTTAAGGTTGACACGTTATCTATTCCAAGTGTTATATATATTATATAGATGGCGTCTAATATCACTCCAGAATCAGGAGACAATGTCCATAAAGGCTTTGACCTCAAAACGGACGGCAAGGGCGACTCCAAAGTATTCGATTTATTCGAATGCCCTATATATTGCCGAGATCTAATAAAAACAGAATTATTACCCCCTCGCAGTGGTCGTTTTCCGCAACGGAATCTTCCAAGTAATAAAATTTACTTCTTCGCGTTTACGTTAAGCCTGGAGGAATTTTAACCGTTTTAAATGGGTATCCATGAGGGAAAATTCATTTTACCGACGTATTTTCTGGATTAGGAGCGAATTTTCATTAATCCTCTTTTATGGACTGTATGAGGTCCTCATAACCAAGGCTCCCGATTTATCTCTCACACGGTATGATTAGTGACTGTGGCAGATGAAATAAAATTTGCTATTTCACCAATGCAGTTTGTATTTTGAAATACAGGGGGTCCTCACAACCATGAGGCTACCGATCCATCTCGACCGCATCCGGCAGGAATTCCAGACCTCAGTCACTGTGCCATATCAAACAAAATTAGCTCGTCGTCGACTTCCAGCGAATCCAGAAGGCAATTTCTATCGACGCTTGCTCCCCTTACCGCTTGCGTGTCGATGGGTATCGGCCACGGTGATGATTACTATTACCATTTGAGTAACAGTCAACCATGTGAGTTAGTCGATCGACTTCGTATCATTTGTAAAAAAATTTTTTTGACGTAGGTGATCGTGTATCGGTAGCGAGTTCCGGTACTGAGTACAGCTTGGAAGATATTGACGAGGGCTTGAAGAATGAAGAAGAAGATCACAAACGTATCGCTCCTGACGTCTTGGTCGGAACACCGTCAGCCTCAGAATCTGGAGATGAATTGGCGCTATTCGTTCAGCAGGACGCGAGCAGGATCGAAAGGATTAAAAAGAAGTGAGTTTATCCATGCACCATGTGTCAAAACTAACATGTAAAATAATGGTGTATTCTAACCATTCATCTCTCCTTTGACAATAAAATAAATTGAGTTCAAATACAAAGGAAAAACAATTCGTCAAAATAAAACGACCCCGGGCGATGTTCGACACATTCTTCTATCGCCGATCCCTCAAAGACGTCCTCTCGTCCCCTTCGCTTTATTGTAAATCGAGATTCGTCTGGATTTCGCTTGTTTTTAAAATAAAATGTAAATTCAAAGTGTTTCTATACACCTTGCCCGACTCGAACGAACGTTTTACAATTCAAATTCGCCCCCGGGTAATATCGAAGGCCGGGAATATTTACGTGTCCGCAAATGTATTTCTTATGTTAACTTATAATAATATCGCCGCTAAAGGAAGCAGTACGCTGCAAAACACGTCGATTATTTTAAAACTCGCGATAGGTGGCCATAACTTATGCCAACAGTATATTTCCAAGGACATTTACGGCACAACTGAAGAAAGTTCTGGGTATGATGTTTCTCTTAAAAAAATATGTAGATATTATATACGAGGTACGCCTCTTGATCTTATAACCTCGTGTACTTGCAAAACAGGCAACTGTTTGTGGAATACCAGCAAGACTATTCGTCATTCGAAACAGTAGTAACCGGTGTCCCCCAGGGCTCAGTCCTGGGCCTGCTACTATTTATAATTATATTTATAGTTTCTTGTCTCCTAATCACTCCGTGGTATTTGTCGACGATTCATTACTTACTTCATCTGCTAATAGTGTCCAAGGACTGTCCATTGAAGGAAATATGTACTAAAATAGGGTTAACGTTGGATTCACGAATCATAATATAGGTGGCCATAACTTATGCCAACAGTATATTTCCAAGGACATTTACGGCACATCTGAAGAAACTTCTGGGTATGATTTACCTTCTGTTTCTCTTAAAAAAATATGTAGATATTATATACGAGGTACACCTCTTGATCTTATAACCTCGTACTTCTTGCAAAACAGGCAACTGTTTGTGAAATACCAGCAAGACTATTCGTCATTCGAAACAGTAGTAAGCGGTGTCCCCCAGGGCTCAGTCCTGGGCCTGCTACTATTTATAATTATATTTATAGTTTCTTGTCTCCTAATCACTCCGTGGTATTTGTCGACGACTCATTACTTACTTCATCTGCTAATAGTGTCCAAGGACTGTCCATTGAAGGAAATATGTACTAAAATAGGGCTAACGTTGGATTCACTAATCATAATGTTGGTTATAATCGGCGGCTCTGAAACCGATTTCTAGTAATATTGACGTGTGGGGTTTACGTTATTTTGATATTATTGAACAAGCAGAGTATAATTTCTTCAAATATTTGTTAATGTTGCCGAAACTTACTGCTCGCTTGCGACTAGAGTGTAATACTTAAAATGTGTCTAAACCTTTTGGTCAAGTTACTTACATAGACTCCCAAGGCATTTGTTGATTGTTTTTGCATTCTTAACGGTTTTCAGGAAAATGTTTCAAATAGTTTCTTTTTTTGTTGTTATTGTTTTATTTTTTTTTTCAGTAGATGTTCTCATAGAATTGACCTTATCGTTATGTAAATATTACCCTTTAAAGATCGTCGTTATAGGAATACTTGTATTTGTTAATAAACAATAAATAAAATTCGAAAACGAAAGGAACAGTTAACGCTAATTCTGAGCTTCAGGCCTAGGTTCAGACTCTCTAGATGTGATGCGTTATAACGTCATATATTTTTTGCTCATACTAGATGTTTTTATGTTATGTTTAATATACCTCTGTTATGTTACTTTTTATGATTTGTTCTTATTATACCTTTTTCATATTTGGCCACAAAAATCCGAAGAAAGTTCTATTTAAATTTTTAATGTGGGTAGTAGTTCAGAACTAGAAAAAAACTCTTTTGGGTCCTATAACTTTTTTTCGGAAATAAGTGTGCTAGCAATTAATGTATTATGTATTTAAATATAAAACTTTAATCCCATTAATGCTTTAAAAGTGTTGTCTGGAAATTGAGAGATTTTTGGAAACTTACAAGTCATATAAATAAAAGTCGCTGACTGTAGTAAATCCTTTATAGTAATTTAAACTGCTGTTCTGGAGTAATTAAATAAAAATAACAAAAACACAAATTATAAACTCAAGTTGGTAGTACATTGCCTACTGATAATATTTCTTTGTGGTAATTGGCAAACACCTGTCCAATCTGTTGATGGTCAATGAACATCCGTTTGCCACAGATTTTGACATCTAGACGACGTTAAAAGACATACAGTACATTAAATATGGACATTTTGGAAATGTCCATTTTATTTGCTAGATGTCAATATTATGCTTAGTTATTATCAATGGACATAAATAAATAAAAATCAATTAAGTACACCAGTGAGTTCGCCTCGTATACTCTAAAGTATACATTTTACCACGAACCAAAATTCAATATAAAGTTATATTCAAGCAAAACAAAAAATATAAAAAACACATCTAAACATCCTATAAAATATAATAAAACTAATATTTGGTTTAATTAACTAAATATGTTAAACAATGGATGATATATCTTTTCCATGTCAATTGGAAATCCCATGGACGTCCATAAAACAGGCATAGAAGTTTGTACGACAAATGTATTTTAATGGACGTCATTGGACGTTTCTGCTGTGTGTGCAAAAATTAAAAAATATATATATTTCAATTCCTATAAATTTTGAGGCATTAGGCAAATACACAACTTTTAAAAGTTGAAAAAGTGGCCACTATATAAACCAACTGAAAGTATGCTCCAAAAACTGGATTTTTTTTACGCTACGTGTGTTGTGCTGAAAATGGTCAGATTTACAGCAACCTACAAAACATTTTGAGACAAAATCTTCATTATAAATTCACCGTAGATTACTGCGTGCTAAACTGCCAAAGCTGGAGTTGGCCGAAAGATATACCGTTTTTCAACAAAGTTTTGACTTCAGAATGAGTTTAAGACCCGCCTGTTGTAAAGCGGAAGGAACCATTCTTTTCAGCACGTGTACCACAAGCCGCATTTTAAGATGTTAGCCGGTTAGAACCGCGCCGTGCGGACTGTGGTATTTTAAGAGTAGGGAAATTTTCATTTTTTACTCCCGTCTGTAAAATATCTAATTACCCACTGATCTAGAGTGCGGGAAGCGTCACTTTGCCACGTCAGTTTCATTTCCCATGAACCCGAACCACTTCGGATATTTCCGGGATTTTACCGCACGGTTTTGGAAGCAATCGGATGTTTTCGGAGATATTTCCCACGCTTTGAATTTTGACGTTTGTCAATTCTGGCGGTCATGTCAGTGAATGCATTCGTGTTGTTTTGCGAAAATGTACCCAAAAACTAACGGTCGTAGAAAAAGTATAGTATGCAACACGATCGGTAAACTTTTTAACTCACTCGTTAATTAAAAACTCGCTCCGCTGCGCTTCGCTCATGTCAAATAAACTCGTAAGTCAAATGCCGTTTACCGCACATGTTGCATAATATACTAACAATTAAACTTTTCTATTAATTCATATTAGTGTGTTTTTTATAAATCTTCCTAAAACAGTCAAAGAGAGGTAGAGGTAGCAGACATCTTTAAAAAATAGTTTTCTGAAAAATTGTTTCATTCCACCAAACAGTGTTGTGATGGAGAATGGCAGCTACCATTCTGCACAAGCGGAAAAAATACCGAATTTATTGATTCATTCAAAATTTTTTGGTCGCAAATGATGTATTTTGAAAATTCAGAAGTAGTTATTGGAAGTTCTTAAGACGGCGATGATAGCGGGACAGCTGAGACCCAGTTTTAGAAGAAACAACACCCCGCATAAATTTAGGTCTGGGGCAATAGAATTAATTAGAAGTGAAGTAGAAAAAATATCTGCTTCTTGTTGGAAAAAATGTGTAGAACATGTCACCGAAGATGAAAATGTTTACATCAGTAGTGGCAGAATTACATAGTGATTATTTTGACGTAGAATAACTGTTCTTTTAATAAATATTGTTTTAAAGCTAAATTTACTCGTTCATTTATATTTATGATAAACATTTTAAAGTAAGAATGGATTTTTCGCTGCATGAACTAATAATAATCGAGGAATCTCATCGATGAAACTTTACACAAATCCGTCAGCTTTCAGCATTTGTATGCACGAAGTACCGAAGTACTGTTCTGGAACGTCATTGTGGAATTGCAAATCAATTTATCGAGGGTTACAAAGAGAGGCAAAAAATTGCCAACGTTACATAACGGATTATATCGTAACAACGGTATATGTTTTGAAGAACTCTACTTATATAACGTAGGTATCGTGTCAAAGATAAATATAGACAAGTATAATTAACTATCGCTATAGTGAAATGAACTTTACACAAATCCGTCAGCTTTCAGCATTTGTATGCACGAAGTACCGTTCTGGAACGTCATTGTGGAATTGCGAATCTATTTATTGAGGGTTACGAAGAGAAACCCAAGCGAGGTAGGCCTGGAGTCAGACCTTTACAAAAATTTATCAAAGTTAAATACCGGATTATGTCGTAGGCGGTATATCGTTAGGCGAACTATAACAGCAGCATTCTGTGCAAGAGGTTTTTATAGAGTGCTCAAAGCAAGATTCGAAATTATATTAGTGTGTTTTTTTACCAGTTAACAGTTAGATGTACAAGTGACCACTTGCATTCAATCTACTGAATTTATCCCAATATCTGTTAATATAAGTAATTAAAAAAATAAATAAAATATATGCGTGTATATACACAAATAATAATAATATAAATAAGGAATACAAAAAACACAACGTTCGCTTCGCGGGGTGCATCTGTATCCATAGACATTGCAAATATGTAATATGTAGATAACGTTCGTATCACTATTTCAGATATCAACCCGTAGAGCAGCCACAAAAAGACAAAGACGAAGACGACGAGCACGACGACTACGGATTCAACAAAAGACCGAGCGTGCGCGGCATTAAACCGCGTTTCGGTACCACCACCGAGATCCTGCAGCAGATCCAGAACCAACTGCAACCGCCGTTGCCTCCGCCAGCCAGGGTAAGCATCGCGTTCTAAATGATTAAAGTCCCAACAAAAACTCGCATCTGTCGACAGATGGCGTGGCCGTATTATTCCGAGAGCGGCTTGACGGATAACTCGAAACAAAAGAACGCGAACCCGGCTCACCACCCGAGCGCGTACCACTACGGCGCCCCTCAATACCGTCCCACGTCGCTACAGGACGAGAGTTTGTATCAGAACTGCGCGAATCAGAGGTGCGCTTCGCGTGACATCTACCAGCAGCGCGGCAACGCTAACGTTTATTCATCGGTGGTAAGGATGGGGAACGATTATTACCACTCATTGCCGAGACAAAGGAATGGAAGACCGCAATCCCCGCCGCCGATGGACATGTCGAAATCGTTCCATCAGACGATGGTGTACATTCCGTACAACCACATCGAGGGGTACCAGCCGGTCGCTTATTACCACCACACGGGCAACGCGGATTATGTCACGAGGGTGTCCAGCCAGAACCAGATCAATAAGCGTTACGTCGAACCGATATACCAGTCGAGAACGCACCAGCATCCCGACGAACACCATTACAATTCCAACGCGGTACCACCCATTCCGCCGAAACCCGTCGCTAGGGCTCCGTATCATGGCAATCAGCCCCCGCCGCACATCTTGGCTTCCAATAGGAGCGAATCTCCGCTTCCCGGACAATTTTCCACCGCCAGATCAACTCAAACTTCCGCCCCAGTTCTATCTACCTGCGGATACTACCCGACCAACCCGAGGTATAGGCCGATGATTAACCCCGTGTGGCCTGGCGAGGCGAACTACGTCACTAAATTGAACAGACACAGTTTTCCATCTGTGGGGCCGAGATATGCGATGCCGGACAGTATGTCGTTGACGGATAGCGATAGCACCCATAGCGGTTCGTTAGTGAACGGCTACAGGCAATCAGGAGACCCGATGATGGGCTCACCAACGAAATCCAGGTTTATCGAGAGAGGCGTGCCGGAAGGTGCGGCGAGCGTGCAGCCTCAAGACGTAGGTGGTGGTGGTGGTGGTAGTGGTCACAGCAACAGCGGCACCATGACGTCTCCGACGTCACCTCAGAACCCTCCGGTGCCGACACCACAGAAACCGATGTTCTACGCCATGAACGTTTGAACAGGGAAGTCAGTTAGCGTTCCGGTATTGTATTTGGTCGCAGCTCAAAGATGGCGGCGATCTTTTGGAGGTTGAATCATATCTCGAAGGTTACGGAGGTCGTTTTGCTTCGTCGTCGAAGTCTGAAGGCCGATCCGCGGCATATTTCATCGTATACCATATAGCTATAAACTGCTACATAGCTGAGAGGCGACCTCAACCAGCACGTTGAAATAGAAAATGGCACTTTTTTTGCAGGACATTGTCTCGTGTATTTCTGATACTTAATATGAAGGTTAATGTTTATTTATAAAATTGGTTGTCACTCAATTTATATAGATCTTTTTTAGTCATTGAAATAACATCAACACTAAAATACTAAATATAAAAGTCTTTACTTTTTTAAAACTATTGGATCACTTTTGTTATAGACGTCTAGTGCGTATGTCAAAACCAGGAAAAATATGTACAGAACGGTTCCTTTATTATAAATTATCTCATTTTGGAAAAATATCAGATTTGTTTAGATTTACTTATACATTTAAACATTATTAATTTTTCCATTATTCTTTTTTTTTCATCCATTTGCTTTTCAGCAAATGTCAATGCTGACATTTGACAATGGAAAAATACTTTATTGCTAACATTTTGAAATATACATCTTTTTTTAAATAAATATCTTTGCACAAGGTGTGTCTCCATTTGAAAAAATTGAATTTTTACAATTTTTCAATTTAATTTGTAATGTTAGTATTTGATCACCTTGCATTTATTTATTTTTAAAATAACAATCAACCACTAAAGTAGATCCCAGCCTATAAGGGGTAACCCGAAAGGCTTCCAGTCTGAGAAATGGATAGATAAATAGATTTGGACAAGTAAACGTTACTTTTGACAGAAAATTCAAAATATGTCAAAAACGCTATGATTTAGATACAGCATGTTATACAGGGTGTTTCAAAACAAGTGCTAAAAACTGAACGCTATAAATACTGCGCATAACTAATGTTGTTATTTTTTATCTGAAAAACGGGAATAAATAAAACAATAACATATAAACATATTTAAAAAAATGTTTTAGAGAAATAATTTAGTTTTGATTTGCATTGCTTTGCGTTTAATTATTTATTTGGAAACGGTAGGTATTATGAAAAAAACGCATTAGACAAAAGTGTCTAAATAAAACATGAAGTACAAAAATATTTCTTATGTCAATTTAGTGAAGAAGCATTATATGGGTAGTCTAATTCAATCCCCTCCACTCATATTAAAAAAATAAAAAACAGAAAATGAAGCTTTACAATATGATATTTTATTGTTTTATCTATTTTTGTTTTTAGGATCAATAATAAAAAACTTATTTCTTCGCCATATTTGTAGCGCGATATCTCCCTAATGCTTGCTTTTTGTCCCAAAGTTTATTTTAAACAATTAATCACCTCCTTCAGTTTTTCGCATTTGTTTGGAAACATCCTTGATATGAATTGTGTCTAGACGGTTCTGAGGAAATTTTTTAATATGGTTATTTGTCCACAAAAACATTCTGTATGGGAAATAATATAATATTTTAAAAGTTTAGGTGAATCTAAACAACTTTTGCCTTAATTTTTTTTATATCTTCTAGAGCTTATGAGATAAGGTGTATTCTCATAATACACAAGAAAATTAAATAACATACTATTCCATTAAAAAACACTAGAATTGTTCTCGATTTCTAACACAAAATTTATTTATCACTTTTTTATCATCTTATCTACGTTAGATTATTATTGACATAAAAGATGCCCTTATACAAGTTTGTACAAGTACGTGCTGGCTGAAAAAATTATTAACGACAGGCAATACAGTAGTTTATAGGTATATGCGGGATACCCAAAACTTATTTGTAGGTTATAATAACCATTGTGTAAGAATTTATGGGCAGAAATATTGTATTGTTGCCCCAGTGGGCAACGTGACATTTTATCGTATAACACTTCGATGTGCTTGTTACTCAAAAATATTTATTGACATTAGTAGCGATTGGACGTAAATTGTTTTGGCCAAATTAAACTTTAGCTGTTTATCGTTTGGAGGCGTGACTGAGCGTCACCGAGCTTCGACTCGTTTTCCGTTCGTAGACCAAAAAATAATGAAAACCCCGACCAACGCTTAGATCGGTAAACGTTATTTTCCGTTACCAAATCTCTCTCACACTCACACAGGCGTATAGTTCTCGAATAGTTTTACGGCCCAGTACTTTAATCTAGGTGTAAATTTGTGCGGTTTTTTAGTGTAACGCATCAGATATATAGAGTAGTAGAGTCATTGTTGCCAAAAAGAAAATGAGATTTAATTACCAAAGTATTACGTAGTTAGGTAAGTGTTAATGACCAAATACTAAATGAAACGAGTCGTGTTTTCATCTATATTTGAGAGGGTGTGGTTAAGTCGATTACGAGTTTGTCGTTTAAATTTTACGATTCCGATCCTTGCGTGGCAATTTCCCAAACCGGACAATGCTTTTGTATCGACAAAAAATACTTTGTGGTGGATTTTGTGCGGATAGAGCTCTCTATTTAGTTCGAATTGACTATAGTGTCCCCAAAGTTAAAATTCTGTTTTTTTCGTTCTAGTACTTGATTAATGGTTTTTGTTCTCACACTTTGCTAAATTAAAGGTTGGTGCGCAGTGAAATGTATCCGTCGTCTCAGCACGAACGGTTTTCATAAAAATCCCGTTAGGGGGCACTTTCGTAAATGGCATAGGGTGTGTTAATATTCTCGCGCGGTGTGTTAAGAATCATTACCAAAATTGTGATTAAAAAGTGACAAAGTTACTTTTAAGTTAGAAAAAGAATTTAGCTTTAATGTACCCTTAAATGTAACTTAAAGTATTTATTTTAACAATAGCGAAGAAAAAAAAAGAATTATATACATATTATTATATTTAACATGAAGTGAGAAAAATTTAGAGAAATTAGAATCGGTCTAATGTAATTTTTGTAATTTATCTAGAGTCGAGTAAGGCAGGGGAGGTCGCAATGTTGCTCACGAAAAGATAGAATGGCATTTTTTTTTAGTAGGTTCGAGGTATCGCCGAAGGCATTGTTATTTTGTTAATACTTCTTTACGTTTAATTATAATTTTTCTAGTGTTTTATACTGTTGATAGTTATTGAAACCATTGATTTACAAATTATTTATATTATCTACCTTAACAGACGTTAATAAAATAATATATTGTACACAAAGTGGTCTTATTTACAATACGTGCATATCATACGTGTTTAAATGATTTTTGAAGTATAACGGTAAGTAAGGACAAAGAAAGGAACTTATGCTAAGTGCTACATCTTGCGACCCATAACTGTAGTATAGGAATACGCCAGTCTCAGTCTCTGAAAAAGTGAAGATAAATAAAGCATTCCCACAACTTGGCAAGGTTTCCAGAGGACATCAAAATAAATATATCTATAAAAGGAAATATTATTTTGAGTCTCATTTGAAAAAGGCCTAACAATTGTTAACCGACATATCACGTGCTTTTAAATCGCAGTTACCTTTTTTTAATGTTTAATTTTTCAAAAATAAGGTTGGCAAACAATTTTACAACCTGCCTAATTTTTAAATTATTTTTATAGTTCTTGAACTGCGTATAACAAAAGGTAACATAAAAATAAATGTGAAGTCACCAAACACCTACCACTCTAGTTATTTATAATAAAAATTTTATCCACCTATCAATATAGTGAATCGAATTCATTATTATTCATTGCCTTTAGAACCCAGCGGGTGGCCGAATGAAGGCATCGATCTACCTGTATTTACATAGATACTGAGAAAAGTAGCGAGAAACTGATTTTTCACACTAGCCATCTGTTATATATTAGGTATAATGTATATATCGGGTATGTACATTAAAGTGCCTTGTCCAAAAAACATAAACTTCACTGCACTAAATAGCTAACTAGGTAGAGTTCTCCAAACGATATACCGTTTATACAATCTTTTATGGTTTTGACTTCGCAATGAGTTTAAACCCGTCTGTTGTAAAGAGGAAGGGACCATTGTGTACGACGAGCCAGCGCCGTATTTAAGATATTAGCCGTGTGGACTGATGTATTTTAGGAGTAGGGAAATTTTCTTTGATTAAAATTTTATATTAATTCATATTAGTGTGCTTTTTATAAATCTTTTAGGGTTAGGGGTTAAACATAACGACTATGAAATATTTTCCTAGGAAAGTAATACAAAATATTATGTAGATAATTAATGTATAATGGATGTTTTCCCTGTTTGCTATTGTGGTTGACTTGTGGAGGTTGGCGAAATCGGAGAATGCTGTCAGTTTTATGAAACAGAATTTTCTTAGCCGTCGTAGCTTTGGAGTTATTTCTATTCCAGCTTGTGTCAGTGTGTCGTTTTTATTGAGCTGCCATATACATTTTATTACAATTTATTTCTTACCAAATACTATTATTCAATTTTGTTAGTCACTTGCAAAGTCCAGCGACGAAGAAGTGGATATTGTGGCCGGTGTAATTATAATTTTAAATGTGTTCCTGTTTCTGAAATCGAGATCTGGGGAAAGTGAAGCCATAAATTTAACGTCCGAGATGACTAAAACACCGTATGCCACAGTTCGTGACATAGTTGTGAATGTGTCCAACAAAGAAAAACGCGGAAAAATCGTGGGGTGACAAAAAGTCTACAACGGAATAATGAGACGGTTGATAAATTATGCGTATCAGACGAACATCGTTTTAATAATTAAAACTTTACATGAAGAGTTGCGTAGTGTTTTGAGCATTGACTGTTGCCGAGAGACTTTGCATGCATTCTTTCGAGGAATTGGTTTTTATTACAAAACAATCAATAAGTGACAAGTTTTGAAGGAATCAAGAAGAATTTGGGAATGGAGGACAAGATACTTGAGAGAAATCCAAGAAATTCGTGCTAAAAACATCCCCCTTATAAATATATGTATTTAGATGAGACCTGATTTGATAGCCACGATACCGACAAGAAAGGGCGGACTGATGGTAACAGCAGAAAATGTTAGTTGGGTGTGCAAGTTTCACTGGGCTGACGAATTATCATACTACATGCAGGCTGTGCAGCTGGTTGGCTAGATAACGCTTTGTTGCGTTCTACAAAAGATGTCAAAGAAGCAAAGGTTGACTATCACGAAAACAGAACAGCAGACATCTTTGAAAAATGATTTTCTGAAAAGTTCCTTTCTAATATTCCACCACAGAGTGTTGTGATCGACAACACCAGCTACTATTCTGCATAAGCGGAAAAAATAGCGAATTCATCATCGACTAAAGAAGTCATTCAAAGTTTTTTACCTGGAAATGATTGAGCATTTTGAAAATTCCTTCACAAAGAAGCAGTTATTAAAAGTTCTTAAGACGGCGACGATATCGGGACAGCTGAGACCCAGTTTTAGAAGAAACAAAACCTCGCCGAAATTTAGTTGGGGGGCAATAGAATTAATTAGAAGTGAAGTAGAAAAAATATCTGCTTCTTGTTGGAAAAAATGTGTAGAACATGTCATCGAAGAAGAAAATGTTTACATCAGTCGACTAGTGCCAGAATTACATAGTGATTATTTTGAGGTAGAATTTTTTTTTTTAATAAATATTGTTTTATAGCTAAATTTACTCTTTCATTTATGTATATAACAAACATTTTAAAGTAAGAATGGATTTTTCACTGCATGGACTAATAATAATAGAGGACTCTCACCGATGAATCTATACAAAATCCGTCAGCTTTCAGCTGGTTCTGGAACGTCATTGTCGAATTGTAAATCTATTTATTGAGGGTTACAAAGAGAGGCCAAATCGAGGTAGGCCGGCGGTTAGAATATCATAAAAAATCAAAAACGTTAAATAACGGATTATGTCGTAATTACGGTATATCTTTTGAAGAACTCTACTTATATAAAGTAGGTATAGTATAGTAGGTCGCTGTAGTGATATGAAATCAGGCATTCTATTCTCCAGTTTTTAAATGAACTGATTCTATAATCCCCATGCCGCTTCTGACTTTTGTTCATTGTAAACTTGTATGTATCATCTTTCTTCAATTTTGCAAGAGGTACTTTACTGTATATAGCACATATGTTTCGGTGAATTATGTCTGATATTATGTATGTAATATATGTATATATATATATATATATATATATATATATATATATATATATATATATATATATATATGTAAAATATTCCACACTGCACTCATTCGCCAACGTATCAAAGCTCCCGTTTCCTTCGTTGCACCAATTTTGAAAATCCACGATTCAAGCAGGCTAGCGTAAACATTAAATGTTATTACTATTTACAAAACACCTGGATTCCTCCTGCTTAAGTTGGTGAGTCGAACTTGCTAACATTTCGCCAATCATCCTGTTAACTTCTTCAGTTTCAGTTAAGCTTTGAAGAAGTCAACAGGATCATCGGCGAAACGTTAGCAAGTTCTACTCAACAACAACTGAAGCAGAGGAACCCAGTATTTTTGTAAATAGTTTAACAGTAGCCTGTGGAAGTTTCTTTGAAAAAATTTTTTGGGAGGGGATTACCACGATCAGCAACTCCACTTGAGGAGCTGGGTTTTTCTTTCCATGTTGTGGTCACACCTTGCGCATTAGTGGTGGTCGAAGATTAGGGATTTTCATTTTTAATGAGCTCGTTGGCAGTATTAATAAAAGTCCGTATGGTATCATAACCAAAATAAAACTACAGATCAGTATATTACTTACTGACATCCCTGCATCTACCGTCATGGATCCAAAAGGTCCAATGGAAATCGTCAGAGGTTTCTGACATCTAATCATCATCAGGTGCAGCAAAACTTGCGTTTCGTGATCTTGGTAGTACCACCCACTTTCATAAAGCGCTGTAGCCAAGGCAGCACTCTGCAACAGACGACTTTAAATTATAAATTATGAATTGATTTCCTATTGACTATGAAATAATACCTGTAGTATGATTTCGTTGGAATTCCACGCGATAATCATAAGCCCTCCGAAATTGGTTAGGAACAATCCGACACTGAATGTGACGTTTTGTCCCTAAAATATTGGATCCGCTTTGTTAATCCATCGATAAAACAAGGCAAGCCAATTTGACACCAATTTTTTAAAATCACCAATTTGACACGTATTATTTGTATGCACACATCAAATACATACCGAGATAATCTCAATTATTGTTGACGCAGTTATAAGAGAAGACATAACGTATTCCAAAAGCACTAGAAACTTTAACGAGTCGTTGAAATTTTCGTAGTACCTAAAAACATTGCGTAAGGGGGAAAACGTTTACGTTACGTTATTTGATGGTTCAAACTTCTGATCTAAATACTCACTTGATTAATTTTTGATGCTTAAGGCACAACACTCTTAATAACTTGGACCCCGCGACTTTCCTTTTACCACTCTTATCACAAAAATTTCTAAATTCCTGTTGGAGGACTACCAGTTGTGCTCTGAGAAATATCATCACGGAATTTATGAATACGTTCACGGATACGTTACATATTCCAATAAAAAACGCCCTAACGGATTCATCTATTAAAACCCACGTGTGGTAATTTTTCGTTTCGAATGGATACCAGAAATACATGGTATGCGGACCTTCCAGGGTGGTATTTTTGTTGTGGAAGTTAAATAAAACATTTTCTCTAATCCCTAGAACCAATTTTACGGTAAGTTGATATGCGTTAATTGCAGAGTCGTTGAACAAAGTGAACTTACCATGTTCCACCACCGCCACGGACGTCGATATAGATACGACACTTATGCTTATGGTCAGCTTGTAGCAGTACTTTATATGTTGGTTGTATATGCGAGTTAATATGGTTGCTTCTTGAGTCAATAATTGCATTTCTTGACATCTGGCAGATCGTATTAATTGAATGTTGCCTTTAGACTGGCAAGCTATCATTTTGGCCACCAAGACTGCACAAAATAATCCTTGAGCGCCGCATTCTATCGCTAAAATTCTCAGTGTATTGAATAGTCGTCTTCTTTATAATTTTTCTCATATTTTAATTAAATGTGCAAACATTATTTTTTAACAACTTTCTAGTTAAGTCAAATAATATAGTGTCCTTAAGTAAATATCGTACTAACCAAAACGTATCACAGTGATGTAGCTACATGTAAATACATGATGCAAATGTACATGTTGTGTGATGGGCCCTAATTAATTGAAAATAAACAAGTAGTTAACTTAACCCGGTTCTGTGACATACATTTGTCATAGAACCACGGGAGGAGAACTACTTCAAGTAAAAATATTTAGTCTGCCAAGGTAAATATATTTTTCAATTTTTTTTTATAAAGTAGGACAAAATAGCATCCTTAGAGATCCTCAAATGTCAGAACAGAACTAACATAAATGGTAAATTAAAACACTTCAACGTGGAATTCAGTTTAAAAATCTGAAATGAGACGGAAGGTTGGAGTACAATAAAACAGAAGTAATTTAGTGTTGTAATGTTTTAACTTGATCCATTTATATGTTATATTAATTTTTTTACACTTTATATGATTAGTAAACATTATTTTCTTTCGGATTTGCTGTTTTCAATGTCGTAGTCCATTAGTAAATAAATTACATGTTAAGATATTAAATTCTAACAACGACGGTACTTTCACATCAAACTAAAACCGCAATGTACCGTTCATTCCTTCAGGTAAAAATATTTATTTTATCAAGACAAAAAATCTGTTGCAACAGTTTTCTTTCAAATAGGACAAAATAGGATCCTTATAGATCCTCAGAGGTCAGAAGATAGCTAACATAAAAGATAAATAGATACAATTAAAAATTTTCATAGCGGAATTATATTAAAAATTTTAAAATGATAAGGAATAATTTTAAAATAACACAAACACATTAGACGAAATTTAAAAGTTGTAATGTTTTAGCTTTATCAATTTATCATTTATGTCACTGTCGTTCTGATAGCTAGATATTTCTTCAGTATATTTTAAGTGAATTTAAAAATATATTTTATAATAATATTTGTAGAACACTTTTTACGCTTTCGGTGATGAGTAAACATTCCTTGATTTCAGTTTGTCTTTGGTTATTGCAGTAGTCGTTTATAAATTACCTATTAAGGGATTCATTTCTAACAAAGGTGGTACGTTCACACTAAAGGAAAACGGCGATGTACCATTCGTTACTTCAAATAAAATTATTTATTCAACAGTTTTCTGTAGAGTAGGACAGATATCCTCAAATGTGAGAAAATGACTAAGATGAAACGTGAATAGAATTAGGTCAAAATAATACAATAAAAGTAATTTTGTCCTATAATGTTTTCACATTTATATTTTATGATACTGTCGTCCTGTTCACTGGATATATATTTTCTAATTTTGGTTGGAAGACACCGCATAGCGTTTTCTTTACACTTTAGAGCATTAGTAACTATTCCTTTGCTTCGATTTCGATGTGGTTAGTGCAGTAATCAATTAGCAAATAAATTACCTGTTAAGACATTCATTTCTAACAAAGACGGTACATTCGCACCCAATGAAAACGCCGATGTGCCAATCATTACATACGCCAAAATCGAGTATACAGAATAGAAATGCCTCCACAGTGACGAATTGGTCGGAAGCTCCAGCCTCCAGCAACCGCCGAAGATCATGGCGACTCTGGCGGCAAGAAACATGCTTTTGCCATCAGCCGTTACACTCTGTGTGGTATTTCTTTTTTTATACGGTAATATTTTACTCGAACTGATATGTATATATATATAATATCTAGTATCCAGTGACGTATCCGTGGGACGTACGAACCACGTTTACGAATTGGAGTTAACAAAAGAGATCCGAAGGGAACGTCACAAAAAAATTGATCAATTGTGTTTAAGGTGGTTAAAATTTTTTTGTTTGAGAACGTGTTGGTTTAAACACTCAGTCTAACATTACCAAGAATATATTTTTATTATATTATATATTATAACTTTTTCATATAATCGAACTTAAGGACATCTCTCCCGTGACCTGTTAAAATTTGGTGGACATAATTTGTAAGCAAGTTCAAATCCACCCACTTTTGTTGATGTTACGAGTCAAATATGTAAAATTTTATAAGACAAAGTATCAATTAATGTTAATGTTGCCATAAATATTAGCAAATATTAGCTGTAGTAAATAAATATGAACTTTTTCGACTTAAATTTGTAAAAAATAAACAATCTTAAAATTAAAAACTAACATTTTTCAATAAACAGGGATATGGATGCGCATAACTATATTTTCCACGTCCCATTCTAAAATACATTCAATTTATTCCTCCTTTTATCAAAAATGTATCCAAAATGTAATGATCGTAAAAAAGTAGGACTTTACTTTGACATAATACCAAATATTTCGATACGCTTTAAGATATTTTTGGTGAGTTTGCACAGGCAAATTACACAGGCGTCGTCCATCCTTTTTGTTGTATAGAATTACTGCAGTAGATTAAGTGATTAAAGTTGTGAATTTTTCTTAGTGCGTTTCAGAACTAAAACATTTTATGGTAAATTTTTGATAAATGCTGGTTGATCAATCTAATTAAGTCATTAATTACTAATAAAAAAAACTTTTGTTAATACATTCTTCGTTTAGGGAATGGTTTGCAGAAACACGCAAGCCGCTGGGCGGCATTTTCATATAAGGCAAAGATTTGCTAAAACTATTTATTTCTAAAATTACACACGCCGCGAAAGTAACCCTCAAATCCCGACAATAAACCCCAAGGTAGTAATTTTAGCATTATCTGCTCTTAAATTATTCACATTGTCGTTTCACGTGGCTTCTGAACAGGTAGGATAGGATTTTATAGGCTTATTTTAAGGAAATGTCAAAATATACGATACGTTACTGCTTCTTTTATATTTCGATTTGTTTTGTCGTCAATTACAACAAATTTAATGTGATAATTGCATTCTGTATTTTATAAATTTTACACAATTGGGTATTTCAATTTTTCAACCAACGGAAAAATGGCGTTTAAAAGATTCTACATCTATTCAAAGTTAATCGAAAAACGAAATTTTCGACTTTAGGGCCTTACAAATAATTACCATGTGTACTTCAAAAGTTGCTTCCTAAAACTGTAGTGTAAGAATATGCAAGCCGCATTCGCTAAAAAAAAAGTTATATAGAAATTATTTCGTTAAGTTGAATGTGCGTGTCTCAATTTCAGTTATCTTTTGTGTTACGTTTTTGAAAGTATCTACTTCAAAAATGTTTATTTTAATTTATTTAAAAGTACTAATTAAGTAGAAAACTAAAAGCACATTTATAATGTCAAAAAATCACATGGAAACATCGCAGATAACAGTGATGTCCATTGCAAGTAGATGGAACGAATTCTAACTAACCAATCCAAGTGAGCAACAAAAGTTGTACATTTAACACATTACGAATTTATTGCCCAAAAAATTTTTTATTTGCGTTAAATACTGTATTATATCAAAGTCTTAGCAATTCTAGTTCTGCATCGTCTGATGAGAATACAAACCCCTGTAGAAGAAAGGTTAAGAAACACCGGAAAACTCAGGAGCATATAGCTATGAATCAAACTCTTGACTGGAACCTTCGGCACTGCACTAACACACAATAACGCGTTTTACCACAAACCGAAACTAACCAAAACTAACCAAGTTGGCATCTTCAGGAGAAGATTAAAACTAAACTTAATAACAAATGCTCCCTCTCTCTCTCTCTCTCTCTCTATATATATATATATATATATATATATATATATATATATATATATATATATATATATATATATATATATATATATATATATATATATATATATATATATATATATATATATATATATATATATATATATATATATATATATATATATATATATATATATATATATATATATATATATATATATACTCCTGAAGATGCCATCTTGGTTGGCGAAACGCGCGTCGAGTACGTAAAATTGAGTTTCGGTTTGTGGTAAAACGCGTTATTGTGTGATATAGCTATGAAGATACGGGAAATTGAAAGAATCTGTTTGAAATTTAGCCAACAGACAACAAAATGTGAGGAAAAATAACATTCATAATAAAAAAGAAGTCTTGACTATTGTCAATTCATTGCAAAAATTCAAGATATTCAAATTAAGCAAAATTTTACTTCGATGATAATGATGGTGCATCACAAGTATCGAATTGGGGCCAAGTGGTCCTAAGGACGAGTTCTTTAAATGATGGCAAAAGTTGCCAAAGTAGTTTAGTAGTCCTTTTAAACAGGTATTCGGTCATAGTCGATATGAAGAGACTAATGTGGTCAACACGTGCATGTAAATGTTATAAAGGAGCATTAAACTCCAGTTAATTGAGCAACGTCTCATTGTAAAAGGGTTTGCCATCTTGAGCCATGGTTTTCCAAAATATAATTTTCTATATGTTTTTAATTCCCTACAAAAAATTCCCTGTTTTCTTTAATCCTTGGCGTTGAGTTCACAAAAAGCATAAAGTATAAACAATAAATAAAATGGAACATTTTATTGCGACAGCTATAAGCTGGATAAACTCAGTCATACTTACGGACATTCCCGCGTCCAGAGTCATCGGACCGAATGATCCGATTGTAATGACTAACGGTTTTTGCGACCGAATCATCATTATTTGAAGCAAAGCGTTACTTTGTTTGTCCTGCTCGTACCATTTGCTCTCGTAGAGCGCAGTTGCCAATTTGACACTCTGCAAATAGAGTCTAAACTAGTAGCAGCGAAATGAGATGTTAAATACCTGGACCATGATTTCATTGCAGTTCCACGATAGAAGCATTAATCCGCCGAAATTGGTCACCACAAAGCCAGCGTTGAAGGGCACATTGTGTCCCTCAAATGGGAAAATGTAAATTGAAATTTATCGGCGTCATTTCAGTAAATACCTACTCCGAGAACCTCTAGAATCGATGATGCAATTATTAGGGAAGACGCGACGTACTCTAAGAGCATTATAAATTTCAAGGAATCGTTGAAACTCGCCAAAAAACTACAATTCAAAAAACATAAGTACTTAAGTAGTTAGAACAATTAGTGGGGAGAAATGACCCTCACTAGATCAATTTCCGATGACTGATGCACAGCTTCTTCAAACCTTGGTGATTTACTTGGTCGGCATTGGCGATTGGTGCCTCGTCGGCGCCTTTGTGGAAGCTTCTGAATTGTTCTTGAAGTATTATCAATTGGGCTCTTAAGAACAGGAGAACTGTCTCTATGAATATGTTCACAGACAGATTGCAAGTACCCGTATTGAGTACTCTTATCGCCTGGTCTACGAGTATGTAAAAGTGGTAGTTTTCAGTGTGGAAGGGGTACCAACACAATAAAATATGTGGCTTTTCTACGGTATTGTTGTGGCTGGTCTTGGCTAATGCGTAGTTTTTCTGTGCCCCTGGAGAATACACAGGATTTATCGCAACCCCTATTTCGAGTTGGTGGTTGAAAAAGTAGAAGATACTTTTTGACATTTCTTAAAATTACTAAATTTAAAAATTAAGTGCAGAATAAAATAGAAACTTTAAGTAACTAAGACATGGCATCTGTAAATACTACCAACCTTGTGCTATTAAAGCCAATGTAGTTGCGAAAAAGACGATAGCGATACTAAGCGCTAATTTCTGGCAATAATCGACATGGCGACTGTAGACGCCTTGAGAAATTTTGTTAGGATGAGTATACAACTGATCCTCCTCTTGTCTGGCCGTTCGGACTAACTGAATATTTTTTCGTGACTGACATGCCATCGCCTTTATCAGTACAACTCCGGAAGCAATTGTGAGTGAAGCATTTTCCATTGCTATATGAAAATCCAAACAGGACATAAAAAGTCTTTATTAATAACGCGACAAAAACTTGTTACACGGAAGCTTTAGTTAATTTTAAAATAAAATATCCCTTATCATCTCGCATTAAACTGCAAATTAACGAAATACTTGAATTTCCAACACGAAAATGGACGGAGATAGAAATACGGTTTAAATAAATATAATAAATATAAATAAAAATAAATAAATAAAGAAAAATTTTCATATCGCCTATTTTTTTTTTAAACACCTCATCTGTAAAAGCTTACATAGAAAGAGAAAGAGTATTTTTTCCATTTTCGTAATCATTCATCATTGTCCGAGGGGGCAACCGCAGTAGAATAGTGTAAATTATGAATAAATTTCGTGGAATGTTTGAAAATAAGCCATTGATTTCTTTCAAAATAAAAAAACTATTCCAAATTCTCATTTAATTTGTAGTAAATTTGGTCTCTTTCTTTTTTTCTTTTTTTTCATACAACTGGGCGGTGGAATTGCTGCTTTGTGGATAAGATTCTTTTTTTTAATTAGTACTCTAAAATATAGCACAAATCAAACGTGTAGAAAGAGTTACTTTAGGATGTCCGTTATGTTGTCCACAGTTGCTAGTTTCTAGGAATAGCTCACTTCAAACAAAGCAAAAATCAAAAAGAATAATCTTTACGAAACACTTGAATCTAATTAATTAAAATTGGTATGTTTTGTTAATGCAAATAAATATTTAATATATTTATTTATATGTGCCTTTTTAAATAAGCGATTCAGTTATTCCACACGATTTAGTTTATATGTAATTCAACTTCAAAAAGCACTATGCATGGTGGTCCATAATGAAAGCTTCAAAAAGCAATCCTGGATTAAACTAGTTCCAATTCTCGAAGTTGGTATTTCTCTATGGCTTAAACATGTTTTGACATGACATGAAAACTTGGGTTCAGGATTTTTTCGCGATGGTGAATACGATTACGTTCCAGTGTTTTTCATTTGTCCCACCCCGTTATTTTTTTAAAAATTGTGACAGGGTAATGTTTTCTAGAATAAAAAGCTATTTTCCATAACACATACCGTTTTCGAGATATTTTCAGGTCACGCTCACTTCTATTAAAAAATCAGCCACTAAAAACTGGTCCCAATTTCAAATTTCATTTCCTCGAGAACCGTTCGTTATATTTTGATTCTTCAGCAACAATGCTATATATACATATTTAAAACAATAAAAGTCAATGTGAATGAGTTTATTTCTAATCCATAGCCCCATAGCCTACTAATCCTTAATGAACTGTTTCTGATACAGCGTTGAACTTGAAATAAAATATAACAATGCACATATCGAAAATACTGACTTTTCAAGAAAATAATGTAGTATAGCTTTTTTTGCTGCCCACTCTACAATAATCTTCAAAAAAAAAAAGAACGCAACGTTACTAACAAAAAAGTTGGTAGTAAGAAATAGCCTAACGAACTAGCGTCCTCGACATATGATCTGATAAAATAGCATGTTCCATTTCAAGAAGCAATAAACAGAAATAACAATTTCTACAAAAAAAAATGTTATTTCTTTATAACCCAAGCAGTTTTTGAAACATCGACATGAAAGCTGGGACACATTTCTTTAGATACATTTTCGAGTTATATGCATTTTAATTTATTTCAAGTACATCGCTGACCCAAAAACAATGCATTAAAAATATTATAAATGAACACATTCACATTGACGCTAGCGTTGACATTGACTAATTTAAATAGAAGACCCTCGATTGCTATTTTAAAACAAAATAAAAAATAACTTCAAGCGCCGCCGGCATAATGAATGATGATGTTGTAAGTAAAATGTTGTTCATTGTTGCACCTCATATATGCTCAAATCAAAAAAAGATGCCGCTTTGGCTTTCTTCTTGGAGCATACATTACGGACTAAGACTAAGAATTTTGGACCAATTCTGAGACGACACTATTTATGTTTTAATTTTCTCTGATGTTTTTACGTTGTCTCGTACCTCCGGATGATTTATTCAAGAAAAATACATTTTAAAATTTAGAAATTTGATTAGAGAGATTTAAAAAAATGACACCCTCTAAAAAGATAAATCCTAACTAGAGTGTAATTAGCGAATTTAGCATTGATTAGAGTGAAACCCACTGAGCAATATATCCAATTATGTTGAAATCGGTTAGGTAGATATTCAACTTTAATAATTTTGGGATTTTATGGAAAATATCATCCTTTCAGATAATTTTCAATTCTCATCGAAGACCCCACATATTATCCTTCTGATTTAAATTCGGAAGACGAACTTGTAAGATTGTCATTTAATTTTTTTTAACTTTAAAAATTTTTTAATACTAAACATTTATTATGTGTTGGCAGGAACCAAGACCCATTATTCTCTAGTATGAAATTACAATTCAAAAATTGAATTAATTATTCTAGATGTCTACAGATGATAAACCGTCCTGTTCAAGTAAATTACTGTTAACATCATCTAAAGTAAATACAAACCGAATGGTTATCGCCAAATGTATGTTAGGTTATTGTAATAACTGCTGGTTGAACTTTTAAAAAATCGTAATATATTTTGAAAATGAAGGAATATAAATTAACGTTTTTGTTTTCTTCATTTCGACTCTAAGAGAAAAAAATTTAAAAAAAATCTACTCCCGTCTGCAAAAGGCCTAATTACACACCGATCTAGTGTGCGAGAAGCATCACTTTACCACATCAGTTTCGTTTCCCACGAATCCGAGCCACCTCGGACATTTCCGAGATTTTACCGCACGGGTTCGGGAGCAATCGGATGTTTTAAGAGATATTTCCCACGCCTTGAATTTTGACGTTTGTCAATTCTGACGGTCATGTCAGTGAATGTATTCGCCTTGTGTTTCGAAACTGTTTGCTTATTATTATTATTTAAAATAGGCCGCAACAATATCAACATAAATTGGCATTTCATTCCAACGTTTTGGGTTCTGGAACATAAAGAATAAGATTAAACATTTTGCTATGGCGAAATTATGCAAAAAGTTGAAGTTAAAATGCTTCTTTTTCTTTGCATAGCTTCTGGTTCTAAATCAATTATTAAGTTTAGAGCGAGGTTTGAGCTTCCATGATTTAAAAATCTAAAATGAAATAATTAAAACAAAAAAATATTGTAAATGCCTACATTTTATCGCAAGAAGCAAAACTTTCGACTATCACATTTACTAAAAAAATAAATAGTAAATTAAAAGTAAGTTAATAAAAGGAGCAGAAAAAGAGACGTATAATTGTCGTATATTTTGCTAAACAATTAAAATATATTTTGTTCATTTCATTATTACTTTTTAGGATAAGGAAGAAGTGAACTCAACAATTTCCAGTTGTGCAACTGAAAACGTTTTACATTCGACAAACAAGACAATAAGAATAAATGAAATAACCCGATTTCCAGATTTTTTTTATTGTAAGAATGATGTGTTGAATTTTGCAGGACCTATATGATCTTTTGATTTTGTTCTACCGTCACCCATTTTAATTTTCTAGCTTGCTTAGAAAATTCAAACTAAATATCGAAGTAAAAAAGAGTTCATTAAAATGCCCAAAGAGAGGCAGTTCTAATATAGCAATGTATATGTATGTGTCTCATCATTATGAATACCAAAATTTGGTATGAAATAAGGATGTGGCAACTGTGTCGGAAGCCGAAAAGATGTTGTAGTAGATTTGTATATTCTCCAGGCGCACAAATGATAATATTATGTACTTTATATTGAGGACGTCGAAAACGAAAAGATGCAGAATAGTAGTGGAATGTAAAATTTAAAATTTGAAGCAACCAACTGGAATCCTGCGACTGGAATCCTGCAGACGTTTCGCCAAGATTTCACTTGGCATCTTCTATGCTCGCGCTCCGAAAACATGTGTTCGAAATGTTTTCGGAGCGCGAGCATTGAAGATGCCAAGTGAGATCTTGGTGAAACGTCTTGCAGGCCTCCCGTCGAAGTTCAACAAGCGAACGGATGATATCCCGGAATATATGGTCAACATATTTTTCCATCCGTGAATCAATCGTCTTCTAGATCATCCGGAACTAGAACTTTTATCTCTTATAGGTTGTGGTTAAAATATGCCCAATTTCGAGACTAGCCTTATCTATGACCAAGAGATTTTTTTATTTTAAAATTAGTCAAAAGTTTATTTATCAAACTAGCATGTTTAAATTCACTTTTTTCCGGCTCTTACCTGCCAGTGCATCTTTTTCAAGCAGTGCGGGAAATTTAGCACCCAACGCAAAAACCGTCGTGCTTAGCAATATCTTCGCTACAGTAGAATACGTTCTATAAGCCGTTATCCAAAAATTCGACTCGGTAGGCAGCTCCATCCGCCATATCCCGCTGACGATCATCACTATTTTGGCGGCGTAAAACATGTCTTTCCGGGAAGCCATATCAACGGGCGTTATAAATACGCAAACGATTTGGTTGGATATTTTATAACTGAGAAAATTATAGATTATTTCGCAAAGGGGTGGAATGATGGTGGATACGTCCAGTGGCGCATATCGGAAAATAAAACAAAAAATATTTTTTTGTTCCAGAATGGAATATCCTACATGAGATATTCTAGTACAGATTATAGTTTAAGAATTCTTTACGCTTCAAGAGTGAAATTTCTTTTTAATGGTTAATCTTCAAATGAAGCGGTTTTGCTGACTGGTCAACTCGGGAGTGTATTCTCCCCCAAACACTCTCCTTTCTAAACTTTAATGGTACACCCTTGACTGTGGGGTGAAAACTTCGAACTTCGCCGTTCATTCGTAAATTACATACTATGGAATTTATGTAATACACATGAACACACCTCCAATGTCTGGCTAGTAATCACGAAGGACTGCAATTCTACCTTTTGATCAATTATTTATGAAGCCGCAAGTTTTCCATTACATTATGAACCTCTGCTTTTATTTAGATTATGATTTGTCGCCTGTCTTGGTCATTCTTTCCTAGTTTTTGTTTTCCTGCTTTCGAGTTTGACTGACATTGATCTGAAATAGGCGTTTATTGGATTGTAAAACATGTTTGTTCATAAAGAATATATCATTTGTTTGATTCGATGAAATAAAACATTGATATTAACTAACCCAACAGTTGATCTAATAGACCAAATATTTGTAGTAAATTCTGTTTATATTGATATAAATAACTGATTGGACAGAGCATATCACTATTTAATATAAGTAAATGAGTTGATTAGTCATACTTTCTGTATTTAATAGTTTCTAAATCCATAATCATTGCAATCAGATGTTAAAACATATGAATTCTATTTATAACAAAGTACATTAGATTAATTTGAAAATTGAAATACTCAAATTTAAACGTTGGGGAATGAAAAATACACTTGTAATAACTTAATCAATAACCCTTTATTAATAAGCTGATACTTTAACAAAATCCAAGACAAACGCCACTCCATGTCAATATATATCTAGAAGATTCTGTTAGAACAGCTGGAATTGGTGAAGTAAATGAAACGAGGAAAAAGGAACTACACGTAAGTTTTATTAAATACATGCCGACTTCTTCATATTTTTTAAAGAAGATAGAGCAATTCAGCCAAGTGAATGTTTATTTTAGTTTAAATACATAAATTTAATTTGATTAAACAATAGTCTGGTCTGACAATGCATTTTTTATTTTTCCTGAATATTTATTTTTTTATTTTGATCAATGAAAATTTTATATGAATAGTGGGAACAGATAAGCCCATATTTAAATGAAAAACATAAAGCGATACTTTAGGAAACCGTCGACGACGCCATATTTAGCCGAAAACTAGGAGCTAATATGCAAGTTTAAGATGTGAAATATGTTACTTGGACCTCAATGTTGATTTGTATACAATACTATATGACCTTCGGCACGTTTAGTCGACTTAGTTTCAACTTCCATAATAATTACTATGCCTCCACAGTCAGCGCACCGACAACAAAATTCGCATTGCCAAGTCACGTTGGTGGGAGAGTGCTTCCTCAATGAATGATTAGTATTACATGTTTTCAAACTTATCAATGAAGAAGTTTAATCCCCCCCCCCCCCCCGACCAATACCAAAAAGTTGGAGAACTATAACGTCGTTCTTATTTAAATCAAATAATATTACTGTCTGCTTGATGGGTTAATTGAAAGTCAAAGAGTAGTTAACTTAATGGAGTTTTACGACACAAATTTGTCACAGAACCGCATGAGGAGAACTATTTCAAGTAAACAAAATGTTTCAACAGTTTTTTTAGAATAGAGGTCAAAACTGGCCTGACATAAGTCGTAAATAGTTACAATTAAAACACTTCAACTTGGATTTCAATTTAAAATTGTGAAGTTAAAAGAAATTAGGTCAAATTATTGTTGTAAACTTTATCCATTTCTATTTTATGTTGTTTTTTATTTATATTCTTTTATTTATATATTTTAATTTTTTATATGATTGGTAAATATTACTTTATTTTGATATTGCTGTGGTCAATACAGTAGTCAATTAGTAAACAAATCACCTGTTAAGACATTCATTTCTGACAATCATTACTTTAAGTAAAAATAATTTTCTACTCCCGTCTGTAAAATCCCCAATTATACACCGATCTAGAGGGCATAAAGCGTCATTTTACCACGTTTGGAAGCAACCGGATGTTTTCGGCTTGAATGTTGGCGTTTGTCAATTCTGACGGTCATGTCAGTGAATGTTGTTTTGCAACCATCTACCCAAAAACTAACGTTCGTAGAAAACGTATAGTATGCAATACCTTTCGTAAACTTTTTAAGTCGCTCGTTTATTAAGTACTCGCTCCGCTCGTGCCATTTAAACGTCAATATTTTGTCGAGACCAAAAACAACTGGTTACACTTTTCTTTAGAGTAGGGCAAAATATGATCCTTATAGATCCTCAGAAGACAGAACAAGGTTAAGATAAAAGCTAAATTAAAATATTTCAGAGCGGAAATTAATTTAAAATTCTAGAATGGCGGAATTAGGTCGAAATAACACATTAAAAGTGCTGTAATGTTTTACCTTTGGCCATTTACATTTTATGATATTGTGGTCCTATTCCCCTATTCCTTTTCAGTATCTTTAAAATAATTTAATAATATATTTTTTCTACTCCCGTCTGTAAAATACCTAATTACACACAGATCTAGCGTGCGCGAAGCGTCACTTTACCACGTCAGTTTCGTTTCCCACGAATCCGAGCCACTTCGGACATTTCCGAGATTTTACCCCCTGGGTTTGGGAGCAATCGGATGTTTCCGGATATTTCCCACACCTTGAATTTTGACATTTGTCAATTCTGACAGTCATGTCAGTGAAAGTATTCATGTTTTGCGAAAATGTAAGCAAAAACTAACGGTCGTAGAAAAAGTATAGTATGCAACACGTTCTGTAAACTTTTTAACTCACTCGTTTATTAAACCTTCGCTCCGCTCGTGTCAAATAAACTCGTGAGTCAAATGCCTTGTTGCATAATATACTATTTTTCTACTCCGTTCTGTACAATACCTAATTATACACCGATCTAGTGCGCTGTTTGGAAGCAATCGGATGTTTTCGGAGATTTTACCGCACGAGTTGAATTTTGACATTTGTCAATTCTGACGGTCATTTCATCTAATGTATTTGTGTTGTTTTGCAAAAATGTTCCCAAAAACTAATGGTCGCAGGAAAATTATAGTATGCATAATATACTATTAAGGCAAGGACTTCTATTGAAAATGTCAAATTATGTGATGCGTTACTGCCTCTTTTATATTTCGATTTGTTTTGTGCTCAATTGTGAGAAATTTATGGTGATAATTGCATTCTGTATTTTATAAATTGTCCAATTAGGTATTTATATTTTTCAGCGAACGGAAAAATTGGCGACATAGAAAAAAATCGATTTAAAGTTTCTGCATTTATTCAAAAACGATTTTTATTCTGTGCTTCTTAGACTTAGGGCTGTTCCTCAGAAGTTGCCCCCTAAGACTGTCGTGTAAGAATATGCCAGCCGCACCCGCTAAAAAAAAAATAGAAAAGGTGTGTATTTAAATTTTTTTTTATTTTTTATGTTGCGTCTTTGAGAGTACCTAATTTTTAAAATATTTACCGCCAAGAATTATTTTTTTTTCTCACTTAAACTAATATACCAATATCCCAAAAATCTTATGTTTTCTCATCCGAAAAAAGTTTTAGAAAACATAAAACTACTATTGTTTGATGACAAGTTTTAGAGAGAGAGGGAGAGAAAGAGAGAGAGAGAGAGAGAGAGATTTAAGGGTCAATTATTGCAAAAATGTGTGAATCCAAACTCAATACAAAAAGCGATAATTATTCGTATGCGAATTAAATGGTAGTATATTATAAATTAGCTCGTTTAACTTGGACTGAGTTGGACACACTTGTAGATGCTTATAAGAGAGCAGCTTGTAAGGTTGTGCCCTTTAAAAAGTTAATGTTGTTAATTGGTTTTGTTTGAATGATCTTGCTGGTCTTGTGTGGAAAAAGTTAACTCAGACAGAGTGAAAGAGAAAAATTGAGAAACCACTGTATGTGTTGATTATCGTGCAAAACTGTGAAAGATTCTTATCTGTTGTCCAGGGCTGACAAACATTTGTAGATTTGAAGAGAGCAGCATTAGTTGACAACACTATAGAAGAGACCTTGAAACTTCTTGACAAGAAGCTATGGTGAACATTGAAGAAGCTCCAGTTAATTGAGAAACGCCTCAGTGTAATGGAGTTAATGTATTAGTTTTTGTGTATTATGTTATTGTGTTCTGTATGACCTCCTAATTGATGTGTTTCTTGTTTTCTTAGATTGACAATCTAGAACTAGTGCAATTTTGGACCATCCCACTAAAGGAATTCAATCAACGTCATCCTGATAATTTACCGTTTGCTTTTAATTCTCTCCAAAAAATTTTCCAGTTTTCTTCGGTTTTTGACATTTAATTTGCCATTAAGCACAAATTATAAGCAACAAATTAAATACATTTTTTTTTACGACAGGCGGAAACTAGATAAACTCGGTCATACTTACAGACATTCCTGCATCCACGGTCATCGGACCGAACGGACCGATTGTAATGGCCAACGGTTTTTGCGACCGAATTAACATTATTTGAAGCAAAGCGTTACTTTGTTTGTCCTGCTCGTGCCATTTGCTCTCGTAGAGCGCTGTTGCCAATTCAGCGCTCTGAAAATAGAGTCTGAACGAGGCCAAATGACTTAGACATTAACTACCTGGACCATAATTTCGTTGCAGTTCCACGATAGAAACATTAAACCGCCGAAATTGGTCATCACAAAGCCAGCGTTGAAGGGGACATTGTGTCCCTCAAATGGGAAAATGTAAATTTAAATTTATCAAAGTGATTTCAGTAAATACCTACTCCGAAAACCTCTAGAATCGATGATGCAATTATTAGGGAAGACGCGACGTATTCTAAGAGCATTATAAATTTCAAGGAATCATTGAAACTAGCCAAATAACTGCAATCCAAAACACACAATTACTTGGAACAACTAGTGGGGAGAAGTGACACTCACTAAATCAATTTCTGATGACTAATGCACAACCTCTTTATGACCTGGTGATTTACTTGGCCCGCGTTGACGATTGGTGTCTCATCAATGCCTTTGTGGAAGGTTCTGAATTGTTCTTGAAGTATTATCAATTGGGCTCTTAAGAACAAAAGAACTGTCTCTATGAATATGTTCACCGACAAATTGCAAGTACCCGCATTCAGTACTCTTATCGCCTGGTCTACGAGTACATATGAGTGGTAGTTCTCAGTGCGGAAGGGATACCAACATAAGAAAATGAGTGGTCTTTCCACGGTAATGTTCTGGTGCGTCTTGACTAATGCGTAGTTTTTCTCTACCCCTGGAGAATACATAGTATTTATTAGAAAATTATTTTCAGTATTTCTCAAAATTAGTGAACTTAAAAATTAAGTAAAAAGTAAATAAGAAATTTTTCGTGAATAAAATTTGGAGTCTAAAAATATAACCAACCTTGTGCTATTAAAGCGAATGTAGTTGCGAGAAAGACGATGGCGATTATCAGAGCTAATTTCCGGCAATAATCGATATGACGACTGTAGACACCTTCAGAAATTTTGTTAGTATGAATATACAACTGGTCCTCCTCTTGTCTAGCCGTACGGATTAAAAGAAGATTTCTTGGCGACTGGCATGCCATCGTCTTTACCAATACAACTCCGCAGGCGAGTGCGAGAGAAGCAATTTCCATTGCTGTAATCAAATCCGAACCAGAAATACCAAAGATAACTCGGACAGAAACTTGATACGAGGAAATTTTGGTTAGTTTTAATATCAACATTCTTACATAAAACTGAAAATTGGGTCAATATTTGAGGCAAAAATGGACGGAGATGTCTTTAATAAAAATAGATTTAACAGACTTAAAACATATTATGTACAAAGATTGTTGTAAATACTGAGGTGCATAATTTAAACTTACAGAGAAAGAGTAAGAAGTTGTAAGGAGGTAAAAAACAAATTTATTACAGGGTATCATTTATTTAAAAGCTATTTTAATTGTATTAAATCTCACGTTTTTATAAACAAATGGGATCTCGAAACATCGACAGGATTTTTTCGAGTAAAATGTTATAGAATTACAAGCAAATTACAGAAAATTTATTGAGTAAGCTTTCAAATTTTATAATTTAAATTGGCAAAAGTTAAGAGCTTAAAAGGCCCCATTAGTTCCCAAAATGTTTCCAAGTCTGTAGTATCCTGTATGCAGCTATGGAATTTCAATCTAACAGTAAATTTTTTTATTCATAAATCAATTCTTTTGTTACTTCAAATATATTATTTATCTCCCTTTAGTTATATTACTTATCTCTCTTTTGATGCTTAATTTCAAGATTCACAACAATTTTTTATTATAAAATTAGTAAGAAATTTATTCTTTCTGATGGCATGTTTAAGGTCAATTTTTTCTCCTACTCTTACCTGCCAGGGCGTCTTTCTCAAGCAGTTCGGGAAATTTGGCCAACAAGGCAAAGACCGTCGTGCTTAGCAATATCTTTGATGCAGCAGAGTACATTCTATAAAACGTTTTCCAAAAAATCGACTCTGTGGGCAGCTCCAACCGCCATATCCCGCTGACGATCATCACTATTTTGGCGGCGTAAAACATGTTTTTCCGGGAAGCCATACCAACAGGCGTTTGAAATGCGCAAACGATTTGGTTGTATATTTTATAGCTGAGAAAATAATAGACTATTTGCAGAAGGCGCGAAGTAATACGTCCAGTGGCGCATATCGAAAAATAAAACACAAAAAAATATTTTTCAGTTCTAGAATGGAAAGTCCTCTAAGAAATTATTAAACGTGGAAGAAAACTATGCGACGAGAACCACACTTACATAAAGTCTTCTAGTACACACTATAATTTTTAGCCCAACAATTCTTTTTCGTAAGTGAAATTTCCTTTTAAATATTCTAGAAATCGGACTGTTTTGCTCGCTGACCAACTTTAAAAATTATTAGGAAGTGTCTTCTTCCCTAAACCCTTCCGATTTCGAAGCTTCAATGGGACGCCCTTGACTGTGGGGTGAAAACTTCGCCGTTCATTCGGAAATTACATACTATTGAATTTATGCAATACACGTGAGCACACCTCCAATAGCTGGCTAGTAATCACAAAGGATCGAAGTCCTACTCTTTGATCAATTATTTATGAAACCTCTACTTGCGCGCCCTGCAATATTATGAATCTGTGCTTATATTTAGATAATGATTTGTAGCGTCTTTTAGTTTTTCTTGTTTTTTTTTGTTATTGGCGCAAGCATGACCAGTTAAAAAGTATTTATTAGGCTACAAATAACATCTGCTCAAAATCAAAAGTTGAAGACACACAATCAGTTAAACTTCAAACGATGAGATAAACCATTTCCATTGGAGGGCGTGGTGTCAAAATGAATTGTAACAAACTAAAGTGTCTATGAGGAACGTTTTGTAATTATTTCCAAAATAAATAAAACTTTTTTATGGATTCAGCAAAAGACAAAGTTAATTCTCATATTTGAGCTAAATGTTCATTAAAAAATAACGCCTAACGATTTTGGCTACTTTTGCTGTTACGGATTGGTTTTTCTCGTAACACAACTAGTAAAATTACGTTATTTTTTCTTACCGCTCCCGCTACGAAAAGGTTTCTATACAACTACAATATTAGTATATAAAAGGATCTCCTTCAACATATTTTAAAAGTTTCGTCAAGCAGAGAAAAATTATTATAGTCGAAACGACGATACCCGGTTAAAATAAGGGCCACCGCAATACTAATACACCGAACTTCCCTCCAATCAAATGCCGTAACATTTTTATTTTTCATAGATAGAGTTGCCGAATTTACGTCTTGCAATTTTTTCAATTTGTGAATTGTCTGTGAAAAAACAGAGAATTTTCGTAACCAGAAATGTGTGCAAACAGGTGATTATTTCTATTTTTTAATTATTAAAACATATGTATCCTAGTTTTAATTCGCAAGTAACAGTTAGAATCGCTTTTTTCAAATAAATTGCTATCTTCAAAAATAAAAAGGTTACAGCTTGTTTGCTTGTTTTACGTTGTCTCTTAGCCATTCTACTGGCTTGCATATTCCTAAGACGATCCTTATATATATATATATATATATATATATATATATATATATATATATATATATATATATATATATATATATATATATATATATATATATATATATATATATAGCCCGTGCCATAAAAAACCTCCAAAACTCGTACAAAGTAGAGTTGGATACATCATACGAGACAATCAGATTTTACAAAAATTGAAAAATGTTTGGTGATTGTTTCATAGAATTGCCATACTGTATACAAAGACAATAAATTAATAAATAAAAATAAAATAAGAAAGAGCATTTTTACTTATTATTTAAATCTTTAGCCTAAATTAAATTAATTAATTAAACGGTAATTAAAAAGATTATTAAGTAAATTAATTGAATGCACAGGATTTCAATTTTATTAACAACGCAAACAGGTCAAAATATTTTATATACTAAACTTTAGTGCACTGAAAACACAATTAATGTCTGCTTTATTAGTTTTAGATTATATTAGATTACTTCAGTAGGAAACAATGTACAAATGGTGAGCTTTTGAATATGTAATTATAAAAAATATAAAAACATTTTGACGTTAAAATGAAAACATGCTTACACACAAATCAATTAGTTACTGTAGACCTTATAACTGGAGAACGTGACAATGAAACGAATACTCCTAGCAATCCAAATGCCTAGAAATAAAAAACGTATTTTGTTTCTTAAAAGAATTAACACAAAATGTCACAATCAAAGTTTGTGCCTGCTCGGGCAACAAAAAAATCAAATCAAAATTTCGGTAACAACAAAATGTAGATTTTTTTTTTCAGAAAAAACTGACTAAAACAATTAAAACTGTAAAATTTAAACACTTTTGTTTTAAATGATTTTCATAATTAATATATTAATTTAAAGTACATTATGCAATGCAAAACTCATATCGTGTGCGACGGCGAACGCTGATAAGAACGCTAATAGGATACTGTGAGCTACGATTTTAGGAGAGGAGGAAACTTGAATGCATCTCCTGACCAGCTGCCCACCACTGAGAAACAGCCGATTAAGAAGAATGCCTAATTAACTCCGCATCTTGTTCGTCTATGGTGGAAAGACTTGCTTCGACGTTGGAAACGATCTCTTCGACGGGTACTCTTTTTGGAGCTATTGCATAGTTAAATCCTGAAATATTATGAACTGTACTGCTTCGGTTTGTATTTGGCACTTGTCCTGATTTTTTGGAATTTGACTGAAGGATTTCTAATTTCTTCCACAGTTTTTTTGACGTGATGTCCTTGTCTTTCTCAGTGCCCCATGATGTCACCGGAGTCTTAAGACAGTCAAAACCACCGCAACCAAACTTAAGCAGAGAAGAAATGCAAGCCTTAAGGAATCTAAACAAAAACGAAAACATTCTAATAATGCCAGCAGACAAAGGAAATGCCACTGTCGTCATGAATACGTCGGATTATAATGCAAAATTGGAGGATATTTTGAACGACCCAATATACAAACTAGTCACCAGAGATCCCACGACATATTTGGAAAAAACAACTAAGTCCAAAATTCTCGATTCATCAATAAACGAGGATACAAAGAAGAAACTTATTCCGAGGGAAAAATCGAGTCGTTGCCCAAAATTCTACGGGCTCCCAAAGATCCATAAGGAAGGGGTTCCCCTGCGTCCAATTGTAAGCGCCTTTAACTCACCATTATGCAAGCTGGAAAAACATCTGGCCAGTGCACTTCAGCCTATAGGCAGATTCCTATGTTAAAACTCAGAACATTTCACTCAGATTTTAGGTTCTCTCAGGATGGACAAGGACGACATTATGGCAAGTTTCGATGTCAAATCCCTCTACCCGAGTATTCCAGTAGAAGAGGCACTCTTGCTTATAGAGGAAAACGAAGATCTTCCGCCATACACAATGGATCTGTCAAGACATTGCCTGAAAAACGCTTACTTTATGTACAACGGGAAAATTTACCGACAAACAGATGGAGCAGCAATGGGATCATCTCTCTAACCTGTTATTGCCAACCTCTTCATGATTTACTTCGAAAAGAAAGCAATAGAGAAGGCAAATCTGAAGCCAAAACTATGGACAAGATACGTTGATGACGTATTTGTTGTATGGCCTTTTGGCAAAGAGGAGCTTTTGAAATTCCTAGATCATCTGAATTCCATTCACCCAAGGATTCAATTTACAATAGAACTTGAAGAGGATGACAGTCTGCCCTTTTTAGATGTGCACATCACAAGGACCGAAGATGGACACTTGGAACACACTGTCTTTAGAAAACCAACACACACTAATAGATATCTGAACGCTAAATCTCATCACCACCCATCACAGATACAGGCAGTGGCAAATTCATTAATTGCTCGGTCCTTCAGGCTCACAAACGAGAGGAACAGAGATAAAGAACTGAAGAAAATTAGTACCTGTCTTCGACAAAACGGATACCAAAGGCGCACCATCAGCAAGGCAATCAGTAAACAACAACAGCCGCAGCAGAGAGTGCAGGACGAGACCCAACGAAGATCGATCGCTGTCCTACCATACATCAAGGGGGTTACTGACAAAATCGGTCGAATATTACGGAAACACGACATATCAACGGCATACAAACCTGACCATACCATCGGAGCAATACTAAGAAACCCAAAACAAAAAATTACTCTGGAAAACCAAGGAGTATACAGTGTAGCATGCGGATCGTGCAGCCTGACGTATGTGGGACAGACCAACAGAAGGATTTCAGCCAGGCTCAAGGAACATCGTTTAGCCATAAGAAACAAACAAACAACATCTGCTTTGTTTCAGCACCAACATCAGACAGGCCATAAAATTGATTTCGGCACTTGCAAACAAATAGCTAATATTCCTGATTTTAGGACTAGGATTATACGAGAGGCCATCGAAATAGAAAAGTCCGGACACCTCAATACGAGAGACGACGCTCTGAATCAATACGTGAGAATATATATATATATATATATATATATATATATATATATATATATATATATATATATATATATATATATATATATATATATATAGGTACTGCAATAACCCGAAGAATAAAAAGGTTTGTATATTGTAATCTCCCGTTGTCACCAATAAAGAGAAAAAAAACAATTAAAAACAAGACATAAACATAACTTTGTTGTTATTTGTTTTTTAACTCATTATATTTTCCTTTAATAATTGTATTTAAATAAAAGAATCGGTGGTTTAATTCGAATTCTTTTATGGTGTACACCATGAGTTCACTGCGAATGTAGTAAGACCATAACAAATAACATTATAGTGTTCTTAAGAAAATAATTATCACACCAAATCAAAAATACAAGTCTAGTGTCTGTAGGAAAAAATAATTGAAAGTCAAAGAATAATAAACCTAATGTGGTTCTATAACACAATTGATCACAGAACCGCGTAAGAAGAACTACTTCAGGTAAAATCATTTATTTTGCTAAGGTAAAAAATATGTTACAACAGTGTTTTTAGAGTAAGGGCAAAGCATGATTCTCAGATATCCAAGACGTCAGAACAAAACTGACACAAATGGTAAATAGTTACAATTATACAATTAAAGCACTTCATCTCTAAATTTAATTTAAAATTTTACAATAAGACGCATTTAGGTCAAAGTGAACTTAACATTAACAAATAATTCAGTGGTGTAATGTTTTAATTTTATCCATTTACATTATATGTTAGTAACGTTTTTTTACACTTTCTATTATTAGTAAATATTATCAGTGCAGTAGACACTTACCAAATAAATTATCTGTTGAGATATTCATTTCTAATAAACGAAAACGCCAACGTACCGTTCACACTTCAAATAAATAGTTTGCCAATACAAAAAATACTTTTTTATACTTCCGTCTGTAAAATACTTAATTACCCGCCGATCTACAGTGCGGGAAGCGACACTTTACCACGTCAGTTTCGTTTGCCACGAGTCCGAGCCATTTGGGACATTTCCGGGATTTTACCGCACGGATTTGGGAGCGATTGGATGTTTTCGGAGATATTTTCCACGCTTTGAATTTTGACGTTTGTCAAATCTGGTGGTCATGTCAGTGAATGTATTTGTGTTGTTTTGCGAAAATGTACCCAAAAACTAACGGTCGTAGAAAAAGTATAGTATGCAACACGTTCGGTAAACTTTCTAACTAAAAACTCGATCCGCTGCGCTCCGCTCGTGTCAAATAAACTCATGAGTCAAATGCCTTTTACCGCCCTTGTTGCATAATATACTATGGTAGAGTAGGACGAAATAGGATCCTTATAAGGGGTGTTTTTTTTAGATGTATAGAACTTTAAGTTGCAATAAAACAACGATGGATTATTCGATTGAAATGAATTTTATTTATCCAAAAGATAATCTTGTGGCATTACATGATATGATTTCTGGCATGTCACCGCCACGGCTGGCGCGGATATAGTCCAATCTGGACATCCAATTTTCGATGACTTTTTCCAACATTTGTGGCCGTATATCGGCAATAACACGGCGAATGTTGTCTTCCAAATGGTCAAGCGTTAATGACTTATCCGCATAGACCAATGACTTTACATAGCCCCACAGAAAGTAGTCTAGCGGTGTTAAATCACAAGATCTAGGAGGCCAATTCACAGGTTCAAAACGTGAAATTAGGCGGTCACCAAACGTGTCTTTTAATAAATCGATTGTGGCACGAGCTGTGTGACATGTTGCGCCGTCTTGTTGAAACCACATCTCCTGGACTTCATGGTTATTCAATTCAGGAATAAAAGAGTTAGTAATCATAGCTCTATACCGATCACTAATGACTGTTCTGGCCATCATCGCTTTTGAATAAGTACGGACCAATGATTCCACCAGTCCATAAAGCACACCAAACAGTCAGTTTTTCTGGATGTAACGGTGTTTCGGCATACACTTGAGGATTAGCTTCGTTCCAAATGCGGCGGTTTTGCTTGTTGACGTAGCCATTCAACCAGAAGTGCGCTTCAAAATTCGCTTATGAAAATCGGGAACAACGGCAATCTCGTTTTGGGCCCATTCGGCGAATCTACGCCTTACTTGATGATCGTTTGGCTTCAATTCTTGCACGAGTTGTATTTTGTAAGCACGTAAACCAAGATCCTTCCGCAAAATCTTCCATAAAGTGGATGGACACAGATCCAATTCCTGTGCTCGATGGCGGATGGACTCATTCGGGTCTTCCTCAATGCTACGCTCTACAGCAGCAATAGCTTCTTCTGTACGCACCGTCCGGCGTCTCTTGGGATGCGAATTATCAATAAGAGTAAACGTGGTGCGAAAACGTTTCATGGTTAATCGAATTAACTGCTCTGATGTATGATTTTGTCGACGATAAAATGAACGTAGTGCGCGATACGCATTTCGCACAGAACCATTATTTTCGAAATAAAATTGCACTATTTGCAAGCGTTGTTCAGACGTGAGTCTATTCATGATGAATTGCCAAACCAAACTGAGAATAAATCACTTCATAGTTGTTAAATCGGTCGCCATCTTGAACAGTAATGCCAACTTAAAGTTCTATACAACGAAAAAAAACACCCATTAGATCCTCAGAAGTCAGAACAGGACTAAGATACAAGGTAAATAATTACAATTAAAACATTTCATAGCGGGCTTAAATTTTAAATTCCAAAAAGAGAAAGAAAGAAAGAAAGACAGTTTATGAGAAGTGAATTAGCAAGTTAATTAACATATTGACATATTATTCTTTCTCTGCAACAGTTAATTTTTTTTATACATTATTGCAAAACAGTACCAATACATTCACTAAGCGACATGTGCAGTAACATCTGATCGTTTCCAGACTCGTGGTTAAAGTACCGTACCTAAATCGTTCGCAACTGTAGGTGACGAGGCTTATGTTTTAAAGCACACGTTGCCCATGTTTGTTCAGGGGATAATAGGAAATTTATAGCAGGTAGTAGAAATATACGCATAGCACTCTCCTCTAGGCAGCGATATAGATGCGCAAAAATATTTTAAGGCAAGGACTTTTCTGTGATATTAGTAGAGAAAATTAAACAACTCATAGTATTTGGAGACACTTTAAGATATTTTTGGTCGGTTAGGCTTCTGTTGAATAGATTTACAACAAAAAATGAACTGACTAAAGTCGTGACTTAATCTTAAGCCTTTTCAAAACTAAAATCTTTTATGATAAAATTTTTCTAAAACCCTCATTCAAGGGAGCACTTGAAGTATGTATATTTTATTTTGGTTGATTAGTTTAGGTTTATTTGAAGCAAATGCAAAAATACTTCGATTTGTTCTGTGGTCAATTGCAAACAAATTTAACGTGATAATTGCATACTATATTTTATGAATTGTACAATTCGGTATTTACATTTTTGAATTAACAAAACAATGGTGGCTTAGGAAAAATTTGTTTTAAAGTACATCTATTGAATGTTCATCGAAAAACGAAATTTTGTTCTGTTCCTCTCAGCTTTAGGGCTTCGTCAATAAGTACCATTTGTGCCTCAAAAGTTGCCTCCTAAGACCGTCGTATAAGAATAAGCAAGCCGCATTCTCTAAAAAAAAATCATCAGTCAACACATTCAAGCAATCAAATTAAATATAACCCCAGAAGTGTTATGAGACATGAAAATTCCTTCGTTAGGTTTAAGGTGCGTATCTCAATTTTATTCATTTTTTATATTAGGTCTTCGAAAGTATCTAATTTTAAAAATATTTATCGGTAATAGTTATTTGTTTTCGCAATTAAATTACTCTACTACATCTGAGGAAGTTAAAAAAATTGCTGTTTTTTGGGATACACATGTTGTTGACACAACGATTTTAATATTAACCTCATTCCTACAAAGGATGAAGATGGAACGAATACTAATGAACCAATCCAAGTGAGCAACAAAAGCTCCACATTTAAAATTGTAACGAATTTATTGACTCCATTGCGAGAAGGAACACCTACTAGAACTAACGTCGATGGAGTTGCCTTGGATGGTTATTCAGACTATAATTTTCTTTTTGCTTTTAATTCTATAGAATATCAGCGTCTAAGCAATTCTAGTGATTTATCAAGTTCATCTCTGACGAGGATACAATACGCTGTAGAAGAAATGCTAAGAAATACCGGAAAAGAAAGGATATTGCTATGGAGATACCAGAAACACACTAAAACTGTATAAATAAGGTGCTGAAGTGTCTTAAAAATAAGGTAACCCAAAGTTTGGCGCCTCCTCGAAGAAGAATATGCGTATCAACATTAACGCGAATTGTATCTTAGAATTTAACGCAAGTGCTGATCCACAAGGTACTGTCTGGCAAGGGGCTTGGTAAACTTGACCAACAGGGATAAATAAACTATTAAATTAAGATTACAAACCAAACAGAGGGCTTTACTAAAATATGGTGTAATGACCTGAATAATTATAAGCACTCACAGAGTGGGTAGAAGTAACTATTCATCCAGAATTTTCCTGAGCATTCAGATTTCCTACTATTCTTAGAAACCTTATCGAGTGGCAAAAAATGGACTCGGTGAAATTCTATTATAAAGACAATGTAAAAATCTGTTTTTAATTGTAGTCGACAGACAGCAAAAGGAACATATAACTCACATAAACTCGAAGAAATGGTTGTAGTTAATTATTTGCAAAGATTCCTTTGGGGTAATCGATTAAGGTGGGCTAAGCACAATGATGAAGAAAGAGGATTTAATTCCGAACATTGTAACACTAGTTTTGTTGTTTAAAACTTCAAAAAATGGCAAAGGACCAGGGAGCAAAGAAATGCATTTCAAAACCACCTACTAGAATTAACGTAGATTCGGTTGTGTTGCAGTTGGCTTTGTTAAGAAATAACATGTCAATTTGAGCGATAGGTTTTCTAATTGCTTTTAATTCTATCCAAAAAATCATCTGTTTTCTGCATTGAAACAATAAGTGAAATAGAATATTCAATGACGACAGGCAGAAGCTGAATAAACTTAGTCACACTCACCGACATTCCCGCATCCACGGTCATGGGACCGAATGATCCGATTGTAATAGCCAACGGTTTTTGCGACCGAATCATCATTATTTGAAGCAAAGCGTTACTGTGCTTATCCTGCTCATACCATTCGCTCTCATAGAGCGCCGTTGCCAATTCTGCACTCTGAAAATGGAATCTAAACTAGGAGCACCGAAATGTGTTAGACATTAAATACCTGAACTATAATTTCATTGCAGTTCCACGATAGAAACATCAATCCACCGAAATTGCTGATCACAAATCCAGCGTTGAAGAGAACATTGTGTCCCTTAAATACATAAATGTAAATTTAAATTGATCGGAGTCATTCCATTAAATACCTACTCCGAGAGCCTCTAGAATCGATAATGCAATTACTAGAGAGGATGCAACGTACTCTAAGAGCATTATAAATTTGAGCGATTCGTTGAAGCTGGCCAAGTAACTGCAAGCCAAATACCATAAGTGCTTAAAACAATTAGGGAAGAAATTAACGCTCACTAGATCAATTTCTGATGACTGACGCACAACCCCTTTACAACATGCTGATTAGTGTGATCCGTGATAGCGTTTGGTGCCTCGTCAGTGCCCTTGTAGAAGGTTCTAAATTGTTCTTGAAGTATTATCAATTGGGCCCTCAAAAACAAGAGAACTGTCTCTATGAATATGGTCGTCGAGAGATTACAAGTGCCCGCATTGAGTACTCTTATCGCCTGGTCTACGAGTACGTAGGAGTGGTAATTTTCAGTGCGGAAGGGATACCAACATAAGAAAATAAGTGGTCTTTCTACCGTATTGTTTTGGTCGGTCTTGGTATATGCGTAGTTTTTCTGTATCCCTGTAGAATACACAGGATTTATGACAATCGTTATTGATTCAAAAAATAGAAAATATTTTTCGGTATTTTTATGGTAATTAAAATTTGGAGTCTATAAATACAACCAACCTTGTGCTACTAAAGAGAACGTAGTTGGGAAAAAGACGATAGCGATGATCAGAGCTAATTTCTGACAATAATCGACGTGACGACTATAGACACGTTGGGAAATTTTGTTAGCCTGGATATACAACTGGTCCTCCTCTTGTCTAGCAGTTTGAATTAATTGAAGATTTCCTCGCGACTGACATGCCATCATCTTCGCCAGTACAACTCCAGAAGCGACTGCGAGAGAAGCAATTTCCATTGCTGTAAGAATTCAGAACTATAAATGCCAGAAATAACTCGGAAACAAGATTGACACGCGAAAACTCTGGTTAGTTTTAAGATAAAATGACCACCATCGGCACATGAACCAAAAAAATTAAGTAAATATTTGAATTTCCAAGGCAAAAATGGGCGCAGGTGTGTTTAATAAAAATATTTTTAATAGGCTTAAGCTTCATGTCAGCCCACATAGAATGAGTAAGAAGTGGTAAGAAGGTAAAAAACTATTTTCTCACACGGTACCATTTATCTCAAATAAGTTTTAATTTTCTCTGTATTGAACCTGACGTTTTTATACACAAATGGGATCTCGTAACATGGAGAGGATTTTCCCGAATAAAATATATTTGTAAATCGAGATACAAATATTTGCTAGCGCTACAGGCAAATGACAACAAATATTTTGAAAGAGTTTGAAAGTTAAAATGTGGGCAAAATGTTTCAAAGTGTCAAGTGTCCTGTCCAACTATACAATTCCAATCCAATTTTTAATTGATAAATCATTTCTTTTGTTACTTTAATTAAATTAAGCGTCTTCCAGATCATGTGGAACTAAAACTTTTTGGCCTAATGTAGAGATTAACTATACTCAAAAGATTTTTTTATTGTAAAATTAATCAGAAATTTATTCTTGCAAGGTGGCATGTTTAAAGTCAAATTTTTCTCCTGCTCTTACCTGCCAGGGCGTCTTTCTCAAGCAGTTCGGGAAATTTAGCCAACAACGCTAAGACGGTCGTGCTTAGCAATATCTTTGATGCAGCAGAGTAGATTCTATAAACCGTTTTCCAAAAAATCGACTCTGTGGGCAGCTCCAACCGCCATATCCCGCAGACGATCATCACTATTTTGGCGGAGTAAAAGATATTTTTCTGGGACGCCATACCAACAGGCCTTTGAAATATGCAAGAGATTTGGTTGGATATTTTATAGTAGGGAAAATTATAGATTATTGGGAGAAAGGGCGGAGTGATACGTCCAGTGGCGCACAAAATACAACACAAAAATAATTTTTCAGTTCCAGAACCTAAAATACTCCAAAAAATTATTAAACGTGGAAGAAAACTATGTGACAAGAACCAGATCTACTTAAAACCTTTTGGTACCCACTATAGTTTCTCGTCCAAGAATTCTTTAGAATTAATAAGTAGAATTTCTTTTTAATTATTCTAGAAATCGAACTGTTTTGCTAGCTGACCAACTTCAAAAATTATTCGGGAGTGCATTCTTCCTTAAACCCTTCCCATTTCGAAGCTTCAATGGGACGCCTTTGACTGTGGGGTGAAAACCTCGCCGTTCATTGGGAAATTATATACTATCGAATTTATGCAATACACGTGAACACACGTCCAATGGCTGGCTAATAATCACAGAGGATCGAAGTTCTACCCTTTGATCAATTATTTATGACACCTTTACTTGCACGCCCTGCAATATTATGAATCTGTGCTTTTTTAGATAATGATTTGATGCGTGTTTTAGTTTTTCTTTTTTTTTGCTGTTTTTAGAATAATGACGCAAGCATGACCAGTTTAAAAGTCTTTATTTGGTTACAAATAACAATTGCTCAAAATTAAAAGTTGAAGACACACAATCAGTTAAACTTCAAACGATGAGATCAATTGTTTCATTGGAGGGCGCTGTACCAAAACGAATTGTAGCATACTAACGCGTCTATGAGGAATACTATTGCCGATATTAATCCAAATTCCTGAAACAAAATTAACATTATTTTAATTACACAGTTAATAAGTATATAATTTAAATCGGATATAATGATTAGGAATAAGTTTGTTTTAAAAGTCACCTTGGTCATTACTTTATAATTAAGTTTAACTTTATATTGTATTGTTTTTAATATGATTTTTAATTATTTTTAAAATTAATGAAAAGACAGAATTTATGGATTCTGCCAAAGGACAAGGTCAATTCTGATATTTTAGTTAAATATTCATTAAAAAATCAAGCAATAAGAAGAAAACTCGCTAGTTTCCGATCCAGCCTAACGATTTTGGCTATTTTTGCTGTTATGAATTGGTTTTTCTCGTAACCCGACTTGTAAAATTACATTATTTTTTCTTACCCCTCCTGCAATGAAAAGGTTTCCATACAACTGCGATATCAGTATAGAAGAAACTATCACTAAGTATATAAATAATATAAATAGAAGTATGTGCTGGTACAGTAAAACTCCTTCAACGTATTTTCCAAGTTTCGTCACGCAGAGAAAAAATATTATCGTCGAAACGACGATACCCACTACGATTCCACCTTCGAAACACTTTATCAGCTCGTTTTTTCGACCATCTATAGCGGTTAAGATAATAGCCACCACGAGGAATATCTGAAAACAAATATCGCCAACTAATATACCGAACTTCCTCTGTTTTAATTCGCAAGTAACCGTTAGAATCACTTTTTTGAAATAAATTGTTATTTTCAAAAATAAAAAAGCTACAGCTTGTTTCACGTTATCTCTTACCAGTTCTACTAGCTTGCATATTCCTAAGACGCTCCTCACGTAGCCCGAGCCATAGACGACCTCCAAAAATGGTAAAAAATTGAATTAGATCAGTATATCGCACAATGAGATTCAGATCGTATTTTACAAGATTTAAAAAATGTTGGTACATGTTTTACTCTGTGCACAATAAAAATACAATTTCCCTGTAGAGTGAGTGATATAAAAATATCGTAAAATCTTACTGCTTTAGTGTAATTTGAAACAAATCGAAATTTTGTAAAAGTTGATGAAGAAAGAGCATTTAGTGTAAACTTTGGAGATCCTAAATTATATAGTAATTATAAAGTATTACAAAGTAAATTATATCTAAAATTATAAATTGTTTCGAGTCCGCCACTGGATGTCAATTTCACAATTAAACATGAACCAGTTATTTATATGCTTAAAATTTCCTGAAACGGCACTATTTGTTTACTCTCAAAATCGTAAATCCTATATAAAGAGTTTGATTAAAACGATTATTGGACTATTAATATTGCGTTTGACCTTGGTGATTTTTTAGTTAAAAATAGGCAATTATTTACTCACTCTTTCAAGACTGTTTGAACAAATCAAAATAGATGAAAACTTAAGCATTTACGTATTTAGTCATTACTTACTGTCATTTTTCCCCGAGGATAATAATGCAAAATTGGCACACCACGTTGCACATACGCTACCGACGCATTTCTTGTTGTGGAAGGCCGCTGACATCAAATGCATCTGCGATAAATCGGCTTGGGATTTTCCAAACAACTAAGAGCATTGTGGGAAGGAACGGCGATATACCGAATAGCGTGTGTCAAGTTTATACTACACGGAAAATATTTCAGGGTCGGTTTAGCAGTTTTAGATTAGTTCAGTTGGAAATAACTTTCAAATTGGAGCTTTTGAACATTTTATTATAATAAATATAAAAACATAATGATGCGAAAATAAACATGCTTACATACAAATCAGCCTGTTCCCGTAGGACTTATAACTGACGAACGTGTCTATAAGATAGACGAATCCTCCTATCAGTCCAAACGCCTAGAAATAAAAATAAAAAAATATATTTTATTTTTAAAAAACACAAAACGTCATAACTAAAGTGTGTGCCTGCTCGGTCATGAAAAGAACAAACTAGGATAATTTTAGTAACAGATACATTTTTTACTGACGTAAAAATAGGGGCCAAAGTTGATAAAATTACGGAAACAGCCGAATGACCAGTAGCGGCGGAATTGTATTGTTTTTAATATTTAAAAGTATGTTTAGGAAGAGATGGCTGTATTGGTTAAAATGTTCATTTGTCCAAATCGTATCGGGCGTCCGGGGCTCGTTCGTGGCAGCGCGGCAAAGCGTTTCCGTGGAGAAAGAATTTTCCTCGATAGAGAATAATTACGATTTGTTTACATTACAATGTTTTTACAATACATCTGTTAATATTTACAGTGGCTCAGCTTAAAACGTTCAGTTGCGATTATCACGAATTATGAAAGATTAATAAAAACGTGTGCCAAATTGTTCTCACAACTAAAATTATTGATAACTTTCAAATTTATTCAATAAGCAATATGATTTATCAGTATCTTTATCCAACACTTAAACGGCGACTATTTTGAGGATATGGTGGCCAATTAAAACACTTTGGATTATGCAAAAAATTAACCATTACCTAGCATACCCAAGAATCAAAAAGTAAAAGTTACCTAAATAGTGATCAGGAAAACAAGTATGAAAAAATTGAAATTGCCTTAAAATTTTAGAAAAGAACAGCGCCAAATTGTAAAATAAAAATCCCTTAGGTGCCTATGAAGGACACCTACAGCTTCATTGTAGTATGTATAATAGAAGTTGTATTTTTTTTAGCTTAAACAATAACGTAAATTGTTGTTCTTTATATCATGTCCAATAACCTCTATTTTATTTTGTAAACTGTTAATTTTATTTTGTTTGTAAGTACACTGTATAGTGGAAACCACCCATATAGATAATTAACCAAAATCAAATATTTAACCGCCCTTTATAAATTAATTTGCTATCAGAGCCATGTTTACACTTGTATTTTAACCTCTCACTTTATTTGGATAAATGTTTCGGCCGCTTTCAGGTGTTCGTCGCCGGTGCCTAGCGTGATTTGGACAAATTCACATTATAGCATTTGTGGTTTTCCCGTTTAGGAAGCCAATGATCCCACCAAAATGGATGTTTGTGATGTGTACCGTAGTCGATGTTTACACACTTTCTTTTATATTATACAGTGCCTGTTAAACTAAATACAGAACTCTTATAATGTCTTCAAACGGCAGATTTTAATTTAAGTTATAACCATTAATTAAATGATATTCGAAATGGAAATTCTATATTTTCATAATATAAAAAAATAATATATTTCGAGAATTCCAAGGAAATTCAGGAGCTCAACGAATTATAAGTGCAGTCTACCAATCAATTAATCAATCAAACTAACGGAATCGTACGTCGCAACGATTCCTTTGCGGCTCAATCGGAGTTGGTAGCAAAGGGAATGAATGTTCAAAGTGTCGAAAAGTTCGTGTGGGATCGGGTCGACCCGCTAACAACTGAGACGCGACCTACAAAGTTATACGTGACTGAATAAATAAAATTTTTAGGTTAAGCCATCGATTTTTATAGGAATATCAAATTTAATTCTTATTTTAAATTATTTTTACTATTGAGGTAAAATTTTATTATATTTTAAAACAGGAATTCAGTTAATTTTACGTCTCAAATTCATAGGTTAGGTAGGTTAAAATGTAGAACAGGAACAAAAGCAATCAACAAATACTTTTTCAAGGCGCAAAAGGTGTAGTGAAACGGTGTAAAATTCATTTAATATTTGATAGCAGCTCAAAAAAGGTATTTTGCATGTTAAGTACAAAAAATTACGCTTTTTATAGCATTTTTTAATCATTTGTAGGTTAATAAATGATGTATGTATATATAAGTTATTGGAAAAAGGTACCTCAGATGTACTAACAAATGTCAACAAATTATGAAAGGTTGCAGAAAATGTGGCATTCATTTTAAGAAAGGGGCAACATAATCATGAACACTTGGAAGGCGAAATTCAAGACAGGAATTTCCAGAGGTGCTTGATGGAACCATGTATAAGAGAGAAAGGAGACCCAAGGAATATATATCATAGACTTGCGACAAGGTAAAGAAATTATTAGTATAAAGTAAAAATTATAGTATAAATGGGTACATTACACTACCATTGAAACCAAATAGGTGCTGATAAATTCCAATTATGTTAATGCAATTTTAGGAATGCAGAGGATGCCTTAGTAGTTCCCTTTCGCTCAGTACAAACCTCTCTGCAAGGGTAGACAAACAACAAGACCAAATATTCCTGTAGAATGAGAGGACTTGCCTAGAGACCTGGGAGTGGCGATACAAAGTGCCACAGAAGTGTGGCATCAGCCCCTCCACCCCCCTCTATGAAAGGTTGAAATTTGAGACACAAGGATTAAAAAGGATTTTACATTTTTAGTGATATTAGCCAAATTGTCAGACCTGCCCTTTATCAGATATGGGCAAAACATTTTGATTGTTTCAGAGATTAGCAAGTATTTTCTTTTCTGGGTAGGTCATCTCTAGCTTTATATAGCTTAATAGAAGCCACCAATAAATGTTAAATACCTGTCGAAATGAGACTAGGCATTGACCTTTCTTGGCGCTATGTTTGTCATTAGTAAAAGTAATGGTAACTCCTAGTAAGGTGTATACAGGTAGAGGTTACCTTTGTCATAAAAATACCAAATGTTATTCTTACAGGCTTTTACTTTGACAAGGCACTGTGAATTGGATACTGTGTCCCATTTTGGTCATGACTGAAGGGTACGTCCATTGTTAGTGACGACAGAGCCTTGCATTTTCGCAAACCTTTTCTTTTCTGTGAAACGAAAGATAATGTTGACAAAATTCTTATAACCTAAATAAAGTTTGTTTTTTTTTTTTAATAGAATTTGATTCCTCTTGGTATGAACGTCTCAAAAATGTATAACAGTATGGGGTTATTTGTATAAACTAAATTAATTACTGAATTATATTAATCATTTAATAAATTAAGCATTTTTTCACCCATTTTCTTACTTACATACACCGCGCACAGCTTTAATATGGAACACTACTAAATAGGTTGGCCCTGATAAGAAACTGTACGTCAAAAAAGTGAAACATTAAAAAATAGCTATTAAAACAATGCCTTTTGAAAACTTCGAAAAATTCGACATAATTAAATGCTTTAATATTTGCTTAGCAGGTCGACTTTTGAACAGTTTTTTTAGCTTTATAAATTAAAATCAATTATGTCCAGATTTGCAAAAAATGCTAATATTGAATAATTTTTATGTTCCTTATTATTTTCAAAAATTGTTTTAATATCTAGGTTATGGTTTGGTTTTCTTTTTTAATAATATATATATGAAATGTTACAAAAAAAATGTTAATATTAAACTAAGTTGGCTTCATACAAATTATAAAACTTATTGTATAATATAAGTATTGTCAGGAATAAATAAGGCACCTATTTTGGATATTTAATAAATGATTTTTCCGCAAATACCTTAAAAAACTTAAAAAAAAATATTAAAAAAAAAAAGATTTTTGTGAGGTCATTTATACAAATAACCCCATAATGTTATACATTTTTTAAAAGCTCATACCAAGCGGAAAAAACTTTTTATTTCAAAAAGACAAAACTTCCCCAAAACTTCAAATTTATAAAATCACCCTGTATTTTAAAAGCTAAGCAAGTCATGACAATTTTTGTCTTTCGTTTCGCAAAAAAGTGTCAAAGGTTTACGAAAACGCAAGGCTCTATTTTCACTAACAACGAGCATATCACTCAGTCGCGACTATAATGGGACACAGTGTAGATAAAATGCCAGGATGTGCGTGGAAAAATTTTTTTTGCAGAAATACTCTGTATTACAAATAATTATTAAAATGCTTGTTTTAAATTTTTGTTTCATTTCAAGTAGTGGAACAGTTTTACACCAGAAAAGATGAACAATTAATACAAACATTTTCTGCTACACAATGCAACAAAAGCTTTGGTGGGACCATCGGGGGCGCGCTGGGCTGTAAGTCCAGAAACTTGGTCCACGATGCTGCAGATTTTAAAGTATTTTTGTATCACTATCATTGCATGTTATGAAATTCTTATGTGACTATGAGAAATGTCTCGCGGTTTTTGTAAAATAGACTAGGGATAAAGTCCCGTAAATGTCTGGTACCCCAAGGCTTAGTCGGGCTGGGACAGGTTACACAGTGAATTCAGAGTGGTTCATAATTAATGCGGTATAAGTAGGTAAGTTTTAGATCCCAGATGCTAAAAAAGCCAAAAATAGCTTGGTAAGGTGCTTGTTTAAAAGAAAGTTGTCAATAAAATCTAGAAAAAATTGATTCGGTAGACCTCAACTTTTACTTTAGCTGCTGGCTGTAATAAATAAGGAATTAAAAAATATTCTTTTGAATACGGATTACAGTGCTCTACAATGAAATTAGCCTAAATTTACCGATATTTTTTGTGGATACAATAACATGACAAGCAACATTTTGCTAATTCGTATTCGGATTATTCCCATCTGGTATGGACTGTCAAATTACAAGATCTCCCCAATTTCTGTGGCGGTGGCGAGGTCACGCCCACTACAGCGCGCTTAAATACGGCAGATCTTCCAGTCAACCAACCAGTCATCGGAGAGCAGTACGGAAGAACACTTCGACCGTTACCGCATCGCCGCTCTTGAAAATGTCTACCGCAGTTGTAGACGAAACGTCGAGTTTAATCTCGGGACCACGGCTCAAAAGCCCGGAAATATTTAGTAATGTAGTTTCTGGCCGTGAAAGCCTAACATCTTTGAAAATATAGTTGGTTTTTGTATGCTATCTTGCAGTATTCGTAACACAAAGTGCCAAAATACAGTCTATTGATGTCGTAAACAAACAATCAGTAATTATCCTTATGTGATATTGAAAAGTAACGGTAAAAGAAAACTAATTTTTTAGTGTGGTTCGGATTTGTTTGATAAAAAATTAAAACTAGTCGGGAAATGTACAAATCAATAACTCATGCGATTTTTTTTATGTCATTCTTGACTACGAACGATGCAATCTACGGAGGCACTTCCATATGATCGACTTCGGCAACAGCAGCACATGTACGTTGTGCTTTGAAGAGGAGAAAACTTCAAAGCATCACCTAACCAGCCGGGAAGCACTAGGGAGCAGCAGATTAATAATACTAGGCATTCAAATTTTACAACTGCTAATAGGAAGATCATTAAATTCAATAACTTCCAATAGACAAAGAAAATAAAAGGCCATCTCATCCTGATTGCTTTTTTTCTCATTTCAGGAGTACTTCAAGTCAAATTTTAAATTGTGATGAGTTTTAATTTTTTTTAATTGATTTTGATTGTGTTAAGTTAATGTCATGTGTTGTACTTATTTCATGTATATTTTATTAGTTCATTAAGAAAAAAAACACCAAATATATCAAAGAAAAAATACTTCAAATTTATTATTTTAATATTGCTTTGCATTTGGAAATGTGTATTACAAGCTGTAACAATAATTTTTGAAATACGGTTTTTTCTTTTGGACCATAACAGTACTCTGTATGATTTTTTTTATCTGTCTAAGCACCAGAAAAGATTTTTTTGTAAAATCTAGTGTCCGAAAATTGTTATTTTATCACGTCAGTTTCGTTTCCCACGAACTCGAGCCACTTCGGACATTTCCGGGTTTGGGAGCAATCGGATATTTTCGGACATATGACCGTATGGCTTGCCAATTCTGAAAATCATATTAGGGAATGTATTTCAGTTGTTTTGCAAAAATGTACCCAAAAGCCAACGGTCGTAGAAAAAGTGTAGTCTGCAGCACGTTTGATAAACTTTTTTAAGTCACTCATTTATTAATCACTCGCTCCGCTCGTGCCAAATATAAACCCGTGCCTCAAATGCCGTTTACCACACTTGTTACATAATTAGCTATTCCGAGGTGTATTCAAATTTAGGAACGGCTAATAGCAGTGAAGTGTAGTAAAGTGTAATAAATATAACCCATCGTTGTTATCATAACACATCTATTTTTTTTTTTTCAATTTCGATTAAATGTTTTGAAACAATAAACACCAAGCTCCCTTAATTACCGTAGTCTGCAGCGCACGAGTACTTACCCCTGCGGCTGTATGGACGTTATGGTACCTTCGGGCAACCAAAATAGCTGACACGATAATCAAATAGATGAACAACACGCAGTGAACGATGTACTGGAGCGCCAAGGCTTTATTTAAGGAATGTCCGATTTCGGTCATCGAAGCTACCAAAATAAGTACCGATAGGATGAGTCCTATTATAGTTCCCGCGTAGTAAGCGTCTAAAAGGTCATTCGTCCATCCCTTGGATGCGACTAAAATTATTCCTACGAACAAGCATACCTGAAAATTGCATTTATTTAGTTTTGAAAGCGGCACTTAAATAACACTCTAACGTACACTTTCTATCACTTTGCACAATCCCAAAACGGTTCTCACGTGACCCGGTCCATAAACCACCTAGAAAACACTCCTAAGTTAAAATATTTCCGAAAAACGTTTATTCTGTCTTTTACTCACCGTCATTTTCTAGATTTTTACTCTAGGGCTGCGATTGTATTACTAATAACAAAATGAAAACAAGTTATCAGATTTTATCAGCGAGTTGGACAACCTGTCACAATCTTTCCAGGTTGAATCATGACCCGAATTAGGCGAGATAATGAAAAAATAATTTTCGTATTTCGTTTTTACCCAGAAGATAACAATACCCAGAATACGGCGTTTGATAAAACTATTATTACCTTAACCAATAAGAATCGATAACTGTGAAAAAAGAAAAAAAAAACGGCTAATTTTTTATTATTTTTAGTAAAAATCAACTCAATGTATTTTAAAAACCCAAAATCACTTGTCTAGTCTTCAGTCAGTTATTTGGAATCCTAATTATAACATCCACATTACGCGTACGCTACGAGTATAAATGAGATGTAAGATAAATTGCATAAAAACACTAATATTGAAAACCATAATTACAACCGTATTCCATAAAAATTTAAAGTTCCCACAATCGAAAAGAAAAGAACTGTTAATAACTACATATTTTCTACATTATTATGATATATGTATTACTACATTATTTTTTTCGTCTCGATATTTTGATTACTCCTATGAAATGTTTTAAATGCGGAATGAAAAAATATTTTTTAGGATATAATACGATATAGGACAGTCCAATTCGTATATAAACTTGCGATAATCTTTTTGTGTTACTCTTTATAATGCTCATAATTTTGTGCTGATGAAACTTTAGATTTACTTGTGAACCTATTTTTTACAATACAACAGGATGCTTTATTGGTACTTTGTACTGTACGCAACCAAAATTGTCAATAAATAATTAATTAAATAAATAAATATTAAATTCATATACCTAAAAGCATACCAGCCATGAAGTGGATATACGCCATTTTAGTCACGAAGTTTGATTTGGCTTAATCAACGAGTGACTGTAGAATGATATCAACGTGTAGCATACTATATTTTTTCTGCGAAACATACATTTTTGCAAAACTACACGAATCCGGTTGCTAAATGCATCTGACATGACCGTCGGAATTGACAAATGTCAAAATACGATTCGCGCCTAAAATCTAAAAATATCCGATCGCTCTTAAAAGCGTGACTAAATGGACCGTCGGAGGCAGTTCGCGATCGTGGGTAACTAAGCTGCATAATTTTAAAATAGGAAGAAAAAAAAATGAAATTATTCTCAATATCAGGCCTTGCAAAAATAGGCCGTTCTTGTAATACCAGTGTATTTAAATGGCAGATTACAAGTGATTAAAGGAGTGGTGTTGTACATTCTTTTGTCTGCAGTATAGCAATCAATCAACAACCAATCCTTTTTTAATAAAAAATAACTAGTAGTAGAACTAGTACCACTTTTTTGTTTTTTCTTTCATTCTCTTCATTTTCAATTGCAAACTCATGAACGGTGGTTATTCAAAAAGGTATCCAAAAAGCCATTTGTATGCTGGTTTAATTGGTATATGAAAAAGTGCATTCTGTAGTGCATGTAGTGAAGGAAAATGACAAGATCTTTAAAACACCTACTAACAGTTGGCAAGCCGGGTCTACTTGGTCTACCGCGGTTTAAAAGCACCAGCCTTTATTTTTATTTGGTACACGTACATTCTACATAGACACCTAATATAAATAACTGTAAAAAGTCAACTTGATCATAGTCTGTAATACTTGAGACGTTCCATTACAATTCTTTGTAAATTATTTCAAGCACACGGTGCTCATAAATATTCTGCTAGGTGTCATTGCAAACTTAGGATAATTCTGGCATGTTGGGGGTGGTCCAGACGTATCGCGACCTCGGTGTTTTTGCCAAATTGTATTTATCCAATGTATCCAGGGCGTACACTATGGTTATCGCATAACCGACCACCTAAAATGAAAAATGTAGTTGTTTATTTCGTAAGTAAGTGAAGTTTTTAACTAATTATTGTTGAATTCACATTATTTAATCTACAATCAGATCGTATTGCGTGCAGAAAGTAATGGACTACTACTATTTAAGGAAGCATATCCCACATACTTCCATCTCAATTTGGTACAATTCATCGTAATTGAGCCTAAATTACTAATAAAAGATAAGGCGTCGTATACAAAGTAAAGGCCACTAAACGCAAATTACACAGTTCCTAACGTAAATTAAATAACCATTCACTTAGAGGGTAGCCTGTTCATTATGAGATGATAACTTATCTCAGAATGTGTAAAAAATTTCAAAGAACCTTGAACACAAGAGCTCTTATAATTTTATGCCATTTAAAGAAGGTCGACTGCCCTATTTCAAAAACCGATGCAGAAAAGGCACCTACTAGTGACTGTCGTTTGACAGTTTTTTGTAAAGTCAGGTTAGTTTTTTTATAAATTTTGAATTTTTTTTTTTTAAACGAAAAAACTTGAAATAGACAAAAACCGGCAGTGCTACACGAATAAGAAAACAAACTAGAAATGTTAAGCCCGTTACCTGATAATAGTAAAAACAATATATAACAATGACTTTCAGTGAATGATATACGTCCCAGTTGAAGTAAAATTAAAAATATATCAAAAAGAGTAACGGGCTTTAATATGTCTACACAGCTCCGAGGGAATTAGAAAATGTTTAAGACTGAATTTTGAAATTTGGAAAAAAAAACATTCTTAAGTATTTCGGCCAAGAAGAAGTACTGGAAATTATTTTCGAGTTTCCGAAAAAGTCACCAGTGCACGTAATTGTTATCGTGAATAAATAAGAACTAAAGGTTCAGATTTTCACGTTTCGACAATACAGTGTCCTTATTAAATGTTGATGAAGGCATGGTGTTGTCGAAATAATTGTCATGTGAAAACATATAACTTCGTGAAAATCTGAACTTTTAGTTCTTATTTATTTTGTTAAATGGATTTTTATCAAGTAAAAGCCAGCCAGTTCAATTTTTAAAAACTAGATTTCTACAAAAACTAATGTTAAGCCTGGATTGTTTTATCTTTGTAAAGAAAGTGCAGTCCATATCTGCACAAAGCCTTTTAATAAACTTGGAGTTATGAAAAAGGTCTTTTCCTAGACTATCATTCTTGCTATATCTGACGCGATTGCGATTGTTTACGGTGACGTTTTCTGACATAATTGAAAAAATAACATTTTCTTTAAAAAAAGGATAAATACAACGACATAACTTTTTTACGTCATTAGATATCCTAACCTAAAATGTGCCTAACACGTTAAAAAATGGATTTTGGGACAAAAATCTTTTTCATGGGTTGTTATTAATGTCTAATTAGCTAGAATTTACAAAATATAACACCAATTTATTGTTTAGCAGAACCAAAACTAATAAGTTGTTGTAGACTAACCGAATTTTATAAATTATAGAATTATTTAAATGAAAAAAGGTGAATTGAAATAATCAGAATTTGTTTCCGTTTCTAACACGTCGATTTCTTCTAGGCAGTGGATTACGATGAGTTTCAATAAGATATTTTTAATGCAATAAATATTTAACAAATTAGAAGTAATTCAATCAAATAACACATAAAATAACAACATAACCGATGTTTTGTTTTTGGCACTATTAATAATTAAATTAAGTAAATAAGTAAGGTAATAAATTCATCTTTATAATATCTTATTTTGATTTCAAACATAATTTGGCATCACACATAATAAGTTAGCGCTTTGGTTGATAAATTCGTAAAGTAGAAATTTTTTCTAAAATCCATTTTTTAGGGTTAAGTTCTTTTATTCATGTTATAGGTTAGAATAAGATATTGGATGCGGATTTCACTGGATTAACGGACCCTTACTTGCCTTTCTAATGACGTATAAAAATCATGTCGTTGCATTGATTCTTTTATTTTTTATTTAAGAAAATATCCGAACACGTACCACCACTTTCTTTGCAGATATAGAGTAAACAGCATTAAACAATAAAGATTTCGATTTGACTTTGTTTTAACATAATTGTGGTTAACATTAAAAATATTCGTAGAAACTGAGTTTTAAAATTCAAGATAACAATTACACCGCCAGACGACCATTTCAGCATTTTTTCTTGGCCGATTTTTTTTCAAGCCTCTAGTTCCGCCCGATTCTCTAATACCACATCTCGTTGCCCTTACTGGGACACTCGGTATATTTAAAATAAAAAGATTGTTAGTTGTCCCAGTATAACAATAAAATATTTGAAGAGTAAAAATCCAAACATTTTTTGTCTTTTGAAATTTTTTACCGGTTACACAGCTATAATACATCAAATTGAAGCAGAAGAAATAATGATTATAAAATTTTACCCCGGTGACGATAAATCCTTTGGACAAGTCCGAGATAACAATTGTAGATGTCGTTGCAAATAAAACGGTCAGTATTATTGAGTTAACACATTCGATCCAAAACCAAGGCCATTCAGATGTCTTCGTAAACCCGCTGACATGTACTGCTAACAGAAACACCACGCAGGTTAAAGCGTAGACAGCCGTCCAGTTTAGCAGATTAGATTTGAGGTTGTATCCTATTAAGCTCACGAAAATTATTATCGTGACGTTAAGAACCTGCAAACGCAGAAACCAAAGTTACGCAAGAGGTTCGGAAGTCAACGCGCCGAACTGGTCTCGAAAAGTATAATTATGGCACGTTTGTCTCTGCTAGGTCGAAATATCAACAGATCTTAACCTAACCTAACTTACGAACATGCAAATTGTTTAGGAATTACCCCCTCCACGACTCGAAGCGCTCCCGAGTAGGATTTTAGATGACTCAGTCCATCTTGCTGTGCTTGCTGGAAATTGAAATGTTCGTATACACAAATGATTACCAAAGCCATACTCACGCTCATGGTTATTATGCATTCGTTTTGTGGACAACAATTATTCGAATATATCCGTCAACCTTTTGCTCGGTGTATCGAGCCCAATCCGTAGCCGCTTATCTCTAGAGAGATAAGACGTCTTAATTGGTGGGATCGATAGGCGGCTGCACAAATAACGCGTAAAATACTGAAATTTTTCGCAAGCGAAGCACGTGCCGCATGTTATCTAAATAATTATTATATTTATTATAAATCTTAGAAAGGTGCTTGGCTAGAAAACTGCTAAAAGCGTTAAAAGGTTTGATTTTCATTGCAACGCGGCACATGTCGTTTCACAGATCGAGATCTCCGAAGCGATAAGGAATACAGGGTGGCTTAAAACGTCAAAGTACCATCAACTGCAGATTTTTCGATACTTATGAAAAAACTTCGTACAAAAATAAAACTGTAACCAGCCATATTTTGAGAAACATGATTGAAGTTACCCTGAATATTTGAAAATCTCTGAACTTTTCTTTTTCATCAGTCATGTATTATAGCTTGCCTTGGGATAAAACTTGCTAAACTCTGAAAAAATGAATATTCTGCTTTGAGAACATTTGAATATACTTCAGCAGCCAGACCACATGAAAGTGTACACAGAGATAAACAATATGTGGTTCGAATATCAGTTCAGGCTCAAACAAAACGCCAAGACAGTTTACAATTGAGGGATTGTTAAATTGATTGATTAAGACTGACCTTGTGAAACAACTACTTTTTCTCAGACTGAGTAAAAGGAAGTGTCACCGTCAAACAACGAAAAACCAAGATCAGTGTCATGGAGATGATTTATATAGGCTAAAAATAAGAGAGGCCTGATCACGAAGCCTTGGGGCACTCCAGGTTCCGTTGACTGCCTTTTTGATGACACACGCTTGCTACCTTAGAGAAAGGTAACTCTGCATGAACCTTCTGTAATTCTGTAGAAGGGTATAACTCAAAATTGCGCTGAGAAAAACAAAGTATTATTCTCAAAGTAGGCAATCTTTCATATTTGTTTATTATTGGTCGAAAATTACTTGCACAATTCGGTTCGCCCATTTTGAACAACTGGACGACTCTAGATAATTTTCAAAAATTCGGAAATATTCTTTTAGATATTTACTTTTAGTATTTATTAATGAATCAAGAAATAATGATTAAATATTTAATGTATTTAATAAGACTAATATTTATAATACAGATGTTTTTAAAAAATTTAAACCTGATCAAAAATAAATAATATATAAATAATCAAATAAATAATCTTTCGAAAAGAAAAAAATTATCAGTGACCACCCTTGCCAATTCAATTGATATAATTTTTACCATTTGAATCCTAGTGACGAGCATCGAATTTGGAACGCACATTATAGAGTTGAAAAAACATAATTAAAATTATTATATTCAACTTCCGCTGTTGTTAGTAGTCACGCAAAATGCGGATATCCATGAATACGTGTAGTGTGATTGTGATGAATATCGACACAATTATTTAAAAAGTGCATGCGGGCAAAGTATTTTATACGAGTACTTTAAGTATTTTTTATATGTGTTTAATCCTTTTCTTAAAAGATTCAGTATTGGTCTGGGGGCTTCGCATCTATCAATTTTTTATTTTAGTTTTATTTTTTATTATATTTATTTCAAATGTGTCTGACCTAATCTAATAAATTTTCATTATAATATTGTTTTTCTGTTTTCAAAGTCGATGCAAGAATTTTCTACAAAAGATAAACATTTTGAGGCAAGATTATAATAAGCAAAATTGAACAAAAAAAAAAGTCTAAATAAAAAATTGGACATTAAATTAAATGTTACATTTTGATTCGAATTGATTCTAATTTTAAACAATATTTAACAGTTTTCTAAATTTTAAATCTATTGCAAATGGCCGCGTATAGAAAAATCGCACCAAATTTTTTTTCTCGCATAATTTCTATAGCACAACAAACCCGTCAATTAAGAAATCCTTAAACGCACCTAGTCAAAGTCACAAGTCACGAAGACACTTTATTTTTAAGTTTTCTTAAAATTTGTTGTTACTCGGTTCTTGGTAATCAAAACAATGGCAATCAGCCCGCAGCCGCCTATAACCCGAGGGGATCATAAATGATCGTATAATTGTTAGTCTACTGCATTTATTTGCAAACCGCATAAACGTTTGAAGTCCATGATATATTTTTGCGAATTTCCCAAACAGCATGTCTTGTAACGAATCTGAAAATTAATTTAACCGAAATAACAGACAATTTATTGTCAAATTAATGTTAACTGGAACTTTTATTTTTGAGGTATCGTGTTGATATTATTATATTGAAAAAATGAGCACCATTGTTAAATAGGAGTCTAACCTTGAGTTGTGACAGACTAATGTAAACCCTTTAGTGTCCATTATATTCACAGAAATGGGCTTCCATAAAATGAAGCTTTCAAATTACAGCAACAAAGCGTCCAAACCAATTATCCAATAACTCGCAGAAGACTGTTCTATATTTGGATTGAGTCAATAACGTCGAGAATATAATTCAAACACGTATATCAAAATATTAAGTAGGTCTCCAATTTAACTTCAATTGCCTAATATCCCCTTTGAAGGTACGAATGAGGCAGTGGCGTGCCGTTTCTGTTACACGACCGTCAGATATCGTTTCTTGTTCCCTTTTCTGTTATTCCAATAAGGTCTCATTGGACCTGAGCAAAGCAATCAATTAATTTTTTTTTAATGCATTAAATGGCTGTTAGTTTCTTTGGTGCTTAGTAATAATGCTAGTGGATGATGCGAGTGACACTTGATAATTAAGTATCACTAATACGGATAAACAAAGAAGGTTGCACTTGACCATGGAAGGAACTGAACAGCTCATTACAAAGATGGCATACTGTTTCATTCCTCTATAGTTGATGGCGTTGATGCACTAGTTTGGAGGCGTGCTACAGCAGCTGTCGTACTATAGGAGGATAATCCGTTTTCTATAACATTCGCCGTACCCATTCCCAGGAACTCTAAACTCTGTGTTTGAACTTGAGGTCGATATGCTTGTTGCTGATTTTATTCAAAATTCTGGAATAGTGGTGTACAAGCGGAAAAATGAATATATAAATGTGAATGAGCTGTTACATGGTTATTGAACTTGTTTGAAGAACTCTTTGGAATGAGTAACAATTCTGTTTTTCTGAAACCGGCTAAAAAAGGCACTGTTAAGAAGTCAGCTCTTGTCGTCTCTAGATTTTTTATCAGGGGTGCAACTGGAACACTTATTATTATTTTTAATGAATACGATGGCTCTTTGTGGTGTAGTTGCACAATACCAAGCTCAATTTTTTGCTGGTGATACACAATTGCATCACGATATGAATAGGGATTTAGAAAATATAGCTAGCTTAACGGAGGGGCATAATTTACGCTTAATCGCATCAAAGTATAGTGTCACTATTTTTACTACAAAGAGAATGAAAGTCAACATCGGATAAAAAATGAAATTATATATGGACAATAAACTTATTCAAAATGTACAGTTTTTTAATAATCTGGGTCTATATATTGATGAGAATATGAAATTTTTAGGTCATTTCAAGTACCTCTCCAAGCAGTCATTTGAAATGAGTTGTATTCAAATAAAGATGTATTATCGTACGCCATGAAAATACGATTATGTAATAGTCTTGTGTGTAATTGCCTTGTGTATTACCCATGTTTAGACACTGTGACCTTTTATCGACTACAGAAAATTCGCTGTCGCCTTATCCGCAACTTACGCAAATTTGGTTAAAATAAAAAATGTTTTCGAGCACAACTTCCTGTGCTATTCGAAGCGTTTAGTAAATTCCAACATTCCTAAATATTTTAATTATAAATTAGTATATAGGAAATTCATGACTCGAATCTGGAACACTAAGTCATATTCACTATGCCGTAACCTAAAACTGAAAAGTTTGGATATTTTTTTATATATAATGCAGTAATTTTATTTTACCACTTAGATCACTATCAGAAATCAAACTTACATGATTAGTGCAAAACTTTTAATTTCTATTTAAACAACTGATGTATAAATTATGTGTAAATGAATTTGTAATTGTAATTGTACTTAGATATGGATTAAGTGTGGGTGGCCACACAAGTCCATGTAATTGTAATAAAGACTATTAATGTTAGCGTTATGATTTATTTAATAACGTACCCTGTTTCTTAAAATGGAAGGCAATGAAATGATGATGAAATCATTAATGAAAATCTATGTTATAACGTGTTCCGTTTGATACGTCTATGTGGATCATCTCTGCATGTCGATCGGATCTGGCTCTGTGTTGCACAAAGGTCATACCGAATTAAGGTGTTTAAGTTGCAATCTTACGCGCGATGTCTGCAAAAATCGGAGACCGTGTCAGTTCAAATATACCATGAAGATTAACTTTAAGAAAAAGTTGAAGAGATTGTTTAAATTTTTCCGCGCCGACCGATTTTCTGAGTATTTATTCAAGATCACCTATACAAATTAAATTTGAGAGGTACGTTGTTGTAACTGATCATCTACAGAGTGTTGTTTCAGAATAGTGCTGAAAGGGCCTGTCACAATTTTTTACAGAGCTTTTAGACGACAAACAGCATTTTATTCTTCTTTAGTTATACAGAAAATCGGAAATCCCATTTTAATATGGACGATTACATGAAGGAGACGTTGGGACTAGAAGTGGAAGATGTAGAGCAAGCGATGAAGAAGTTCGCATGGGCGGACTACATGGTATTTCTTCTGATGTTAGCTATGTGCTTGGTGATAGGTGCGTATTTCGGGTTTTGGAAAAAATCCAGCGGTGCTCAGGACTATCTTGTCGGCGGGAGAAATATGAAGACCCTTCCTGTAGCCATGTCATTGGTAGCGAGGTACCTTCCGAATCACCCCAACAAAACAACTGCAGTAACATCATGCATTTTAGTTATATTAGTGGAATTTCGCTGCTTGGAATACCCACCGAAGTGTATGTGTACGGTATTCAGTACGCCTACATACTAGGAGGATTTTTGCTGATGAGTCTCGTCATGTCTTACGTGTATCTACCAGTTTTTCACGGCCTCAACCTCACGTCAACCTACGAGGTAAAAACATTATCCGTTACAACTTCCTATTTACACGCATTTTCAGTATCTCGAGATGAGGTTCGACAAGAAAGTGCATCTGTTTGGGTCACTGCTATTTGCAATAAGCACAGTAAGTGGTTGTACACTGTTGTAGTTGTTCCGATCATATCTGTTTTAATTTTAGATAACTTGGCTACCATTAGTCATATACGTTCCAGCGTTAGCCTTTAACCAAGGTAGCAAACCTGAAAGCCCAAGTTAAAGAACAATACTAATACTCCATCTTGTCTTATTTTAGTTACTGGTATCAACGTGCACTTGATAACACCGGTTGTGTGTGTCATCTGCATATTCTACACCTCCATGGTAAGTTCACCATCACATTCATCAGCGCAATTGACGTTGTTCTATTTTCTTTAAGGGAGGCATAAAAGCTGTCGTGTGGACGGACGTTATCCAAATCGTAATCATGTTCGGAGCCACATTCTTGGTGGCCGCCAAAGGTACCATAGACGTCGGGGGTCTTGAAAGTTTGGTGCATAGAAATCTGGACTCGGGCAGAATCGAAGGTCCAAAGTAACCGACGTTATCCTAAAAGTCTTTTGCCGCAAATTAAATAGCATCGTTTTCAGTCTGGACATCGATCCCATGGCAAGGCACACCTTGTGGTCACTTGTGATTGGAGGGTTCTTCCACGTAATGCATTCAGGGGCGGTGAACCAAAACATGGTCCAGAGATATTTAGCTCTCCCTTCCCTACGGGCAGCTAGAGTGTAATAGTAATTAATACATTTCTTAGCAATTAGCATTTTCTGAAAGAAATGTTCTTTTAATTCCCATTGTTTTTGCAGTGCATTGTGGTTGTTCTTCGTAGGCGTGGTGGTTATAGTGAGCACTTGCTCGTATCTGGGGCTCTTGATATATGCTACATTTCATAAGTGCGACCCATTGACGACCATGGTATGTTAAATACTACCTTAAACTTGAAAAATATTCGTACGTTATATTCTAGCTTGCCAGAGAAAAAGACCAGCTATTACCCTTGTTGGTTATGGTCGTTTTGGGAGATTTCCCTGGACTTCCTGGTATCTGCCTAGCCGGCAATTTTAGTGCCGCTTTGAGGTGACTGCTTATTTCGATACCCCTCCCACGTGTAGCAATTTCGTTTCAGCTCGTTATCTACTGGACTGAATTCCATGGCAGCAGTGGTTTTGGAAGATTTCTACAAACCGTTTTTTAGGAGGGACCTAACGAGAGAACAGACGAATCTATTGATGAAGTTAACGGTGATTATATTCGGGTGCATTTGCGTCGCTTTGGTGTTCATAGCGGAAAAAATGGGCCAAGTTTTGCAGGTAGACACTGGAGGCCATTATTCGACGTGATCTTTAATGTTGCCTTTTAGTTGCAAATAAGTATAAGCGCAATCTCCAACGGGCCGGCCTTGGGGATATTTACCATGGGGATGATGATACCTTGGATAAATGCGCAGGTATGTTCTCAGCGAAGGTCATAAGTGAGCTAAAGCTATTGTTTTCAGGGTTGCTTGATAGGTGGTGTATCGTCGCTGGTTATCATGAGTTGGTGGTGTATTAGGACTACTAGTTTGGTGGCTTCTGGTGATTTAACTTTTCCGGAGAAGCCAGTGAGCACGGATGGCTGCCATTACAGCTTTACCCCGAAACATTCGCGGTTGAGTACGAATTTCAGCGACATCGTCCATACAGAGTAAGAATTCTTTTATCGATTATGATATTATTTTAATATAAATACGAGTTAATATCAAAATAACATTAGAACTAAACAAAAACATTGTTCCCAACGCACCATCTCCCATGTTGTTTGACTTTGACTGCTGAACACTGCCACCAGATTAATCGTTACACATGACTCGACAGATCCAGAAAACCTAAAGTCATTTGCTTTGTCAGAAAGTATTAAAAGTTGAAAATAAAATCAGACACTTCAGGCGAACTCCAAGGTGGATTCGAATTTTTTGCGAGATTCGCAACCTTTAACCCACTTTGTGAAGAATGTGATTTTTTGTGTAGTAGACGAATGCATTAACGAGCTAAGCATTCTGAGCACTATAAACTCAAGGAATGAGGAATGCCTCAAAGTTCAACCAGTAACTTATAGGAGCGTTGAGGACCGCTACATGGGTCAGGAACGTCATGCTGATTGTCGCATCGGATCAACGCGTGACGATTTCGATAAATTGTCTCGAGATATCGTGACTTTGCAGATGATACTGACCGAAACGTGCATCGAGATTGCACAATGCGATGTCTACAAAACGTTGCAAAACTCCGTGAAAACAATTAAACTTATGAATGAGGAAGAGGAGCAGCTGCTACGAGATGAGCAGAATTCTGGAAACATCATGCAGGAATTAGAAAGACAGTACCAAGAGGAGAGGCTGAATAGTAATCGTGCCATCGACGAAACAGACGCGAAGATACAAACGCTGAGATTTGAAGTGGAAGATGTCAACTTGTACGGTCAGCACGAAGTGGAATATTTTAACAAATGGGAAAAGGCCAGAGTCGAGCAGAATAGGTTAAAATGGACGGAAAAAGAAAGGCACCACCAATCGGAAATGGAGAAAATGGCGACGAATATTAGTTTGGAGAATAAATGTCATACAGCGTTGGTAAATTTTTTAAACGAAAGCAGAGTCGACTACCTGGATGACATTCAGTACTGGATGAAACGGTACGATGAGGAAACGGAACAATTGGAAGGGGATATGATTCGTTTGAGAACGGATCTGGAGAGAATAACTCTCGACAGGATCAGAATGCAAAAGGAGTTCTCCAAACGATCTGATGAGATCAGCGATTGGCTGGAGTACAAGGATATTAAGAGGCAGAAAGAAGAACAGGAATTAAAAGAGATATCGGCTGCCACCAAGATTCAAGCTTGGTGGCGGGCTGTTATGTACAGGAAGAAGTTGGGGCCGTACCGAAAGAAAAAGAAGGGCAAGAAAAATAAAAAAAAGAAGAAATAGACCAAATAAATTTTGATTTTCTTTCACAAATCGTTTCGTTCTTTCAGTGAGAAATTCATGATCTACCGATTGTCCTACTTGTGGTACACGTTGGTGGGCACCTTCCTCGCGATATTTATAGGTCTGGTGGCCAGTTTTATGAACAAACCTGAGGATCCCCGGGACGTGGATCCAAAACTTTTGGCGCCTTTCGTCAGAAAATGGATCAAGCCCAGGGAATATCCGAACGAGCCTACGGATGGGATTATTTACGCTTACGGCTCCTCACAGGTGGGTATTTCGAATAAAAGATGGGTTTTATTTCACCCTATACGCCCTGTGTGACCTTGACCCACAATGGTTGCATAATATTTTCTATAGTATATGTTATTTATTGGGTTTTCTATTTTGTCTATTATTTCTGTCCTTTTTCTGTCATTTACGTATATTTTGAATATTTTTTCTGATTTTGTTTTTAGGAATATAAGGAAAACGGAGCCCGTGATAGAGTTTCTAATAATGACATTCCATTAGAAGACCGGAAAGTAGCAGAGATTTCCTAATTGAAATGTTTTCTGTATTATTGCTCACAAATAAATTTCCATAACGGTAGTGTTTTAATGATCTAATTGGCTTTAAATTCCACCAAAAATATTGCTTAATTTAAGCCGGCGGTTATTCATTCAAGAATGTAACAGTTAAATATTTTAAATCTTTAAGTATGAATCAATCGTATCACATTTCAAGTGTATGCGCCATCTAGTGTACCCTACATGACACGGCCGTCTCAAGCTACAGGTTTCTTTAATAAGATTTGCACATGTTAAGCCACACACACATATTGATTCCCGCGTTATTGCGATTGCTAAATTACTTAAAATTAGTATTTTTATATTCCAAATATGATTATTTGTCTTCCGTTATATATGAAGATAATGTATATATGCTATTAGGAAATTTTGTCACCATATCGTAGCATATAAATATTACAGATAATCATTTGATACCTCGTATTCGCTAAAACGTCATTTGACTTTTGTCGCTATGGGTAACCACCTTTATCGCTACATTTATCGATCGCGGCATATCTTGCGTCAGCTGGCATTTGGCAACGAAAACTTGTTTGCCAGGCAGCAAGGCAAGACGCTTTCTGGTTTAGTTGTGTCGGGTCTCCTTTGGTGTAAATTCTTTTTTTTAAATCCCGGTTCAAACAATTACACCCGATGCCGGCAGTGAACAAATAAATTAATTTATACTAGTGTTAAATAAGCTTGTATAAGTTATAATAACAAGGCAATTTAATCGATATTTTAATTCTCACGGGTAAGCCAATTTATTTTGGAACAAAAAACAAGTCAGCGGATGTTTTAAATTTTTGCGTGTCATTAAATTTGCAAATTTTAGTGCCTAAATAAAATTGACCTCCGTTCTTTGTTTAATATTTAATTTGTTAACGCGCATTTATTTCGTTTTTTATCACGATTTGTCCGGCTCGAAAAATACCGAAAACGATTTCCATAGAAATTTAAATGACGGTTGAGTAATTCCCCACTTGTATTTCTTGTATAATTTTCGTAATTGGTTCGTTTTAATGTTCAAACAATCGTAATTTTTGCTATCTGCAATTTTCACAAATTTCATCGTGAATGTAATATTTTTGAAGCTAACTTAAAAAAAATTATATCGTATATCATAATCGTTGTATGTATAGGTATAAATGAACCAAAAGGAACGTAGATAAGATTTATTTTCCAATCCCAGAGAACGCGGCTCGTAAATACTTCAAGATCGATTTTTTCTATCGTTAGATGAGCATTTTAAAAAGATGCCCCTGATTTTTGATTTATATCTAATCTCGTCTAGTTTAACGTGTAGACCAATATTAACTTCGTTTTGTTGTTATTATAGATCACTTTATGGTGGCCTATTGAAATTGAAAAAATATATATAATGTATATTTATAACATTTATTTATTATTGTTATTATTATTTATAGTTTTTCAGAAATTATATTTCAACAACAAGAAATCCGCATCAGACATTACATAAGCCTACAAAACAAAATAGTAAACTAATAATGTTCTTTCAGCATGTGATTTCAAATAGATACAAATTATGGTTTTATTTTTACTCATTTCTGAAAAAGGTGTGGTTCTTTAATAGATTTATAATAGGATAAGCAAGACGTTTTGCCCCACGTGAGTCCCATTTTTTTTTTAAAGCGGTAATAAAGGTATTGTTATTGGAAATCTCCACGGGACTGAGAGCATTATACATTGGGCAAGTGAATAGAAGGTGTTAAATTATTTCAAATTTATTAGTGCTGGAACATTTATAATAATAAATATGATTTAACCAAATGGAAAATGGATGATTAATTAATTGGTTGTTATTGAGACCACAATATCATTGGTTGTACGCGGTCTTACCCTGGATTGATCTCAACAAAATTAACAAACTACGTCCTGCAACATTCATTGGCCCATTTAGACTGACGTTATCTCTAACACTTTTGACGTTTGATAATAAAAATATAACGTTTAACACTATTTATCAATTTGCCGTAATATTTTTCCCAAACGATGATTTTTTTCTGCTGCTTCCATACTCGCAGTAGCAGAATTTTTCTTTGCAGAACAATCCGTATACTCAGTTGATCACTCATGGCAGAAAAACAGGCGTCCTTTTCGTAAGTATAACAATTTCGTACAGTTTTTCGTTAGTTAGAATTCCAATGCACTAATTTAACTTTCATTTGGAAATAAGTATGTTCTTCGAACACCAAGCTGATATACTCAACTTCATATTCACATCAGTTTTGATTGATAATTGCTTTATATCATTTTAGGCTGCTGCCGAAAATCATCAATGGCGGAATCGCCGGCATCATCGGCGTGACGTGCGTATTCCCTTTGGATTTGGTCAAAACCAGACTCCAAAACCAACAGATTGGTCCCAAGGGCGAAAAAATGTATTCGAGCATGTAAGAAAAAGAAATAACCGGAACTAAGTTCGTAACTGTCGGATAACGTCTCGCTCATTCTAGGCTAGACGCGTTCAAAAAAATCCACAAACAGGAAGGCTTTTTCGGTATGTACAGAGGGTCCGCGGTAAATATCCTTCTCATAACTCCCGAAAAGGCGATAAAATTGGCGGCCAACGATTTTTTCCGATATCACTTACAGACGAAAGACAAGTACGGTTTGCTGTCACTGTTGTTCCGACATTAGGTTTTGCCTAATTCCTTTGCTTCAGGACTTTGCCTATGATCAGGCAAATGTTGGCAGGCGGTTTAGCCGGCCTTTGCCAGATCGTGATCACCACTCCCATGGAGCTACTAAAGATACAACTGCAGGACGCTGGCAGGGTAGCCGCTCAGGCAGCGATAGGTGGTGATACTGGCCTGCCCGGACTGAAACTGTCATACGTTTGATCGATTTTAGGTGGTAAGACCGTACATAGAACGTCGGCCACGCAAATTGCTCTCGGTTTGTTTAAACAGCAGGGAATATTGGGGCTTTATAAGGGAACGGGTGCGACTATGTTGAGAGACGTGTCGTTTTCCGTCATCTATTTCCCATTGTTCGCTACCCTCAACGATTTGGGCCCTAGAAAGAGTGACGGATCGGGTAGGTGGTCACTGTATTCATTAGTTCCTCTAAAAGGCGACTCATTTCAGGGGAGGCGGTATTCTGGTGTTCGTTTTTATCTGGGTGCGCGGCAGGATCGCTTGCCGCTCTCTCGGTGAACCCTTTCGATGTCGTCAAGACACGATTGCAAGCCCTAAGTAAAGCGGAAGGGGAAAGATCCTACACCGGAATCGGTAACGCCTTTATGTGAGTAAACCAAAGCCGCCGATTCCACAGGGATTATCGTGATTTTATCTCTGTAGCAACATCATGAGGTACGAAGGCCCCACCGCGTTCTTCAAGGGCGGCGCCTGCAGGATGATAGTAATAGCGCCCTTATTTGGGATCGCACAAACTGTATATTATTTGGGGGTGGCGGAACGGCTGTTGGGAATTAAAAGAGGTTAAGAGTTTTTCTTGCTATAATCATCGTCGGTATCAAAAGTTCTCCATGTAGTTGCCGTTTATTATATTCGGTTGCCTCGTCCCCTGAGATTATTTACGATGGCTTAAATTTTCGTGATACAAAGTTTAAGTTCGTGCTTCACAATTTAAACCTCAGTATTATTAGCTAGGGCTCTCTTGTATTTATATTTCAACTGTTTAGCTTGGGCGTACATATCTACATGGGTAACGATGACAATAAATCCGCAAAGTTGGCCCGGCGAAATTGGGTTTGCCGCAACTCGTGGTCAAAGCTTTAATTTTATTACGTTTTAATTTTATTAATTTCTGTAATCGATTGTTGTCGGGTGTGAATTATATACAGATTACTGTCAATTCATTTTACAATAACTAAGAATGTAATTTAAAATTGTTGAAGATAATAATGTTGTATTTTATGTGGGCGAAGGATGATGAAATAAAGATGCAATAAAGTGGCGAGGTTTTTTTTCATCCAAAACCAATGGAGTCCTCTAGCTCAGACTCTGCGGAACTAAATTTTGTTGTCCTGGCTACGTTGGTTAGGCCATTTTTTTAAAACTAGGAAAAACATTCTTTTGACTTTGTCACTTTTATATTTCCTCTTTTTGAAGTGGCTGGGATAAAGCTTTTATTCTCATGCGAAAGCAGTATTCCCCAGTTTCCGAATTGGAGCCCTGATCAGGGAACGCTCTCAGGAACCATTTATACATATACCAAGCCAAGCCAAATAATACGTGGCAATATCCAGAAACAAGTCACTTATCGCTTCAGTTGTTCTGAAGAGTTTGTGAACAACAAGGCTCGACTGTAGGGAACATGAAGTTCGAATATCTTAACCCCTGGTTGTGATGTGATGTGATGTGTTACCACCAGTGTGGACTCACTAGGTTCGATAAAGGGCTGAGAGTTCTGCCTTGTTGATGGCGATCCTTACATCTTGGCTAGTTTGTAGTCTATTCTGTCCGCTTTCAGGACTAATCAAGCATTTAAGGTACCATTAAAATGGAAGTTTCCAAAAACTAACTACATGTTCAAAGAATTTTTTTTATTCTGTCTATTATCTGGAATAGAACAGATGCTTTGTAGAAAAAAATTAAAATGTGCGCCTCAAAAAATTACTAAAGTAATACATAAAAAAAGGTCAATTGGAGTGCCGATGTTTAGTTCGAGGTCTAGGTAGTTTTCAAAATTGAAATATCTATAACAATGCCATGAAGAAAATAAGAAGCCAGGGACAAAGATGATAAATGTTGGAAGAAAGATGTAAAAGCAAAGCAAAAACAGGGCCGGTGAATCAGAAAATCCCTATACCTCGTGGCCCCATGATGAACATTAAAACCTTTGACTCTGGCTGGCTAGTAAATACGAGGCCTGTTGTGAACAAGTAATTTTGAAAACAGGCGCCCATAAAGACAGCTGAAACCGAGTTTCCAGTCTGAGAAAAGTAAAATTTGAATAGAAGGAGAAACATGACCGAACAGTCTCAATCCATAACAAAACGTTATACAACTGTTTTATAATTGTTGGAGGCTTTCTCTGTCTTCAAGAAGAAGAGCGGGCTAGTTTAACACACTGCATTATGCCAATGTAGATAAAATATGGTGCCACATAGTTCCAATTTCACTGGAGCATATTACTTTGCGCTTAGGTTAAAAATTTCATACAAGTAAAATGAAATACAAACGGATAAATATAAAATATTTGTTGCTAGAAAGTTACGCGAACTTTTAATACAGTGCATTCAAGAGCATATTAATAAAATGTAATTGTACGAACGGCATTCGTGACAGTTTAGAATAGCGCACTAAATAATATTACTGATTTAATTATTACCATCCGTTTCCCGAGAAATATTTTATTTAAGACATTTTCGTGACAACGTCATTCGCTCGCGTGAAATATGTAAAACTGATAAAGTTTTGAACGATTTTTTTTATACGCGTTTGCACAGTGTAGCGTTTCTGGGAAAAATTAATTTCAGGGGTCCACCATGACCGAGCGCAGCGAGTCTTTTAAGTAAGTACCAGCGTAATAGCCTCCGTATTTCTGATGTATTAATGATCTCTCCTTCGTCGACAGTTTAATCCCGAAAATATTGAACGGAGGCATTGCGGGATGGATTGGTATCGCCTGCGTATTTCCGCTCGATCTGGTAAAGACGAGGCTGCAGAAGCAGCAAGTGGGTCCGGACGGACAAAAGATTTACAACAGCATGTAAGGTATTCGGAGGCTGCTTCTTTTTATGCCCCTATAATAATTTTGTCTGAACTAGATTCGACGCGTTTAGGAAAATCTACAAAACGGAAGGTATACGAGGTATGTACCGAGGTTCCGCCGTGTTAATGCTGCTGGTCACCCCTGAAAAAGCTATAAAACTCTCCTCTAATGATTTCTTCAGGTACCATCTGCGAACGCAAGACAGGTATGCCAGAACACGATTTCAAAAATATTATTCTTAATCGTCTCGTTCATCCCCTATAATGTTTTCTGCTTAAATTTACACTAGAATTAGAATTAGAGTTCCTTTCATTTCCGTCTGACATTACAATAACAATACTATGTACAACACATAGCTAATAATGTATAAAGACAAGTAAATAATATTTCATTTACACAAACGATACTTTAAAGCAATTAAAAAATTCACTAATATTATAAAAACAACCATTTATTAGAAGCGTCGATTGGTTCTTTATTTCCGTATGCGGTAGATGAATAATTTTAGTTAATCAATCAGTCTAGACCGTTCAAGGGAACCCTAAGGTTGAAGCAATTGCGGGTAACTTGTTTCACGGTTTAATATACATCGAAGTTGTTTCTAAAAATGCGAATACTAAGTTCGAGAATTGCCGGATCTAAAAATGACATGACTCGTTTTATCACAGAGCGAGCATGCTCCTGAGGGTCCTCTTCTGGCTTTTGAAGAAATCTACTATTGATAAGTATGATACCCAGAAGCAAACCCTGTACCTCAGCTATTTTACCATGATACATGTTAATAAGTTGCTTTGTTGTAAATTTCTTAAAAGAAAACAGAATGAGTTAATTTTCTGAAGATAAATTGTCACAGTGATTTTTTCAAATTAAATTTTTGTCTACTGTAATTCGAAGAAGCTTTGTGCTATTCACCCTTAGGAGTCTTTCTTCAGCAACTCTCATATTAAGAGAAAGTTCGTTTCCTAATTGGGGGTGATGGGACCGAATCTAATTTGTTTTATTTGTGTTTATTTACAAATAATTTTAGCTGGACCACTCGACCGATGTATCGAGATTTGTATTTATTTTTACTTCCAGTTTATGACTTTTTAAAGAGAACACGTAACTGCAATCGACCGCAAACTTTACAGAGACACAATCAGGACCAAGACATTCAAAAATACTATTTATGAAGTTAATAAAGAAATACGGTTTCAGGATAGAACCCTGAGGCATTTCAACATATTATTTCTTACTGCTTACTGTATTTGGTCTAAGCAACCGAAAGTCTGGTTGAGGTCGAAAAAACTACAACTGGACACTAGCCTCGCCACCATGTCACCGACATCTTCCGATAACACAAATGGATAGTGTCCGACGTAGAATTCCCTGTACGGAAACCAAACGGGATTTCAACTTGATAATCATTTATGAATATTTGTGAAATATCTTTAGTTAGTTAGAATTTCATTATAGATTTTAAGCCGATGAAAAAGTTAGTTCATTCAAATGACTCGATGAAAATAATCATCATTATTGTCAGCATTAAAATTAATAATTTCATTAAACTACTGCAAAATTTGTTGATTTATTCTACGAGAATACTTCATAACCACACTTTCACAATATCAATAGAAGAGTGCATCAATTTATAAATAATAGTTTGATAGGAATTCTTTGTATGCCAATCCAGTTCAAGGGTCTATAGACAATAATATTTCGACACAATTAAGATAATTAATAAAGTATAAACCCTGGTTAGCATTTTTTTATTTCAGACGCTTACCCATGTGGAGACAAATTTTAGCGGGAGGTATTACGGGAGTGGTCCAGATAGTCGTCACCACTCCTATGGAGCTGCTCAAGATCCAGCTACAAGATGCGGGTAGAGTGGCGGCCAAAGACGAAGCCATTAGAGGTTCAAAACTAAACTGATTAGATTTCGTTGCATTACCGTTGATGATTTCGTACAGCCGTAGCGCCTAAATTATCCGCAACGCGCCTGGCGATCGATCTGATCAAAGAAAGAGGATTCTTCGGCTTGTACAAGGGAACTTGGGCGACCATTCTGAGGGATGTGCCATTTTGCGTGGTATACTTTCCCCTTTTCGCGAATCTCGACGCGCTCGGGCCGAGGAAGAAGGACGGATCTGGTAGTTTTGATGAGTTTTAGTTACATTCTAACTCATATGCGTTGTTTTAGGCGACGCTGTATTTTGGTGTTCGTTTTTGTCTGGCCTGACCGCGGGAATGATCAGCGCCTTCATTGTCACTCCCTTTGACGTGATGAAAACTAGAATCCAGACCATCACCCAACAGCCCAAAGGAGAGCGTTCTCATACGAGCATTGCACAAGCATTCACGTAAGAATTTTTTTGTGTGCGTAATTCGAAGCTTTCGGAATGGTACTTGTTTCAGGGACATATTAAAATTCGAAGGCTACACGGCCTTCTTTAAGGGGGGTGCGTGTCGTATGATGGTCATTGCTCCATTGTATGCGATCATTCAGACCGTTTATTACGTGGGAGTGGCGGAATGGATCCTAGGGATACAAAAAGACGTGAAATCTAAATAAAAATAAAATTGTATTTATAGGAAAATATATTTTCTTAAAACAAGACAAAAACATTTTACTTTCATAGTGTTATGTACTTCATAGCCATCAATTATATTCATTTGAATATACAGCGAAAACATTTTAAACTGTACAGCGGTTACTTCTTGCAGCAGAGAACGGATTTGAAATGATACCTAGCAAAAAAAAAGCATCAAAATTCCTCTGTAATCATATTGAGAACATTGTGTCTAAAGGGGACACGACACACAATAGTAAAATAAAAATAATATATATAAATAAAAAAAAATAGTATAAAAACTGTAGAATCTGTAAAAAATCAAGCCTGGATGACGGCGGAGATACCAAACTTTATGGAATAAAGAAATCTACCAGAATGTGCGGCAATACAAAATAAGGAAAGAAAGGGAAACACTATTAAAATACCGTAAAATTTAACATTATCAGGTCATGCGTGATAATTATATGTACCAAAAAAAAGTCCGAGAAATACTGCAATATCGAAATATCCTTGACGCGAAAAAAAAGAAAGAAACATGGGAAATTTTTCTGGAAAATCTATTTTAAGGAATGAAGATCCCCAGAGCAAATAGAAGTGGTATATTTAAATAAAAATGCCTAACAAAAAATTTTAACATCTACTCCACATGAATTCCAGAGGATTGGCTGAAGTCAGAATTTATCGCACTAACCAAAAAGCAAGTGGCAAAACGTTTCTGTTCTGGTTTTATTCCTTAAAATAATTCAGTGTGTTAAGAAAGACCAGATTGTACCGAATCAATTGCCATTCCAAAGGTACAGAGATGTCAGTTGTGATGTGTTTGCTTATTTGATTAGGCACAAATGAAGAAGAATTTAACATACTTATAAACCTATTTTCGGATCAGACAGTTGTTCTAGAGTTGATGGCAGCGACACAGATAAGATAGCCATACAGAGAGGAGTGAGACAGGGATGCATTTCCTCACAGATTCTGTTTAATGTGTACTCCGAATACACATTTCGAGAAGTAGTGAAGAAATTAGAATTACCATAAATGGCAACAAGCTGAACAATATAATATGACACCAGCACGTTTACCAAGTATGTTTACAATAACTGATGGACCGAGTGACAATGTTTAGTTCACATTTTGGATTGGAATTGAACTTAAAACTAAACTACAGTTGGTAAGTAGAGAGAATATTCGTGAAGGCAAACTTCATCAATCCAAGTTAACAAAAAACCGGTGTTTGTCAGAATGTCATTGAAGCATTTGAACTCTGACTCTTTATAAAAATACTAAACATATCTTGCACACAGAACGTTACTATCCAAGATGTGCTACAAGGTATGAATAAAATGCCAGAATTGATAGACAGCATAAAATGTCGGAAACTCCAATACCTCGATCATATAATGAGGAACGGAAAATACTACGGATTACTACAAGAAATCCTGCAAGGCAAAATCAACAGCAAGGGAAGACCGAATCGAAGGACAATCCGCAAATCAGAATTGCCATGTTGTTAGCCAACATTTGAAACGGAGAGGCATTTAGAAAACAGAAGATGCCATTAGAATAACAATTTTATGGGATGTGGAAGCTAGTGCAAAATATGGCAAAATGGACATTTCACTAGTGTTTAGTTTCCGTAGGAAGTTAAGCCAAGGGAATGACGTCCTTCGGTACAAATTAAGAAAACAATATTAAAAAAACGCAGGAAAATTATGTAAAATATATACTCTTTAATTTCAACTTATTTACCCACTTGCGCCAATGCTGTTCTCTCTCATATAGATGTTTATGTTGTATGTTATTATTATTTTTATCATATTGTTATAATTTGAGCAATTATAACAATGAAAAATCCTTCATGAACTTGATATACACTTTTTCAATATATTGTATTGGTAACTTATAAACTATTAAACATATAGGACCAGCTAAATAGGAAAAAACTTGAGTATTCAGATGTATAATGCCCTGAAGTGAACAGTAGTCATAGGCCTTAAATATAATAAAATTCGTTTACATTACTAAGTAATATATCTTTGTGAAATTTTCGTTTCAATTATTTTAATTAGTTCTAATTTACCGACAGGAATATATTAATAGATTAAGAAAATATCGATTTTAATTCTCTCTCGAAAATAAGGAACAATGTACATAAAATTAGTTAGTTTTTTTTATAAATACTCCAAAAATGCAGAAAATTACATAGTTCCATTTAAAACTTCAATATTGAGAATAGTTCTTTAATCGTACAAGTGAATTCCGAAAGAACTAACTTTGAACGTACAACTTCTGTATAATTTTCTTTTTCTTTTGTATAAAATTGGAAATAAATGTGCTAGAAAGGAAAGAATACAATCCAAAAATTTAGTTTTTCTAAAATATTTCTGCATAATTTGATAGGCCCTGTTTCTGAAAAGCTGCACCCCGTATAACATAAATCAGTTTGGTGGCATAATGCGCTGGTTCAAAAATCATTGGAAATTATTTTAGGAAAGATTGTTACGTACTTTAGAGCATCATACACATTTCAGACCTAAATTTTCCATAAAAAAGCTCTTTAGAATTAAACTTCAAAGTTGAAGGCATTAATATTGCTTATAATGCAACATTCGACTGAAAATATTCCGAGTTTAAGGGGAAACATATATAGGTATATTTTGAGTTTTGAAAAAACCAGAACATTCCTTGAGTAAAAATTTCCTTTGATAACATAGATATGTAGATGACGCTTTTGCTTATTTCTTTGGAATTGATATAACTAGGATACTTATCATAAACTGTCACACAGACACAATCAAACATAACGGTTCAAATTAGCTTTACCCAAAAAATAGCTCAATTTAATTCTTTTATTCTCAATACGCCACTGTCAACAAACCAAGCGGACGAATCAAATGTTTTCAAAATAGATATGCAAATAGAACGTGAAAAGACGTTTAGAAAGAGGTATCACAGAACTCCCCTTACCATTAAAAAAATACTTAAAATGGCCCCTTTTGAGATATTTAATTAGATACGTACGTGCCAAATTTCATCATTTTCGCGGGCATTGTATATAGCAGCAGTTAGAGTTAAATGAAACATTTAATAAAGACACGAACACATTCTCGTTAAAATCTGAATAAATTTTTGTTCTTATTTATTGACATGTTAAATGGACCTTCATCATGTAAGCAATTTATAGAAGGGCTTTTGGCACAGATCAATGTCTTATACTTCGAATGGACATCCGTAACAGAAACTCGATACAAGCCGTGAAACTAAATCCGCCACAGGAACAGGCGAAACCTCTCAAGCGCGGTCACGTCTGCAAAATATGCGATAAAACATTATAGTCTGCTTTATTATGCACTCAACAGAACGCAGTAGGCTATTGGGGAGATCAACTAGTCGAGATGGCCTTTCTGTGCTATTTTCAGCCATTTGTATAGTAGATGTATTCGGGGTGTTTCCTCTCATCACATTACCTAAAACCATCATCGATTGCGGTAAGTCTGCGACCGTTCAATCTTACCATCGATCCTTTCGAAACAACTTTTAGGATTTTACGGAATTTTTGTCATTGTTCTGGTGTGTTCCGTCCAAATGTATACAGCGATATTATTGGGGAAATGTTGGAAAATGGCGGAACAGATTTGTCCCAACATTAACCGAGGCAATCGATATCCTTATTCCGCGTTGGCTGAACTAGCTTTCGGGAAGCATTCATCCCGTTACGTCACTGTTCTGGTGGACCTTACGGTATTTAGCGGCGGTATTCCCAACCTCATTGTAGGTAAGCAACCGTAACTCCCTAATAATGTATTCGTTCGAATATGGACTGTATAGCCTCGCAAAATCTCCAACTGTTGGGACAGCGATTGACAGAAGGCACTTTCGATGTTTCCTTTTGTTACTGGATACTAGTCCTGGGTACATTGCTATGCCCCGTTTTGTGGATCGGAAGCCCCAAAGACATGAAGTAAGGGAATCTACACAATTTTTGGCACTTTTTTGTGTTGTCTCAGTTAATAACAAAAAAAAGCAATTTTGTGAAAGTTCTGTTCTTGGTATTATGCGGATCGTAGAAAAGTAAAACAGAGTTTAGAAACTCTAATTGAAGCTGAGACAATATAACAACGATTAGAGAACCCATCACAGCTTCTGCTTTCATTCTGATCTTCGTTATTTTAGGGTTCTTTGTACCGTATCCGTTCTGATCGTATCCACGGTGTTCCTGCTCATATGCGGTTGCCTGCTTCTCACCCCTGGCGCATCCAACCCGGAAACTCCCGCAAGTTTCGAGACGAACTTACCATTATGGCAGACGCTTCTGTTAGCATACGGCATAGTTGCGTTCCAGTTTGATGTCCATCCCACGGTTTTAACAATTCAGATGGACATGTATGACAAATCGAAACTGCACCTCGCTGTTACGTGGGCATTTCTTGGTAACTCTTCGATTCAGATCCCACACATTACCGGGTGCTTTCATTATAGCTTCGTTGTCAATGTTCGGTGTGATCGCCGCCATTACAGTCGCTAAGTTTGGCACAACGACTCAGCCAAGTATTCTGGAAACTTTAACCAGCTCTGCACCTCTGCATCTAGCTGCCGGGCTCGTAGCCCTACAGCTGTGTCTTACTTCCGCGGTTAGTAATAGCGCCCTCTATCAACACATGGAGGACTGCTTAAACATATCACCAGGTAACATTTGACTCCGCTTTTTTGTTGGAGGCGATAAAATTTTTATTTTAGTCTTTGAGTAGAGTTTTAAATAGCAGTATCTTTCGCATTCTTTTGAATCTGTGCATACGAGACATCCAAATTTTTAAAGGTTTGTAAGTTCACAATTTTTTTTAATAAGGTCAACTGCAACTGCATTATTAGGTTCCTTTGTTCAAACAATGGTAGGCCGCTACTTTTTTTCAAATTTAATGCTGTTGCAAAATGCCACAGACTTTCTTGGCTACTTTTGATGCGACAAACTCATATTAAAAAATAATTCAAAATATCTCTTTTCATCTAGGTCACACCTAATTAATATCCAAAAATACTGCCTGTTTGTCTACAGTAAATTGGGCATATTGAGAAATTACCCATCAAATTACCTTCAGGTATAACTCTCTTTTCCAGAAAAAAATTAAAGTAAATTCTAAAAAAGAATGCAATTAAGCGAAAAGAAAATTGTTACTAGATTACTAGAGCTTTTTTTTTGCAGTAAACATTATTGAGGCATTATTTTATTAGGTTTTGAAAATGCCCGGCATTAACTTATTGATAATATGCTAATCGATTTCTCAGTATATTTTCATAATTTGCCTTATTTCGCGTCTAATTCCAAATTTTTATTTATCTAAATTTTGTGGTTTTTCCTTATACACTTTGATCGCCTTCTATCAGTCCACTCTCCAGGAAATACCGGATTTAAATATTCAGGCATTTATAGAGCAAAATGGGGCCTGTTGTACTAATTTGGGCATATTTTAGCATGGTTTAGATTTGGGAAGAAATTGCGATAGAAATGGTTTGTATTTCAATAACTACAATTTTGTTTATTTATCGTAACATTAAAAAAAATTTTTTTCTATAACAAAAAAAATGGATTTAAGAAAAACATTTCCATCATAGTTTCCAAAATTGTAACCTGAGGTCGGGATCATTGTCGTTCAGCTCCTGTAGTAATGTAATCTTGTACGGATGATACTTTTCTTCCCTTAATAGGTACAAAACTGTTGGTTACCATCTTCTATTAAACTGACCTGGCGATTTTTTCTATAAATTTTCTCCCAGTAAATATTAGTCACTGTGGATCTTGTAATAGGTCTTTCTGAATATTTGATTTTAAACAAATTACAAACTTCTTGAGTAATCATTTGGTCTCCATATCCAATAAAATTAAACTTTTAATTCTCTGGGTTTAATTTCATATTCACTTTCTTTACTGACAGAAATGTAATTGTGACAAGTTGAAAACTTTCCTGGTACTGGCTACTCAGCAAAATTAAATTTCTGTTTAAGTCAGAGACATAAATTTGACACAGCATTGGAAAATGTATTTAAAATAAATTTTGATCTACTCTGAATATTTTTTATTTACTGCATGGACGTGTACGAATATTTTGCATGAAATCCAATACCTGATTTTGAAATCAATTTGTTCTATATTTTAGCAGTTCACTGTATAAAAACATATAATTTCTTTTTTTTGTCTTCATATTTCTGGTCAATTTTATTATTGCTTGATATTTTACAATTTTCAATCCATTAAAAGGTAGAATTCCAGTTAAAAAGAAATCATATATATTCAACGCCTTGCTTAAAATGCCCCAAGATATACGGGAATGACAAGCCTAATTTTAGAAAATTGTATAAATGGACATAAATATACCACAAAAGCATCAATTGCTTTACATAAACACGAAAATTTAGCAAACTATAAATTTAATTGTGTAGAAACTATATTAGTGATTTAAGTTTTATAATAATAGCGCTAAAAATAAACCATCAATTTAATAAAATCTAAACAACAAATAATAAACATAAATAAATATCAAAGTCATTATATTCATGTCAGTTATTTCATATATGAGAATATACATTTTTTTGATATGAAATAATTTATAAATTTGTATGCATTTAAAATAAAGAATTTTGCTATAATTCAATAACCTCAAACCAGTAATAATTCAAGCATTATATAAAAATATATATAAAATTTTCTTTTTTTGTTTAAAGGACTATGGATTATTGAAATTACTACCAAAACCTTCATATTAAAAGAACCCCTTTTGTATATAACTCGACGTCGAGATGTTTCAGAATTCAACTACAAGAGGTGCGTTTTGAGGACCATCTTGACGATTTTCGCCATAGTAATAGCAGAATCCGTGCCCAGATTTGATCTGGTCATGTCCTTAATTGGCGGCACTCTGACCGGGCCGTTGGTGTTCATACTGCCTCCCGTGTTTTACATAAAAATTCTTCACTTGCATAAAAACCACGAAGACGCACTGGTTTCAGCATCGTTCACCAACGTAGTGCTATCGGAAGAGTCTGAGGAGGAGACCTCGTTGAATTTGGCGAAGTACTACGAGCACAAATTCAGAGAAGAATTCAAGTCCACCTTTGATATCAGCGACATTAAATGCATCGACAAAAATTTCGAGATTATTGTTTGCGTTATCGTTATACTCGGTAGCTTTATAGCTACTTTAATAACGACTTTTCTGAATTTTAAAAACGCTGCTGCCTCATATAGTAATTTTACGAGACCCTGCATTTACAACATATCGAACGCGCTGCTGTATTTGTAAATAAAATACCCATTACGAAATTTAATTTAATTCTCACTAATCGCTACAAAATAAATCATAAACATCAATAAATAATAGCAAACTCTGTTCTATCGACTACGTAAGACCTAAATGTATAACGAATAAAAAGTACAAAAAGTCAGTCACACTTTGAATATCACTCTCGGGCCTCGTTTTAGAGGTCGAATAAGAAGAACCCTCCACCGATTGTAGAGATGGTGGACGTCTTTTTGGGTGCCAGCACTTTGTTGATGGTGTGCAGCACACCGTTTGTGGCTAAATTGTCGCAGCTCGTCACCACAGCCCTGTTTATGCGCACTTGGCTTCCCATCCTACCGACTTCGACTTTCTGCGAACCCAGAGTGGGGATGAAGCTGTTGAAACCCCACGTATTCGGACCCACGCCAGAACAACAGAGGACCTCTGCAAAAAAGTTAATATACCATTTATATAGAAAATACGACCCAAACTTTTCAAAGAACTTCTGCAGGCTACTGTAATACTATTTACAAAACTTTTGTTGTTGATGAATCGAACTTGCTGACGTTTCACCAATCATCCCGTGTAAATATTAGTTTCAGTTAAGCTCCGAAGAAGCAAACAGGATGATTGGCGAAGCGTCAGCAAGTTCGATTCATCAATAACCGACGCCGGCTTACCTGTAAGAACGTGAGTTTTCAAAACTTCCTCCGCCTTTTCCTTATTCTCCAATAATTGCTTCCTGTCGTCCTCGTCCAACGCGGCGAACGTCTCGTCGGTGGGTGCCAAGAACGTGATCGAGCGATTATCTTCTCGAAGAATCGTTTCGACTTCAGTACCTTGCAGCAGTTGCCTCAAAGTTGAGTACCTCTCGTCGTCGCTAATCAACTCGTAAATCGTTTTGGTGGGCGGTATCAGCACTTGGTTGACTTCATGCACCATAGAACCGCATGTTTTCTCATCGAAACCGATCATCCTCGCGCAGTTGATTGTTGCTCTGTTGATCACGTTGGTGAATAGCGGTAGCTGCAATTGCCCCGTAAAAATTGCGAGTTCATGGTGTCTCCTAGAGAACCTCTCTTACCGTTGAGTATAGGTTGAGTCGAAGCTCCTTGCCGTTATCTCTGGTGGCCAGCTTGAGATTGTTTTTCATATCGCACGACGCCATCTGGCCTTCAACTGCGTGATACCTGACCAAATCTTTGAGCTTTTCCTGGTCGTTGCCTATTTCCTCCAGCAGTTTCTGCGCTTCCGGGTTTTCGAAGGCTTTGTTGAACGGGACGAATACGGTACCGTTCTCCAAATCATTAAGTTCCTCTGTTAATCCGGCCTTTTCGACCAGCTCTTGGAATTTGGAGAAGTTGTGCGCTTTGAGGACGTTCTCGATATACTGGCCTGCGGAGGAAGAGTTTTAACTGGAATCAAACTAATAAACTAAATAATTTTTACCTGATTCTGGAACGATGAGGTTATCGATCAGATGAATCACCCCGTTGGTGCCAATCACGTCGGATTCAATAATTTTGGCCTTTCCTTCGAAGATCAGCTCATCGTCCATGGTCCTTTCCATATTTAAGACGGAACCTTCAACGTTGTGGGTAGTCGCGTTCCCGATTATAGCAGTGGAGCATACCGTGTGAGCTACGATGTGGTGTTTCAAGATATCTAATAAAAGCAAGTCCGTTTACTTTAATCATTTCCTCATTTTGCCTGCCTAAACTCACTCGATGCGCAACCTCCACCGTTGAGGAACTTCTGCCTTTGATTTTCATCGACCTTATTGAAAGCATCGTCTGTTGGCGCAAAAATTGTATAGTGGCCGTCTGGCTTCAACCGTGTGGGGATATCCGTCTTTTCCAGGACTGAAACAAATATATTTTATCCTGCTTTAAAACGAAAAATAATTACCTACTTTGTCTGAGGAAGGTCAGTTTTGGATGACTGCCGATGATTTTCAACAAATCTTCGCTAGCCGGAGGAACGACGCGATCCAATATATGAACTATGCCGTTGTCTGCCAAAATATTGCCCTTTTTCACTCTAGCGCAGTTTGCCGTCAGCATTTTCTCGTAGCTGTGTGTCGGGTAAATGTTGATCCGTATCGGACTCTTCTGACCGTCCTCGCTTTAAATTGGATATTTAAAAAAACCAACTCTAATTGCCACCTCGGGGGTGAGTCTTACCTTTCAAGGAGCTGTTCGTTGTCCAAGTCAGTCAGTTCAATGAAACCTTCACTCGAATGACTCAGTACCAAATCCTTAGAGGAGAGGGCGTTGCTGACGGCTCTGCGTCTCCGTGCCATTTCCACGTTGTTCTGCGCATAGTTTACATTCGTTTAATGAATTCAAGATGCACAATAATCACCTTACCACTTCGTTGATTTTTTCGCTGTAATCATGAACGGCGTCGTCGCTCGGTACGAATAGGGTGAAGTTTCCTTCTTCAAATTTGCCGTCCAAGTTGCTCGAGCGGATCAGATTTCGGAATTCGTCAAGCTTCAAGTCTTCCAAAGTTTGCAGAATTGGTTTCAGGTCCACCTAACAATGTTGAAAGAATAAATTAGGGTACGGTTTTCAATTACCATGACTAACCAAACCAGCCATAAGGAGTGAACTTATTTCATTTGGGAAATGGAAATTATACGATGTAGTTCCGGATACCAAATTAAATTCTTTATGACATTGAAGCTCTTAAAATATTGTATAGCAATCAAGATCAATTTTATTTGTTAACGTATAACAGCGTCCATAAGACGATATTAAGGTAAATAGAAAAGGGCAAAGAGGAAGTAGCCAACTTCTGTGATTTGTGGATCAAACTGTACGTGGGTATATAAAAACACTCATATATATTTTAAAATCCTAATTAATATTTAGTTGCTTTCAAACTGTGCCCTAATATAGATTTGGTACCCTTAATTGCAGATCAATTTTGAAGTAAAACTAGTTTTAATAATGCGGATCTAGTCAAAAAAAAATTATTCCCGTTTGTCTAGTTCGGTTAATTAGAAACGAATAATTCTTCTGATTATTTAAAAGTCGACTTAAAGTAGGTGCATTGGAGAACACGTAGCTTTCTCGTATATGATATCGCCGAGAAAATATAGTAAATTATAAATTCTAGATAAAATGTGATTGAACTGAACTGACCAGCAGATCGTCAAATTTCAAAGCTTATTTTGAGTATTTTGTAACAATACTTACACATTATCACAGAAGCTGAAATTTATAGGAGATAACTTGTCTGCTTTTTCTTCACTTTTACATATCACGTTCAAAGATATAAAATGTATGGTTCTTAAAATTAATAAGAGTGTTTCAATTATTGACCTAAATAGACAATTACGGTCCAAGTTCACTAACACATCTTCATTACTCTCTTACAATCCGGGGGCGACTATACTTGGTAAATTTTACATTGCATTCGCAAGCTCGACCCACCTGTTTGGTACATCCGTTGGAATCGGGCAATCTTTTGAACCCATAACAACACTTGTAGCGGACCGTGAAGGTTTTGACCACGCCATGGTTGTTTATTCTGTAAAATGTACAATTACCCAGTTACAAACGCGTTAGGAGCACTTATCCTGTCAGAATAAGTTAATTACAACGATTACGCGAAATTCGCGTTTAAATTCTTACTTCGTGGTGCACTCGTATTTGTTTTCCGACTCAAAGCAGTTGGAGAGGCGTATCGACGTGGAGAAGAAGTTGGGTTCCCTGTGGGTGGTGACTTCCGAGTTATTCTTCTTTTCGATTTCAGGCGACTCATCTTTGTCGTCGTTATCATCGTCCGTACTCTCTTCCCTCTCTATGCAAACGTTTTTTCTGCAACAAAAAATGAAGTTTTCTTAAAAGAGACCCTGACAATATGACCCCGATTTTAAGAGGTCGTTGCCGAATGCAAAAACTATCCGAGTAGGCAACGGAAAGTCAGAAAAAACACACCACGACCTTGAGTGAACTAAAAATAAGTCACATTTTTTATTAATCTAAAATTATGATGAAATCGCGATAAGCAACATTTTATCAAAACTACATGACTTTTTTTATCAAATTTGAAACGCAAATTAATAAAAAATTATCCGGAAGCCGCTGCATTAAAATTATAAGCTTCTTTACAGAACAAGGCTCGGCTATTTATATACAGGGTGTCATACAAATAACAGCACACAAACAGGAATTTTAAAAACTATTTTTTACGAAAAAAGAAAAAAACAAAAAAAAACATTCTTAAAAAAAGCACAACCAACTTTTTTTCTTAAATAAATGTATGTTTTTAAAACTTTTCAATTTTTCAAATGATTGAAAGACTACAAAATAAATGTACTCCTTTTCCCTACAATCAGGATATATAAAAACGTAATAATCTTAACATACTAGAGTTTGCTCTGAAGAAATTTTAATACGCTATGAAGCTTGTGTGCCAGTCGGTGGAGTTTAATTTGAGCATTTCCTAAATAAAATAAAGCAGTTATATCGGAATTTTTTAATACTGATTGTAAAAATATAAAATTATAATTATCATACAAACAAGTTTTTCCTCCTTACTTTAAAAATATGACCTTTTTATATTTTTATTGTCTCGTAAACATTCAAAAAATTCACAAAAATAACAGGTGTGTCATTTAAGGAAAGGGAGGTCATTTTAGGGAGCATTCCTAATCATCAAAAATATTTTTGACATTCTTATCTTAAATAAAAGTACTGAAAAGAATAAATCAAAATAAATTGGTCAGGAAATTCGTGCTCTCATCGATCTTTTGAAAAATGACCACTGAACGCGGTTGCTGTGTTTAATGAGATTTTTGGATTTTTTTCTTTCCTTTGTTGGTAACAATGCTATGCTATGATAATGCTATATGCAGTTAATATTCTGCTTATTCTTAAGATAATATTGTTGTGTTATTTTGTATCCTAAAAAGCACAAAAATAAATAAATTAACATTACACTCGAGAGGCGAATCTAACCAAAACTGTAAAAGTATGGACAGAAATTTGAATTCACAACCTGTATCTTTTAAAACCCTGCAGTATAAACATTTTTCCTTTGCCGACATTTTAACGTAATTTATTTGATTTCTTTAAATCTAAAAAAAAACATTGTATTTTTATATTGATGTAAACTCAGCAATATAATACCTAATTTAAAAAAAAACAAAAATTCTTATAAATTTTGTTTTTTTTTAATTGTATCAATTTTGGAACTTCTCACTTCTTCTCAGCCTTTTATATTTTGTGGTTTTCTTCAACAAAAAAAATAATTTAGGCAAATTTGAAATCACATGAGTTCTCATCCATCGTAATATCATATAATATCACAATGCCATACGTTTTGTTTTAATTAAAGAATAAGTTAAATTTCAGAATAATTTGAGACAAGGATGCGGCACATGGGAGTGCGTCAAGATGATTCTTTCAATGTAAATTGGCAGCCGTTGCCAAAGAAAAACCGAATGCGGAATTGCTTTGTCACTCTTTCAACCTCACTCATTTGCAATTAAAATTTATTAAAATAATACACCCAATTTAAAAGTGGGTGTAACTTTTTGATGAACACTTGCTTTTTTATTTGTCAGTCAGCGTTAGTTTTACTTTATAATTTAATCGATATACCATACTCTAGTCAAACTAATATTCTTGAATATCTGGTTTAAAAAATTTCTAAAATACATTTTCCAGTTAAATCCGGTACTTGGGTTTATAGCCCAAGTCGGATCTATGTATGCACCTATCGTTCAAAAGCTATAATTTTCAAGACCGATGTAGAGAACCTCTAGATGTTTCACGACCTGCACTTGGCAACTGTACTTCTTGTCAAAAGTTCATTAACCACATCAGCTGCCGGTTGTTATCGAGTACTTGTTAATGGCGTTTCGTCGAGTTCGTGTTAAGTAACGAGAGTTGCTTTATCCCAACATGTTTGCAGTGTCTCTAATTAAATGTTTCTTCGTAATTCCGCAAATAATGGCATTTTCCCAAAGTAAATTTCCACCTTTGACAATTTTTTAACTTGAACGTTCCCTATGTAAAGCACAATACATTTATTTGGCTTTAGCAGAGTGAGAGTACCTTTATTTAAAAAGAGAAAAAAGTTATCAAGAAAAGTATAAAATAGATGATTATGAATAATCTAAATTAGGATTTTTATAAGTTCCAAAGCAAATAGAGTATACTTTAAATAAATAATACATCAAAACATATACAACCAAAATTGAATTATTCACTTGAATATTGAATTAATATTGAACTATAAAATTAACATTTAAAATAGAATTGAAAAAAATATTTGGGTACAAATTATAAGTACCTGTCTTATTCTAAAAGCTATAAACTTACTACTTGGATTTCTTGCTGAATCTTGTCCATTTTTTAACTTGAATTGGTTTCTAGTGGATCAGAAGCTACTGCCTTTGTTGTTTATTAATAATAGCTAAGTAATGACATCATTGCAGTATAAATTCTTTACATATTATGCTACCACCCCCATCATTATATCTATAAAGGGTCTCGCCGTACATATTAAGGTAAAATATCATTAAAAAAATCTAAAACAAAAAACAAACTGAATGAAAGTCAGCTTGATAATTATGCAATTTTTGTATTCATTCTTAGTACTTACAAACAAAATGATTTTTAAGATACGCGTCAAATTAAATCGATATTTTCTTAAAATGTGGCAGGATTTTTTATAAGGCTTTTAAAAACTTTTAATAACAAAACATACCTTTTACATAGGTATAAGCTCACCAATAAGGTAATAACCACCAACATATAAATAAATGTATTACATATTATATGATACAGATTAATTTTTTTTCTTGAATTTTAAAAAGATTGGAACTTCTCACTTTCACATTTCATATATATTGATCAAAGAAAATTTTGGAAAAGAGTTTTTTGAAACGAAATGAGCTATTTCCTATATATATGCAACACTATAATTTCTATCACAGGAAAATTACTTGTTTTGCCCAATATCCAACATTTAGCACAGAGTTGTTCCCCGGTGTGGCGGTGCAATATAAACAAAAACGTTGAAAGAAAAGTTAAGCTTAACATTTCGTGGGCAAACCTCTGGCAGTGTACCAGTTGTCACAGAAAGAAAATGAAAGAAGACAAGTTGGTTGATTCAAATGTTACTTAACATTAGAAACATTTTCTGCTGAAGAACAAAAGTTTCATAGAAAGGCAAGCAACGTTCTAATTTAAAGTAATTAAATGTATTATATGAGGGTAAATTTTTCCTTACTATACCTGCTTAATAACATATTTATATGATGTAAGTAAATTCATAAATGTTTCATTTGTTATGTTTACTTTTCAATTAGCTATAACTGAGAAAGATTTTACTTTGCTTTGCTTACTTAACTATCTAAATATTATGTTCCGCTTTGACCGCAAATAAAAGAATCCACATCGTTTTTAGAAAATAATGTCCGACGAAATTTTCTGCATTGGTATGGATGGGTGGGTGATGGTACGACAACCCAATGTGGAACACGTCGATTAACAAAATGAACGAAACGCGATTTTGTGAAACGTAAAGTTCAAAGTCCTACAGAGTCCTACTTTGGTGTTATTGTTTGGGTTTGGTGCCGGGTGAAAGAGCGCATATATAGAAAGTTAAATCGCACCAATTTATCATCGCAGTGGAGGTTATTTTTGCATGGTTATTTGAACTAAATAAAAAATAGAAATTGTTTTGATGGGACAACATTAATGAATTGTGGTCGACTACTTTGACGGAATATATTTTTTAAACGATTCAAGTGGCAGTCGTGTTTAATTATTTAACTTGTACTTGATATTGAATCAAAACCAAAATAATCACAGTGACAATAATATATCAATGTTTTGCAGGTACAAGAGTGGGTTTTTAAAACAGTTTCAACGGTGGCCAAAATTATACCTAACCTATAAATTTGAACTTGAGCAGCACAAATAATGACTAATAATGGAAAAGGGCAGTAAGATATTTTTGGTTTTCGAAATGTATTCACAAAAATTGATCAGAAGTTATATAAAATGATTTTTTTTTCTGTGGTCGTGAGTATTGGTTTATGTTTGGAATTCATTCTTTAATCTGTTTTTCTATTATGGATAGTTAGTTGGTACATTAATAAATATGTATCTAATTTGTAAGGTCAGAGTAATATTAAAATGAATGCTACAAAAACCTCCAAATACATATTTTCATACGAATATCAATATTAATTTAAACATAATTGTAAAAACTAAACACAATACTTAACAACACCCCAATTCCAAAAAACAACCGTCCCTTTGTTTCAATTGATGTTCAATCGATTACCATGTGAACTTCCTGAACTTCGTGAACGAAATATAATTTTTAATTGATTATATGCGGGCAAGCTTGGTGTTATGTTCAATTGTTTAACTATATCCATTTCTTTATTAGCAATTATATACGTCCTTTTTACTTAAGCGTGAATAAAAATCAAAATGATCACAATCGCAAAAAATATACAACATGAATTTTTGAAACAGCGTAGACAAAGCCCAAAATTATACAGTGTGATTCCTAAACTATAAACATAAACTTGGCACAATGTTGAGGACAATGAAGGGAGAAAGGAAGCAGAATATCTTTAATATTTCCACTAGCTCATTTGCTATCTGTTGGGGTCGTAACTGGGAGCTTAATTTTGGAATTCATGTCTTATCATTTTTTTCTTTCTTAAATGTAGATAAGAACCCATTTTTTAATTTAGACATGTCACAGTGAAACTAAAATCAATTCCATGTTCAAAAAAACCTTCAAATATACATTTTTTTACAAATGTCAATGTTAATTCTAATGTATTAAGAAAAATTAAGTAGAACATTGCAATAGCAGCCTAATCTTAATAAACAAACGAGTTTTCGTTTCAATTAACACCCTGTACAATTCAATTCAAGTTAAATCGACTGCTATATGAGCTTCTTTAGCAATCATATAAACGGTGTGGAAATATAATCGCTAAAATTACGTTTTTAATTGGATATTAAACCTTCAAGACATCAAACGAAATTTAATCGAAAAACTTACCCCTTCCACCAGCTATTGCTGTCGTCGATCCCGAACAGTCCGCCGAATCCGAGCACTCCTCCCTGCTTGCCGCCCAGTCCGGGAAAATCAAACTCCGGGCCGAAAGGGCTAGAGAAGGAGGGGAATCCCCCGTTAGCGTCTACGTCTATGACACCCCCTGGGATTACGGGATTGACCGGATGTTTCTCTTTGGTTTCCTTCGGGTTCAGCACTGGCTTTTGCTCGGTCGCAGATGGTACGGGATCCTTGTAGTCCGGAGCCAAAGGCTCCCTGTCTTTTTCCGGTGCGCCGGCGCTTCTGGATTCGAAGCGAGGTGTTTCATAGATCCAGGAATCGGGGTTGTGGAAGAAACTTAAATCGCTTAGGAGAAAAATTGACAGTTAGGCGAAAAAGATTGACCATATGGTGATTATGGTTTTGGATTCACTCGTCTCATGCAAATGATACACGCACTATGTTATTTTGAAGCAGTTATCTAAACGCCTTGGCACATGGGGCTGTTTGAAAACTTCTCTAGTAATTAATATAATCCTTTTACTATTGTAAATAATAGATCTTTTCTAAATTAATATCTAAACGTTGACACAAACGCATAAGTTTTCTTAGGTAATAAATCAGTCTCCTCGACGTATCTAAACCCAACATATCAGCAGCAAGGGTTGAGACAGATTCTTATGGCAGACATAGTCTCTGATATATGCTAAAAGGCTTTATTCTGAGGCCTTTGTTGTATGTACTCAAACGAACACATATTAATCATAATAATTAAAAACTAACTTAAAGTAAGGGTAAGGGTAAAAGGTAAGCTTAGCTGCACTGACGGTAATTCTAGACTAGAGTTCTACAAAAAAGTGTGACCCTTTGCAGATACTCTGTAATTTTTTTCGTTTTAATGCTTATTTTTAATTTTCTTTGAGACTAATTTTTTGGTTTTTCTACCTATCTATGTACCACTTTATTTCTATGCGTCTCCAACATACAACAATAATAAAATAAACAAATATTTTGTAATATCAAAAATCAACGAAGTTTTATTTCTCTTTTAATGCGCGGAATATATTATCTCCAGGGAGGGGTGATTTTAACGCTACAAGCACGAACAATGAAGTCATCAAATTTACTGGAGGAAATGTGATGGTATACCTTCATTATCAAATTCAAATCTTTATGCTAATCGTGACAAGAACAATATTAGTCATAAAGCGGTAGAATACTTTCCGAGTTCAAACTACAATAATGGACGTTTTTAAAAATGACGAAGTAAAAACAATCATTAACGGATAAATTAAGAGTCACTCGTCTGTGTAATTTGGTCTGACGAGCTTCCTAATTGTGTTAATTAATTGATTTGTCTGTTGGTCTAATAAATAAATAACCCATTGAAAAGATTTAAAAAATTCAAACCCGTAATTATTAACTTGAGAAAATCTACGAAAAATAACTTGTCCCTGAAACGTTTAAGGAACTAAAAGGTAGATTCGATGAAACCGAATTAAATAAACACAAACTGAAATGAACGAAAATGGCCGCAAAATTGTAATAATATTTCTAAATTGCAATTAATGTTATCGAACAACGGCAAACAATTTTATTGTGTTAATACATGTAATTCTCATTTTTGTTTTTTGTTATTTGTACAGGCTGTCTGTAAATGACGAGCAAAAAATTTAATGGCCCATTCTACTTGAGAAATTAATATTAAAGTTCATATATGTTTGTCAAAAAAATCAACAATTTCAGGGTGTAATTTTCCTTTAAATAAATGTTCCTTAACTTTATCCTAGTTTGCCTATTAACTTTAAATTAGGCACATTTACTGTTAATGTTTTTTTGTATTTTAAGGTAAAATTTAAGAAAAGTTAAGATTATGAGTAACTAAGGCTTTAGCATTTGGTCTAACATTTACAAAGGAATATTAGTTATAATTGTGCAAAATTTTAATCGGAACGAAAATTCATTTAATTTTTTTTAATTTTTTTAATTAATTTCTGGAATAGAGCCGACTCTTAAATTTTTTATCTTTATGTCCTGACAACCATGTTAGAAGCTCGAGGCCGAAAGACATAAAGACTCCTTTTCAAGAAACCAATAGCAAACCAAAACTGAAAGTACATTTACAAGAAAGGATATGATGACATTTACGATAAGCCAAATGGTAGCCCAAATCTGGTTAATTTTAAATGTAAGATTTACTAGTAAAATTTCAAATAAGCTCCAACTTAAAAATGAGTTGAAAAATGTTCATTCCTCAAATTCTCATCCCCTTCGTCCGGCAATAATGTTGTTGTTAATCTCTCTGGTACTAGAAAAAAATATTTCGACGGGACTTACCTATACAGGTCTGCCTTCACTGCCAATATCAGCAAAGCACTAGCAAAAAATGCTCGCCACAGCATTTTGCAACAACTGAACGTCTCTGTTATTAGAATTAAGCTATATCTTCCTTTCAGCGCGCTTTTACACAAACGAACACTCTGGTAAGTCGTACCGTGGCGCTTGTATTTATAAACGCGACTTTGGTGGTGGGGCGGTACCCATCACCGTTACGGCCAGCGTTTTTTACGTTTGTTTATCTTTTTGTTTTATCATCTTCCGAAGAACTGTTGCTGCAGGGCGATGGTCCGAGATATCGTGCCAATACATGTGATAGATAGCGGATCGTTAATGAAAGTACCCACCTGCGTATTTTGTATCCGACGTTCTTCTTTCACTTGGGCGAGATGTGATCGTGATAGTAAGAGTCTAAATGTCAATGTATGATTTGAAGCAAAAAGATGGCGAAGAAAAATCTTCAACGATGCGATAACTGATTTTATTTACAATTAAATGGAGTACATTACCAATTAACCAACCCCATGCTGATACTTTCTACGTCGAAATCTACAGCGTCTATGGTATTGAAAGACATGAAAAATGCATTTCTTTGTTATCACGAATTTAAGAGACTTGTCGAAAGTCTTGCCATGCTTAACAAGTTCCTAAAAGTTTTCTCCGCCAAAATTGCCCACCGTTAGCCATAAAACAGAGGCTGCTATGGCTACGTTGATGAAAAAAGAAAGCAAGCAAGCAAGCTAAAACAACAGTTCTTCTATACCTATACAAGAAGAACAAAACAGAGAATAGAAACGTTAGAAATGAAGATATTACGATCCATATTTTGAATAAGAGAGAGATAGAAGGAGAAAAAGTAAGGGAGAGAGAAAGAGAGAGAGAGAGAGAGAGATGTGACGTCTAAGATGTCATAAAATCACAGGGACGACCACCTAAAAGAACTTTAGTCAATAGTAGAATAAGAAGAAGAAGAGTTTGCACTACGCGACCTGTAATTGTCCCCAACGAGGCACTAACGCTCATGATTATTACTTAATCATCTTTCAAAGTCCACAAAATCATCATTCTACAGCTGTGGGAATCAGAAATCGACATCATCATGCTCAACGTATCCGAACGAACAGTTAGATGATTACTTGGAGAATTCCGCGACTTCACTTTGGAATCAATTTAGGCGCATTTTAATTTATAATAAGTTGAGATTTAGCCTCCGATCTCCAAATGGTCGTGAGAGGGTATAGCAAAGACCATTAGAACGTTTTGCGTAATATACCTTTACTTTGAAGAAATTGTGGAAGTTCTATTAACCCTTGTGTTGATTTCATTAGAATTAAGAATGCATGACAATGCCAGACCTCACACAGCAAGAAGTATTCAACAATAGTTAAACGATGTGGATATTTCTGTTTTGGAGTGGTCAGTGTTAAATCCTAGTTGGGACGTGCTTCGGAGAAAATTACAAAGTTTCAGTTTTTCTTAGCAATATTCTTCAATTTGGCTTAATTAAAATTTCACATTAACAAAATATAAATTTGTATTTTTACATTACTTGATTTTAAATGTCAGCGAGCAATATTATGGTACAATTTTTGTAAATTTCAATAAAATGAAGTAACCAATGAACATTACTTAGAGATATATCCATCTATGTGTCAAAGTCAGTTTTAATCTTTTAAAAATCATAAGGAATTATCTATACACGGAATATCTTAAGAAATCAATTTTAAAATCAACCTGACACCCAAATTTTGCAAAGACACCATTTTGCAATAACAGTTCTCAAAGTTGTACAGTTCTCAAAGATGCACTGTATAATACACTGTACAAGAGTTAACCGCGTGTCTATTATAACTATAATTTTTGTTGTTTGTTTTATTTACTTGCTTTTAATATTTTTAACGAGTTAATTAAACATGTACAATTTCTTGACCTAAAGATTCCAATTTGTAAATATGCAGTAATGCTTTCTTCGGTCTTTCGATATTGATAACAGCTTGGGGCAAAACATAAACAGATAAATTGTTGATACATTCGGGACCGCACTAACAGTTTACGATAACAAAGTAATTTGTGGAGCACTTGATTTAGCGCGTTCTCGAAAATGTATTCTGGAATTTTCGCACCATCTTAAGAAAATAATTCAAATGCGAATAGTATTTTTGTTAAACGTATAACCGCTGGTGATGGCGGCGATGAAACAACATCGATAACACTTCTTTTATTTACTAACAAATAAACAAATATAATATAATAAGCTAGGTTTCGCGAGAAGGCAAAATTATTTTCTGTATCATTATCACATAAGGTCAAGGAACCATGGTGAATCAAAGAACGTTAATTTGTTTAAAATCTGTTTAAAAACTAATATCCGACTATAATTTACGCAGTGTATTTTTTAAAAAGGATTGTTGAAACAAACTAGCCTTGCAAACGGAGCACCTGACGTCTGTCGTACCTACAACGAACCAGTCGATATTTCTAGAAAATATCTGGGCTATTTTTAGTAGGGAAACGTTTGTTATTTAGTTTTATCAGCAGCTTCGACTTGGTTACTAAATCGTTAAACGTTTAATGTATCAACATACAAAATAAAAATTAACAAAATACTGATAACCAACCTATTATACTAACACATCGTGAATCACTTGTTCTCGAAAGTTATTTTAAATTTGTTTTAATATGCAGATTTTATGCGCAGTCGCTTATTATCACATACGAGTTCTTCAAAGGTTTAAATTGTTGAAGGGGGCGTTAATAAATCAAAATAAGAAGGCAATTATTCTATTTATGCCAATTTACGATTATGCGCTGAAAATAAAAGAGAAACCTTGTTATGAGGAACATTCCAGAACAAAAAACGGAATTCTAGAAATTGCATTAAAAATACCGACCAGTGAAAATTGCGAGCTATAGAATATGAAATGGGGGAAAACATTATTTAAGGATTATTTTACTAGGTTAGGAATTGAAATTGGAAAGTTTCGTTTTGATAACAGAGCAACGTGAAATGTAATTTTCCTGTTTCTGTAATTTGACGTACGTTCATGCCTATTCCTTTAAATTAAAAAATCACTTCTATGACTAAGGGAGTTTTAATTGATAAAGTGATTCTGTTATCGTGTTTAAGAACGTAAATGTTTTGGAGGCAATTTATTACATTAAATGCGCCTGGAATAAAATTTCGTCAGCAATGATACAAAATGGATTTAATAAAGCTAGTTTTCAGAAAAATGCTATATCGATTCAATGTGGCCTAGAAGATTGTCTTGAAAATCTTGAAAATTATGTTCGAATTGGTAGCTATATAAACATTGACGATGAAATTGAAAAAGTGATGTAAACCCGTCCTGCATCGAAAAAGAGAGAAAAGATGACATTGTTAAAAGATGGCAACACACCTCAAAAATGTATAGGACCATTATCATTCTACTGTTTTAAAGAAAAAAATACAAAACAGAACATTTTAGAGTTTATCAAAAAGTAGTTTTGTTCTTATATACTAAGGTCGAAGGGTAAATATCTGGGATTTATAAAGTACAGTACAGAATTCACAGGGATTCGCAGGGACATTACTTTTGGAATACTTGCTTAATTAATTAATTTGTATTTCATTCCATATTTTAAAAAAATAGTCATATATAATAAAAATAATTTACTTTTTTTAACAACAATTTTTAAATAAAAACTCCCTCTCGCATTACTTCATGGACAACATTTATGCCTTTTGAGAATTAAAACTTGGCAATATTTTTGCATCTTCTCTGCTGGTTCCTCGGTGAAACCAAAAATAGAGTGAGTACGGACAGACTAAAATGTTTTGTTGTAACATCTGCGACAAGGCGATAAAAAAATTAACCCACCAGAAGAAGTTAAATTTATTAAGATCCAAAGGAGTATGCAGCCAGAGAAGTTATGTAGGTAGCTCAGATAGTTCAGAAAATAATACAAAATAGATTAGTTACAGAAGCGCTCTCTGAAAATGCTATAGAAACTGAAAATCTTCAAAAAAAATATGCTCCCCAACATTCCAGTTCATAATTCAAGTTTTACGCAGTATATTATGACGTATGATTTACGAGAAATTAAAAAAAATATATTGATGGTACTTCCCGTAATTCCATGGTCGAAATGTCATATACATATATAACATTAAATAAATGAAAAAAAAAATGAGAAACTAGGTGAAAAGAATAATGATGCGGATGAGTCAGCAAATGATATATTAATGAAAATGAGAGACATCTTATTTGAGGTTAATAGCCAAACAATAAGGATCACAGAAAAATATGGATGAATAACGACACATGGACTGAAATTCAAGAAAGAGAAGAGGTCTGGAGGTCTAAACAATCAAAGCACACTAAACGACAAACTAAAAATGACTATAAAACCTTTATGCAGGGAAGACAAAAAAGTTAACTTAAGAAAGTATGCCAAGAAATCAAAATTCACTCAAATTGATCAAATAACCCGTAACTAATAACAACTGCATTAAATCGGAGTACAGAGGAAGAGGATATACTAGAACGTTGGAAATTGTATTGTCAGAAACTAATGTCCGATGATCAGACAGAAACAGGAAAGTATACTGTCAACGCTGAACAGGAGCCCCATATATCGAGAGAAGAATTAGAAACAGCTCTAAGGAAATTAAAATCTATAAATTACATGGTATTGATAATGTTACGGCCGTGATGATAATTGACAAAAACAATTAATAGAAAAGTCAAGGGAATTCAACACTGTTACTTATATTTGCTTCATAGACTATAGCAAGGCATTTGACTATTAATTGGGTTGTCACTCCTCCCCTCTTCAGTGCAAATGGCGACCCATCATTAGGAAAGCTACCTTTAATTGTAACGGAGGACCAGTGAACAAGAACTGGTTGGACTTTTAAGAATAATTGAAGAAAAATCATGGTTTTAGAACAACAAAACAGAAATCAAAAGGACATCGATGTGCTTAGGCAGTTTGTATACCTTGGCTCTCTGATAAACACAGGAGGTTGTACTGAAGAAATGAAAATACGGGCAGCAATTGCTAAAGGCGCTATGACCGGTGATTTTTTCTCTTTTCCTATATGCTTCGGAATGTTGGTTCAAGTTGATAGGCTCAAAATTAATACGTTTGAGATATTCTCTTGGAGGAGAGATTACTATAAATTCGTTAAAGATTAAATGAGTCAATTATAAATGAGCTTAACATAAAGAAAAGAAGATAACATGTTATTTTGGACACGTCATTCGAAGAAAATCACCTACTACACAGTACATAGACCATCAAAGAGACCGGAACAACGATTGGTGGAGAGGGATGGAAAGTTATCACAAAACACAACTCATGATGGCCCCATACTTTGAACGGGTCGACGATTAAGATTAAGATAAGAACGATTAAGAAGAAGAATATTACATAAAAAATAAATTTCCTCGATTTGTAGATAGATATCGCTGACGTTTTGCCAAACACAGTCAATAATCGACGCAGGAGAAATCCAGAAGATGTGGACCTACACAACTTGCGGAATTTTCCTTGAAAAATTTCCTTGGATTGTTTATTCGGTACTATATCCTATTTTTTTCCAAATCTTTGACCACGTTTTTATTATTAGGTTATTTCCCAGGTTTGAAATAAAAACAATAAGTTACATAAAAATATATAGGATTTAAAGGGCTTTATTCAGGTTTACGGAGATTTGTAGGGATTTATTAGGATTTATACTGAACTATTGTTGATTTAACCGGATTTCAAGGACGTATATTTACGGTATAATTTAAAACTCACCTGAATTTTTTTAATGATTTTTAATTTTTGAGTGTAATTTAGCTTTCCTTTTGGTTTGTCCTGTTAAGTTATTATTAATAAAACCATGTACGTTTATTAATAAATATATCAGAAAATGTCGTAATTTTCTTTGTGAAGCGGACTCCCTCAATAAACAGGCAACATCGGCGGAACCGTGAGTGTCCGTTTAGTGATAGCGATTTTTTAAAGAAATAGCTTCGAAAGTTTTTTGTCAATTTGATGATTTAAGGGTCATCATCCCGCAAATCACAAATCGTTTAACGTGAGAGAGATAAATAATATTCTAGTCTTGCTGAACATTTAACGTTTAGCAGATCGATTTTCTAGATGGCGTGAATAGAGTGTTAAAAAAATGTGACTAGAAAAACGATGCAGTTTTTACCCGTTCCATTTTGACTTTTTTATTCCAACCACAGATCGCCAAGCCGTCTCTCGATATGGTTTTATTAAGTGTGTGTCTACGCAAAGCAGATAGATAAGTTGTGACAAATTACCCGTACTTTGTTCTTGTATTTTTAACTTTTGACGCGCTCTGGTGAAGGAAGAGTTTTGGAAGCCGATTATGAGCGTGTCAAGCGAAGACCCCGAACCGAGAGTGCCACCGAAAAGTCCACACCCCATTTTGGTAGACGACGACAAGAATACAGCTTTGCATTACGCTGCCGCCAATGGGGAAGACGAGTCGGTCGTCAGTTATTTGGAAAAACAGTCGCCCGTAGCGGACGTAGAAAATTATCTGGGATGGACGCCGCTGATGATGGCCTGCCGTAGGGGACATTTAGCCACCGCCAAGATTCTTCTGGACTACAAGGCGGACGCTTCGAGAAAAAATAAATTTGGTAGGAACGTTTGGCATTGACTTATTCGACAATTTGATCTAAAATAATTTGGAAGTCCGTAATAATAAAATAATATTTCATTTGCAGGTATGAATGTATTTTTGATATGCGTGGCGAGCGGCAACCTAGAGATGGTGCAAATAATTCTGGAACACCTGTTGCTAGGAGGAATCTCCAAACAAAGCCTCCAAACTATCTTCTCGCCCTTATCGATGGCGGTACTGTTTCGCCACGATCATATATTGCAATACCTACTGGAAAAGCGGTTTGATTTGAATGCCAAGACTCACATTGCAGGTAGTAGAGTATACTATTTATTCTTTAGGGTATTTTATTTTTCAATGTTTTCTCTTGATTACTAACTGAAAAACACATTATTTTTCTATATTTGTATGCAATTTTGATTAAAATTTAATTCAAAACAGTGAACAAAGCGGCCTTTTTCTTCACAAGTGGCGAAAAAATACGCCGGCGTATAATTGGTTGCATATTTCCGAACCATGTTTTCAGTGGTCAATTATTTTTCGGATAAAACTTCACAGTGACACAATATCTACCTCTGGTAAATATATGGCGGTTAAAGTGTTAACTTGGCTAACTTGGTTATTTTTTCTAAAAATCGTGGTGTTCTGTTCCCTTCTGTTAAAGACCTAATTATACACCAATCTAGCATGGGATTGGGAGCAATCGAGTGCTTTCAGAGATATTTCCACATGGCTTAAATTTTGACGTTTTTCAATTCTGATGGTCATGCCAGTGAGTGTATTCGTGTTGCTTTCCAAAAATGCATCCAAAAACTAACGGTTGTAGGAAAAATATAGTATTCAACACCTTTGGTAATAGTATATTATGCAAAAAGTGTCGCAAACGACTTAAAAAATTTAGTTATTCGGAGCATTTTTGCAAAACAACATGAATACATTCACTGACATGACCGTCGAAATTGACAAACGATAAAATTCAAACCGTTTAATAATATCTCTCAAAACATCCGATTGCTCCCAAACCCTTGCGGTAATATCCTGGAAATGTCCGAAGTGGCTCGGATTCGTAGGAAATGAAACTGACGTGGTAAAATGAAACTTTTGGCCCGCTAGATCGGTGTATTTTAGAGAACGAAGTAGAAAAACTTTTTAAGTCACTGGTTTAATAACCACCAACTGCCGTTTCTATACTGCCTTCTGTGTAAATACCGAATTACACACTGATCTAGCATGCGAAAAGTGTCATTTTACCCCCGACCTCCTTCGGACATTTCAGGGATATTACCACTTCAATTTTGACGTTTCTCAATTCTGACGGTCATGTCACTGAATCTAATCACTAATTCTAAGAAAAAAGCTACAAATATTGATTGGTTTGTTTACCATCCAATAACTAACAAACTATACAAGATTTTTCGCCCAAGTATAATCCACAAGGAAAGCATACACACACGGTGTTTTTGGTTAGTCTAACAAAAACTATCCACGGTAAATGTAGGAGGAAGTAAGCAAACTAAAAACCCTGGTTAATTTGTATGCTTCTCTTTTGGTTTGTACTTTTGCGGTAAATGTTGTATAATTTGTAAACTAACTGGCTCGTATAAAATTCAACGAATACTTAAGTAAAATAATATTTTCCGTCAAAATAACCAGACCTATGGACAGTTTGTATACTATATCTAAACTAGCCGTGTTAACACTTTACCCATAGCAAATATCCTTACCTGTCTTTACTGTTAGTGGACTAAACTAACTAAACTAAACAGTTTATTATGTCCAAAATAAGCCCAGCTTTGGCATGCTGAATTTGCTTCTAAAATTATAAATGTCAAATTTTGGTCTGGGGCGTAACTTTCGAGGGGTACATGAAATAAAAACCGCAATAACTTTTTGTTGCTTGTGTTTTAGACTTTTTTTCTTATAAAACCGGAAAAGCGGTGTTCTATTACGAGAAAAAGGTACACGATATACACTGCTTAGCATGTCCATCTTATTTATTTATCAATAATTGAAAAATAGCCTTTCAAACAGAAATGATAAGATTGTTATTTTGTTGTCAGTTTGACATTTATGGTGTTTTTTGTTCACGTTGTCTTGGAAGTTTCTTTTTAATTTGTTTTTTTTTTATATGTATGAGGCGTTTTTAGAAGAGATAATTAACAGCCCTTTTTTGTCATTTGTTTCCAAAGAAAACTAAGACTTATTTTGGCCATAGAATATGCTGTTATAGTTGGGTCCACTAATTTCGGGATACTCTGTATATTTCGGATTTACTATGAACTTCAATAGTATGTTTAAATTGGATGATATTTGATTGGGGTATTATGTTGTGCATTAAAAAAAATAATCACTTAATAGTTAAAGTTAATAGCCGCCCAAATGAAAATGTCACAAAAATTGTTGGGGACCTTTTTTTAATTAAACTATCAAATTGTCGTTTTGTTGCAGTTATTTCAAACGAGATCTTAATTTTGACAAGTAAAACGTGAATTTCTATTTTTTCGTAGATATTACTCCATTAATGTTTGCCACGGCGATGGAAAACTCGAAGGCTTTCCAACTGCTTTTGGGTGAGGGTGCGGATCACACCATGAAAAACTATCTCGGTCATACTCCACAAGATATAACGACCATTCGCGTCCATATGAAACAACTGGTAAACCAGGAACATAAATTCTTGAGTCACGGACCTCAAACCCTCAATCAAGGATCGCAGTCGCAAATGCCTTCGCCTAAGTACTATTTCACCTGCAATCAGTCGCCTCAGGCGCCGTTGAGTTCATTCGCCCAATTTTTCCGAGTCGATAGTGCTTCGGTACCTCACATGCAATTGCAAAGAAAATATACCAACGTTTCGCCGATGGTCTTACCAGCCACGCCGAATATTTCATCAGTTACACCCGCAACAGTCCATTACCTTACTCCGCAAATATTTTTTCCTCCAGATTTTTCCCCGCGTCAAGTATCACATAACATGGCGCCGGCCTCTATCCGGCACGACATTTTGAATGCGAGACTCAATAGCTCGGCCGCCATGTTCCTGTCCCCTCCCGTTTTAAATTTTTTGTCACCCTGTATGTGAGCGTATCTATTTTTAATTTATTTTTAATTTTTATATCCCATTTTATTTGAAAATAACAGTATCATTTACAACTTTTATTCGTAACTTCAAATTGCTATGACGCTTTTGTATTCTTGAAATGACAATTGTAAATTGACGTCAATACTTTGTTTTCTTTATCGACCTTTCCGTTTATAATTCCTGGCAATAAAACTTGTTTTAACTAGTTAGAGAATATCACTGGCTTCAATAAATAATCGCACTAGAAAGCATTGATGGCTAGCTCTGGCCGAATGATCACTATATCTTTACCTAACCTAACCTAGGAGTGAAATGAAGAAAGAGACTTTCTACCGACACTGACCAAATGTAATCATTTTTTCGTCTGTTCTGTGATTAATAGCAGTATTTTAAATGTTTTTTTTACCTTTTTTGTTGAACGTTAAAATTTTTTTTTGTTGATTTGATGCAATGTCCGAACACGGTGCTGCATTGCAAACATACAATCAGGAACTTGTTAAATGTTAGATTAGTTAAATTAAAAATCTTATTTCTAACATTGAAATTTTAGGTTTAGAAGATTTAAAAGTGAAAAGAAACGAACTTATTGAGATAATTCGTCGTGAGGAAGCGGAGAAAATAGTTTTAGATAAAAATTTGCGAGCTTTACAAGAAAAAATGAACATCTTAAATAATAATTTGAAACACCACAAGATGGTATTCGATAATTATGATAAAACTATCCAGGAAACCGAAATGGGATTTAAAAAGGTAGGCTAAATAAAAATAATAATATTCCGGTTGGATTTGTTTATAGAAAAAAATTGGGCATTATAATTTTAAAAATACTTTGATGTTTTTAGATACTAGAAAGCAGCCAGACTCTTTTACAAGTGGCACAGCACGAGGCAAATAAATTATGCACAGGAAACGATAGCGGGGTTGTTTTTGTGCCTTACATTAAGGAAAATAGTTATTAGTTTATCTTCTTAGTAGAGTAAGTCTAACAGCAACTATTTTAAATTGTATGTATCAGGAAAATGGACAAACTTTAAATAATTGAATTTTAATACATGCATCACATTTAAAATTTGTCTGTTTAAGGTTGGCAAATATAAACAAGTGCTTTATAGCATAATTTATTTTTCTAAATTTGTACAAATATATTATTGTTTGTTTTATAGGTTTTCATTGTGAAATAGTATATCTATTACATTCCATATACTTATACCAAATTAAACTGTTTACTACACCTCGTTATGCATTACCTAGGATCTTTTGTTCACTCCACACTTTAATCAGTTCTTTAGGGTTGTCATATCCATGAGAAGCAATCACATACTCATAATTAAATTTATTGTATGGTTTCTTACAAAAATAGAACTCCTCTGAATGAAATGGTTCAATTTTAACCTTAAAGGCTAATAATCCCATATAAATATCATCAAATCTAAAATGTTTGGTATAAAAACTTGCAAAATACATATCCAGTAAAGTTTCTCTAGAACAAACCACTGCTCCTCCAGAAACATAGGGGGGCCACATATGGTAAGGATACTCCTTTAAAGATACATACCATTTGCTTGTCAGGTGTCTATGGGGGGCTGATTCAAAGGTGTAACCTGCATAGAGCCTAACTTCATTTAAGTGTAGTTTTAATGCCCTTCCAATTTTATTATTTAAAAAATTAAAATTTGCCCATGGCTCCTTTAAATACTTTGGATATTGTGAAGGAAACTTAATAAACCTTAAAATATTTTTCACAGAAACGTAAAAGTCATCATCCACGATAACATAAAATTTAGAATTTGAACAGTATTGCGCTACCCAATAAAGCGCCGACATTGTCTTGTAGGTGTTATTAAAATAGGTATCAGTAAAATTGGCTTGAACAATATCCCTGTATCTTTGGGATTCTTCATTTATCGACTTTTGTAGCTTAGCTTCACTTTTTATACCAACGAAAAACACAGTTCTCATCTCTACATCCGAGAATCGTCGCTGAAAACCCCAAGTGCTTCGTATTGCCATTCGACGTTCAAAGTGTTGTGGGGATGATTTAATGAGAAATACTACTCTTAAATCAGTAACATCAATACATTTGCTGGTACACTTTTTGTAGTAATAAAATCGGTAATTGTTTATTGGGCTAACGGAAGGCGTCAAATTATTCCTTAATTTGCTGACCAAATCTTCAATGTCCCCATCATAAGGATAACGAAATTCTGAGTAAAAATTCTTCTCTAAAGGGTGGTGAAATACGCCAAATACATACAACAAACTTAACAAAACAAATGTAAATATAAAGTATTTGCACTTTCGTTTGGTAGATAATGCCATTTCCACTTCATTAAGAGGCAGTTTGGAGGCATTTGTCCGGTTTCTTTTTGATTCTTCCACTCAAATCTATTTAACGAGTCACAGATCATCCAATTAAAATAGGTAATATTTAGGAGTCACAGACCATAAAAAATCGCAACGCTTTACTCCTTTGGGTAGTCGTATAAGGACCAAAATACGTAATCCACTTCTTTATACATATATTTCGTGGGTAGGTAATAATTTTAAAAAGTGAATATTAATATTTCAATTTTATGCCTTTAATAGGATAGAGAAAGTTTCTCTGTGTTGTTGGTGCCTATATTGATTTTCCTTGTTCAATATTTATGTAGATGACGTTTGTGATTTTAATAATATTTATTAAATAGTTATTATGGGCATTAAGCAGAAGCTACAAATGAATTTAAACTAAAATATTAAATGGGGCAAAAAACTCATAAAACAAATATTGGAACATTTTTAATGTAATAAAATATGCACAAAACAAAATAAATATAATAAAATTCGGTTTCTTAATCACCTTTTTTTATCACCTCATAAACATCGCGAGAGAATATAAAAATAAAAATACAACGGGTCTTTTTTATACACCTTTTGTCAGAGTCATACTCTCAGATTTCAGAGACAGCCGAAAACATTAACATAACCAAAAACACTTAGCTAATAACACACAGATTATAAAATGGACATACAGAATCAGAATACAGATCACAGAATAATTGCAGATAAAAATATATCTCCCATCTTAAATTTAACAGTAATAATGGAACTGAACTTTCAACAACTAAATACTTTAAAAATGTATTCATACTCTTGTTAATGGACTTTTGAGGAATGAGCTTTCAAATAGCCCTGGCTTTTAAAGTACCTGTTGCATTTGTCACACTTGAAACACTGAAACAAAAACTGGTCTTTCAGTGTAGGGTTTATGTATGGATGGTTCCTTGTTCGGCAGCGGACATTACTCCGTGAGAATACCTTTTTACAGTAAGGGTAAGAGGACACTAACTTGTCTAATAAATTGACTGAACCAGAAGTAACTCTACCTCTATCCTCTTGACCTGAATTATAATGACTAACACTCAGATCTGGTTCTTCAGTTTTAATTTTTACATCCTCTTCATACATTGTTTCTACATAATCACATGCATACTGAGTTTCTAAAAGTTACATTATATTTCAACTTACAAATATTAAGCAGTTTTAGTGTACAAGCTAATCATTTAGATGCATCACCTTACCTTGTGATTCACAATCCGAGAGTTCACATTTAATTTTGATATCTGGCTCAATAATTACTTCTTCAAATTTTAATATTGCTTCGTCTACTGTATTGCCGTCATCACTACTCTCCTCGTCATACTGGCTGTCAATAACACACAAAACTGACTCTCGAAACTCATCAAAATTTCTCCTAAAATAATTTGTTGAAAATGCTTTTAACCTCTCTAATGGAGTGATTTCAACATTTGAATTTTTATCCAAGCACAAACTAAAGTCATAGTTTTTTGTGAAGTTAATAATGTTTTTCAGACCACCTTTTTCATAATCACCTCCACTCTGAGAGTAAAATATTTTATCCCTCTCTTTTTTCAACTTCTGGTTAGGGGTCAAAAGCTGTTTTAATAAGGAACACCTCTGCTCTTTTGTTATCCTCTGCCTTTTGCGAAAAGTATTTTCTTGGTTTGACAAAACTTCGCGTTTTTCCAGCTCTGAACTTTCTAAGGGAGGTATTAGGACATTTAGGTTAGTATTTGTGAAGTTGATACAACTGTCAGATCCAATCAATTTAGTCAAATACCCATGAATTACTTTGGTGGATTTTTTACACATGTTTTGAAACTCGTAGGAGAGTCGCAATTTGCTTACGCAAGTAACACATATTTCTGAAGACACGCTGTCGCTGTCGACGACCTAGAACAAAAATCAATAGGTCCAAAAGTCTTTTCAAAATTTCTTTATTTACTAGTCTTGCACATGATTCTAATTTGTCACTCAATTTCACTGAGTCGAAGTCGACCGTATCGATGTCTATCAACTGTACCCCCGTTTGAACGCATATCCTACAAAATTTGGACAAAAAATACATGGCTTAAAAAAATGTCGCTGTCAATCATACGTATCATATGCCGAGATGTCACCTGTCAGCTAACCCCGCGCACCATAAACAATTGTGGATTAATACAAATTTCTGGCTATGCGCTTCATGGACAAGAGGCTAAAGAGTCCCAAAAATTTTTGAATCCTCCTTTTGCATGAAAAGGACAAAAAATGGGAATATAATAGCTTGGAATTTTAGAAAGTAACTAACAAAAATTAACCCGAAAATACCGGTTTTTCTTTACGAATGAAATTATCAGAATTTGATTCGCAACGAGAAATGTGAATTGAATTTATTCTATGCCCTTTTTGTTCTAGGGCGGTGTAGTGACATTCAAACAGCTGATGTTTATTTTGAAATTTCTCCAAATAACTAAAAGGAAAAGGCATTAATGGAAATCGCTAATGCCGTTGGGACTTCATCTGGGGTTCCGCGCAACACTCGAATAGTGGAAGGCGTGGGGGCCCGTGTAATCAGAGGTCCCGATTGGAAATGGGGCAAGCAGGTAGGGTTATGTTTATTTTCTTGTTAAAGTTGCGGTTCAAAATCCAAAACTCAGCAATTATGACCAAGATTAACCTTTTAGGATGGAGGAGAGGGTCATGTGGGAACTGTAAGAAACTTTGAATCTCTTGACGAAGTGGTGGTCGTCTGGGACAATGGAACTGCTGCAAACTACCGTTGCTCGGGTCAATATGATTTACGGATTCTGGATAGTGCCCCGACGGGGATAAAGCACGAGGGCACCATGTGCGATACTTGCAGACAGCAACCAATATTCGGTATCCGATGGAAATGCGCAGAGTGTGGCAACTATGATCTTTGTTCCGTTTGCTATCATGGCGATAAGCATCAGCTCCGACATCGATTCTACCGCATCACTACACCCGGTGGAGAACGCTTTTATCTAGAGCCAAGACGTAAAACAAAGAAGATTGCTATTCGTGGTATATTTCCCGGAGCTCGGGTAGTGCGCGGTGTCGATTGGCAATGGGAAGATCAGGACGGCGGTAACGGACGTCGCGGCAAAGTGCAAGAAGTGCAGGATTGGTCAGCGACAAGTCCTAGATCAGCAGCTTATGTAGTCTGGGATAATGGGTCAAAAAATTTGTATCGAGTGGGATTTGAAGGTATGGCCGACTTGAAAGTTGTAAATGACGCCAAAGGCCAGAATGTGTATCGAGATCACTTGCCGTGCTTAGGAGAGCAAGGTCCCAGTCCCAGACCCATGGGACTGAAAATAGGAGATCAAGTAAATGTTGACCTAGAACTTGAAATAGTCCAGTCTCTACAACATGGTCATGGAGGCTGGACCGATGGCATGTTTGAATGCTTAAGCAGTATCGGTACTGTAGTAGGCATTGATGAAGATCATGATATAGTTGTAGCGTACAGCAGCGGTAATCGCTGGACATTTAATCCTGCAGTTCTAACAAAAGTGGCTACCCCCACCAATTCTGCTGGATTTAATGAGACACCTCAGCAACAATTTGCCGTTGGAGATGTGGTTCAGATTTGTTCGGACATGGAGAGGGTAAAAATGCTGCAGAGGGGTCATGGAGACTGGGCCGATGGGATGGCTGCGGTATGTGGCTGTGTTCAATAGAAATGTTTCAGGTTATGTTAAAATTGGATTTATTTTTTCTAGACCCTGGGCAAGGTGGGCCATGTTCAGCAAATCTACAATGATAATGATCTGAAAGTGGAAGTCTGTAACACTACCTGGACGTATAATCCGTTAGCTGTCACTAAACTCGCTAGCAAGGATGGTACAATGCACGGAACCACTAGCGGCGAGCGCCTCAGCGCTTTGCTGAAGAAACTTTTCGAGACCCACGTTTCAGGCGACGTGAACGAGGAGCTGGTAAAGTCTGCTGCTAATGGAGATTCCCAAAAGTGCGAGGAAGTCTTGAAGCAGAGCAACGGCCCCGGGACTAGTATGGGGCCTGACGTCAATGGAGTTTTTGCCGGTAAAAGATTTTGCGTTCACATTTACAGTTTCATAGAATCGGCATTGAACAGTAAAAACTTGAACAACAAATCGTAACAAAAGTGTAATTTGACCTTTGACATTTGTGCGCATGTCAAGTATGAGAGAAATCCAAAACTGGTTTCTGGTCCATGTAAAAACGGTAAACTTAAATGTTTGAGTTGGATGGCTAGTCGTGATATGCTTAATCATTTAATCTTAAATAATAGAGGAAACATAGGTTATTTGTATAACTTTTCAAAGAAACATCCACAGGCTACTGTAATACTATTTACAATACTTCTGGATTCGTACTGCATCGGTTGTTGTTGAGTCAGACTTGCTAACGTTTCGCCAATAATCGTTTTGGCTTCTTCAGAGCTTAACTGAAACTGGCTCGCATTCTAATCTGTACCTGCTTATATATTGTTTGAAGGGGCGGAGCTAAAGGAGGGCCTTAAACGTCGTCTCCGATGGTTGATTCCCATAGTGGTGACAGGTAAAGACCTGAGTCGCGGTTAAGATTGTTTGGTTGCTTCCAGATTTCTCTAGGTTCGCGAATTTTTCGTTGGTAGAAGAATTGATTACATGAATTTTAGTTTAATTTATATTTTAAACTCTTTACAAGCAAAACTGATAGTTTTGTACTTATTTCCTTTCACTTCATTGAACAATTAAAAAGCATTACATTAGATACCCAAGATATTCTGATTAGTTTCGACGTAAAATCCCTCTTTACTAAAGTCTTTATATTTATTAAAATCCGAGAATCTGGAACCAAAACTTCTCACCTTAATTGAAAAATGCTTGTCTGGAACATTTTTATAACGGTCAAATTTTTGAACAAATGCCGGGAACAGCTATGGGCACTCCATTATTACCAGTCATATTTATGGAAGTTTTTGAGAAAAAAGCTCTTTACACCTTTCATCTAAAACCAAAATTATGGAAACGCTACGTCGATGTTACTTTTGTTATTTGGCCTTATGGTCAAGAAACCCTAGTAGATTTTCTTAAACATTTAAACTCTATACACCCTAACATAGTTTTTCCATTGAATTAGAAACTAATAATAACCTCCTATACAGACCTACGCACACAGGCCGATACCTTAATGCATCGTCACATCACCGTCCCACCCAAAAGTCATGGGTTATCAATTCTCTTGTTTACAGAGCCGTAAAACTGTCTCACTCCGAGTCATTGTACCCCGAATTAAAACACCTTATCTCTGCTCTTCTCTCTAATCATTTTGAGTGTTCCATCACAAAATACACTTCAGCATAACCTTTCAATAGTAATGAGTCCGAAAGCAACCCCACACTTGCCACTGTTGTGCTCCCTTTCATTAAAAAAAATATCACTGACCACATATCAAAAAAGAAAATTGATACGCCAGGAGTTTACAGCATTCCCTGCATATCCGGCAAAGAATACATTGGAGAGACCGGACGAATAATATCAACTAGGCTCAAAGAACACGAAAGAGCCTTACGACTAAGATAAATAAACTCATCAGCTGTTACAGAACACAATCACGAAACCGGACATAAAATTCTATTCGATAAAATTAAAATTCTTCCATGTAATCAATTCTTCTACTAACTAAAAATTCGAAATCCAAATCTATAAGCAATCAAACAATCTTAACTGCGACCCAGGTCTTTACCTGTCGCCAATATGGGAATCAGTCATCCGAAACGATGTTTATGCCCCTCAGTTCAGTTAAGCTCTGAAGAAGCCAACAGCATTATTGACGAAACGTTAGCGAGTTCAGCTCAACAACTGACGAAAGAGGAATCCAGAAGTTTTGTAAATAGTGTGATTTGTATAGTTCAAGAAGATTTTCTGATCCTTCCGTACATTCATTGGGACATAATTTCTTCTAAAAATACCCGGTTCTTGGGTCGCATTCTTTCTTGTAAAAACACAGCGTTGTAATTTTTTACTTTTGCCAACAAAATTTTTGTATTAGAATAGCTTAAAAAAGCACGCCAATTGTATTATGGGCATGTGTCAACAATTTGCTAAAATATTATACTGACCTGATAGTATACTGTCAGGAAATGATGAGGAAACAACAGACTAGTGGCTCGAAATTGGGTTCAAACTCACGTGTAAGGAGTAAATACCAATTGCGTACACTCCAAACACTCGAAACAAGTTTCAAACTAATCTTCCAACAAACGTAGCAAACTAAATTTTTTAGCTATACGAAGGTCTCGAACCGTGCCAACCGACTTTGCCCTTGCTTTTGAAGGTCACACGGCGTTGCAAGCGGCCAGTCAAAACGGCCACCTCGAAGTCATCACCGTTTTGCTACGATTTCATGCCGACGTCGAAATCGAAGACAAAGACGGCGACCGGGCAGTTCACCACGCCGCGTTTGGTGACGAGCCGGCGGTGGTGCAACTCTTGGCCCACGCGGGGGCCGATTTGAATGCCCGCAACAAACGGAGGCAGACCGCCCTACACATAGGAGTGAACAAGGGCCACATAGGTGTGGTGAAGATGCTACTCGATTTGGCTTGTCATCCCAGTTTGCAGGTGAGTTTTTGGAATATTGTTTTTGGAATATCTTTATCTATTTCCACTTCTGAGAGAACCTCATATTATTTTACAATTTTTATGTCTCTATTGAAGTGAAATAGCCATTGGATAATATAAGTCCAGTGAACACTGTTAAATTGGTAGGACTTAGACAGCTACGTGATTTTATTAACAAAAAAAAATTACAAGGTAAAGTCGAAAGTTACACAGAAACGTAAAATTATAAAAGAGATCTAATTTAAATAGCTTCTAACTTTTAAAAGACCTAGCTGGAGCTCACTAAGCATCTGATTTATTACCATCACGATAGAATTGATTAAATTAAGTTGCCAGTCCGTTTCGATTATGTTATATATGACATAAAAACATCACAGCTTTTTTTTTCTACAAGAGATTTTACATTAAAGCTAGCCTGCATACTTTGGTATGCAATTTTCTATGGATGTACATTGTCTTGATTCAATTAATATCTATGTCTTCTAGTGGTATCCAAATTTATGTGTATTGTATAAGTTAATTATCATATTAATTAAAAAGAAAACTATTTCTAATTACAAAGTTAAATGATTTTACTTCGTTTATGGTACAGCTAAAACGTTACAAAAACCAAATCTTTCACCTGAGTCTGACGAATCAACTCAAATTTCGTTGCTTTTACGATTCGGTTCGTTCTTGTAAAACTAACAACAGAAAATTGTCATACAGAAGGGAAGGATCTTTTGCGCATGCAAATAATTTTTTTTTCTAAACAACGATCTCCACATATTGAACTTATAACAAAGACTTATTGGTTGGTTGGTCTTATCGGTTGAAAATCAGTTTTGAGAAAAAAAATGTTATCGGCATAGGCATATATATTCACAGTGGTGGAAAAAAGTATGGAAACCTTTTAATGTCATGAGCATATCGGCTAATGCGAATTATGGCACCACACATCATAATTCTAATTTTTTGGTTCAGATTGATATATTTTTAAATTTTGAAGAAATTTCAAATACAAGCTGGAAATATCGTAGAAAAATTATATATTATTTTTAGATGTTGCATTGACTGGAATATTTAAGACAGAGTGACATCTCCTGCGCATAGCAGCAACAAATGTTTATAGCATTTCTGCAGAATTCTGCGACTGCCTAGATTCACAGGCACTAAGAAGGTCCTGTTGATTTTTAACGTATTTTGATGCATTCGAATACTGCGATCAAAAGATGTTTTGTGGGGTTCAGATTTGGCGATTGGGATACCCATTCAAACCATTTTTCTAAACCATTCCTTCACTAACTTGAATAAGTGTTTCGGATCATTGGTTTGTTAAATTTGCTATTGCAATGGTCTACCTTCTTCTGCAAAAGGTAACATCGTAGTTTCCATCTCTTTGTCGGTCAATTTTTTCAGATCGAGAAAAACATCCATTAGATTCGCCTTAGATGTTCCATAATTGGAATTTGGAACCAACCAACACAGTTGACCTCTGGCAATCGCTATTCGGACCTTTCTATCCTTTTGCAAGAGAAGCTGTTTTATAACTGTAACTCTTCCATGAAGACTTCCGTTGATTAAACGGTTTATTAGCATTCTACTAGTTACTTCAATGGCAAACTGTTCCGAGATTTCGATTTTAATTTATCTGGATGATTTTCGAGGGTTTTGATATTCTGAAAATGGTTTTATTAGTCCTGGATGTAGTTTTACGAGATCTTCCCAACCTGGACGTATTTTTTTGCATCATCACGACTTTCATATTCTTGTAATATTTTTGTTAACCTTTTTGAGACAAAAATACAGATTGTGCAGTTACTGACTTTTTTCTTTTTTAAATAAATGTACAATTATTTGTCTGAAATCAAATGAAAATTAACGGCGACTGTCCATGATCAATAACTATTTTCACACGATATCTACATTGTGGAATCAAGAGTGACTAATGTAGAGCACAAATTAAAAAAAGTTTCCATACTTAATTGGGAACACAAATCCTTTATTGCAGATCAAAAGAACTTAGTAAACACTCCTTACATTAAGCTCTAACCTACTTTAAACATGAATAATGCAAATATTTTTAAGTTTCCATACTTATTTCAACCATTACATACATATGTCCATTAGCTATGTCGTGTCGACAGATGCAAAAAAAATCGCTAGTTATTTTATCAATCAAAGTTTGGAAAGTAGAAGTTAGTTGCCACACCGTCTCCTTTAAGGATCAGACAGAGTTTTTCGTGACCGCCTATAAAAATCATGGAGAAAGTATTCTTTGATATTATTCAACATTTATTTTTTCATAAATATCCATTTTAATAGACTGCCGCTACAATAAACTTCAGAATGTGGCTTTATATTATTCTTTGGTAAAAATATGGTTGAAATCGCAGTCGATTTGTCTATTATGGAACGAATTGCACATTGCTATTATGTTGTTTAATTTTTGGTTCCATTCTAGTCCAATATATAATCAATGTCTGGTGTTGTTACCAATAACACAATTAGCAAAAGATTAAGTGTTCCAAAAACATCTTCGTAGTCACACAAAAATTGGTTTGCCCTATTTTTGCGCAACGTCGCCGTCGTAAATCGTGCAACACCGCGTTATCTCCGTTACATCGCCGATCTTTTTTTTATCTATCCGGGGATGGCCGGTTTGAATTATTCCCGGGCAAAAATAGGCTTCGCCGACAACACAACGCCCGCACATAATTAAACATAAATTTTCCCGTTATGAATCCAATTCGTTTGTATAAATGTAGCCCGTAATTTAATTACCGAATACGAGAGAGGCGTCCGGGGGTGGGGGGATGGTTTATTGGACGCGCGGTGATATTGGTCTATTAGCCGTTATTTTGAATTATTAGGGACTGATTAAAGTACGCTATTGTTACAATTATATAGAGATTTTGCGGTTTCGCGTATTTTTTGTTATTGTTAATTTTGATATCCGCCAGATTGTCAGTTATAATCAGTAATATTAATTATTTTGGACGAATTCGGTTTTACCTTCGTCGATTGAAGTTGCATCCTATGCGAGCGTTTTTTTTTTGATATAATTTTTCTCGTTAGCTGTTAATCAAAATGATTACGCGGTATAGTGTGAATCCGAACTATATTTGTTAATTTTTTCTTCGTTTCAAATCAAAGGAATCGGCTTCGTTTCTGTAAATCGAACAATCATCTTTTAAACGCTGTAAAATGCGGCGTTACGAGCTTTACAAGAAAGGCCCGTCCCATTCTCTACAATTACCAAAGCGATCTGGATTTGTTACAGATCTGGTTGTTTTATGTCACGCCATGTCCTGTCAAAACTTCGCATAGACAGCTAGGTTTCGTGATTCAAATGTCATCTTTTTTTCGAACGTACCGGCTCTTATGCGTATGCAGATGGATTAGAAAAAATGCAAAGAAAAGTCAATAGGTTTTCTCGAGGGGCAAATTATTACACCGGATTTCACACAACCGTTGGATTTCAGATATCTCACGATAGATATTTTATTGGATTTTCAAATAATTTTGCGAATTTGACTTATTTTGAAAAATGGTTAATTAATTATGTTTGGCAAGCGCGGAGCGAGTGTTTAATAAACGAGTGACTTAAAAAGTTTACCGAACTCGTGAGTGAAATGCCGTTTAGCGCATTTGTTGCATACTTTTTCTACGACCGTTAGTTTTTGGGTACAATTTCGCCAAACAACACGAGTACATTCACTGACATGGCCGTCAGAATTGACAAACGTCAAATTCAAGGCGTGGGAAGTACCTCCGAAATTATCCGATTGTTCTCAAATCCGTGCGGTAAAATCCCGGAAATGTCCTAAGTGACTCGGATCCGTGGGAAATTAAACTGATGTGGTAAAGTGACGCGCCCCGCACGCTAGATCGATGTATAATTCGGCATTTTACAGAAGGGAGTAGAAAAATAGCTTTTAAAAATGGTTACGATCCCTCTTTGATAGATAAGATTATAAGAACTCAAGATCAACATCAACAACGAAACTGACGCGGTAAAGCGTCGCTTCCCGTACGCTAGATCGGTGTGTAATTAGGCATTTTATAGACGGCAGTAGAAAAAAGAATGAAATATTATAACTAGATTTCTATCATTAAAAATTATTAGACGATTATATAACTATACTTTTAATGTAATTATCTTATTCGAGAACGGTACATTTGACAAGAAAAAGCGCTGGCTTTTATGTAGCAATGACTTCACGAACGAAAAACACAAAGATCCGGAGTTGAAATGTGGATCATATCCAAAAATTTATATCGGAAAAACAGATAGAACATTTAAGAAACGCATTAACCCACATAAAAGGGCGTATGAAAATAAAAGTTGATAGTCTAACTATGCCATTCATTTAAATTCAGAAATGCACAACTTTTTACGTAATCAATTAAAACGCATGGAAGCTATGGAGATTAACAAAATGATATATTGAAATCTATTACTTAATGACCAATTGGATTTAAATGCGTCTCCGTCGTTAAATTTGAAATTATAACCTTACACCGGTAATTACAAATCTATTACTACCTGATTATAGATTTAGCTGTCGGAATATTGTCATATTTTGTATTTGCGCGGTGTTGCTGAAAGAGCTGGTAAAAATTCTGTGAAAATGTGAACATTTTTGTTCTAATTTAATTGTGTATTTGTGTCATTTTAAATTGAGAAATCTCGGTGTCCTTAAATGCAACATCATATATAGGTATTATTATTTTTTCTGAAAGATCTTACTAAGAGATATTAAGTAATATACCCATTTTTAATACTGTGGGATGTAGTTATAAACGCTTTAATACTGTAAACTGCTGAGTAAAGGTTCCCATACATATTATATTACTTGTTTCTCAAAGCGTCAGCAATTTGCCTGTATAAAACCACGGTGCGAACCACGTCGCTAGCTTTTTTGTCATCTCGCTTGAATAAAGTTTTTTAAAAAATCAAATTCGTTTTCCACGACGAAAACTGGCGCAGTCGGTAGGATTTCCGTGAAACAAGCATT